ACAAGTTCCCTGAGCCCAGCACAGAGCTGGGAGTAGCGGAGAGGACCACCCGATGGGCCCAAGTCCTCCCCCACAAACAAAAATAACTGAAAAATCCTCAGCATCATTCATGCCCTTATATGGTGGGTAAAGTCACCAAACATATATGCGGGGAGAAGGGAGTTTTTTTTAGTTACTTTCAGCTGGAAACTATGAGAACAAAATTCCCTGCTCCCTGCCAAGTAATTCTCTTCCGCAGTGCAGGATGTAGCTAAAAGGAGTTTGGGATTTTTCATTGTCCAGATGATTAGACGTCGTACCAGGGACCCTCGGAAACCTTTAGACATTGTCAGCTTGGTGATTGATTTATTTAGATTTTAAAGTTGGTATTTCAGTTTATCTTTTTTGTTTGAGGGCCACGCCCGGCGGTGGTCCTGGCTTCTGTCTGGGTCTGTGCTCGGGGATCACTGTGGTGGGGTTTGGGGACCAGATGGGATGCTGGGTGTAAGGCAGGCTACCCTCTTGCCCCCCGCCCCCCGTACCATCGCTGGCCCTGATAATCTAGTTATTTAAGATAGAACCGAATCAAGACTGAGGAACAGAAGGCATGTTGGGGGGCTGTGGCGGCCCGGCTGTCCTATGCGTGGGTCTCTCTCTGCACCTGCCTCTTCCACGCCTCACTTCCTTGTGTGTGACTTGTCGGTGACACCAGTACCTGCCTCTGGTTGAAATGTCAGTGTTGACTCAATGCCTCTTTTGCAAACCACAGCACCCAGAAGGAGAGAGAGAACAAAAGGGAATGTCCTGCCACAGAGGCGGGGTGGGATGCGGGGGTGGGGGGGGTGGGAGGGCTACTGGGATCACTGGTGGTGGAGAATGGGCACTGGTGGAGGGATGGGTATTCGATCATTGTATAACTGAAACCCAAGCACAAAAATTTGTAAGTCTACAACTGTACGTCATGGTATTTCACTAATAAAAATTAAAAAAAAAACCCTAAAAAGAAAAAAAAAATGTCAGTGTTGAAAACTGAGCCAAGAGCTGAAAGAGACTAGGGAGATACCTCCAAGAGCAAATGTGCGTGCAGAGCGTGCTGGAGGCGGGGTCTGCCCCGGCACCACGGGCGTGAGCCCAGAGCACTGTGGCCTGAGTACCTGAGCACTGCTGGGTGTGACCGGAAAGCAGTAACAAGAACAGTGGCAGCTACACAGTAGGGCGCATTCGTGACACCCTCACCCACGGGCGAGGGCTGGGAACAAACGGGGGGGGGGGGGGGGGGGGAAGGGGGACGCTGTGTCCCCGTGCATGGCCAGGAGTGTGGCCTGGGGCTCACTTGGCCGCTGTCAGGCATGGCCCAGGGGCGTCGCGGCTGTGAGCTCGGAGCGCTGGGTTCTTTCGCTGGGAGTTTTCTCTGGCTCTCCCGGCTGGCAGAGGCTCTGGGCAGCGTTTCTCGGCAGTGTGGGGAGTGACGGCTTCCTGAGTGAGGAGGAGAAGCTGCCCTGTGAGCCAGGGCCGGATGTGGTGTCATGCTCTGCTGCTGAGTCTCGGGGACGCCGTGTCCCCCCCCCCGTGACCGTGCCCTGACCGTGTCCTGTGACCGCTGGCCCCAGAGCCCTCCGCAGCCGGGGCTCTCTCCAGCCTGCCCCCGCCGGGTCCCACCAAGCTCCGTGCAGACCTGAGTGGAGAAGAGGGCTGTACCGCCGTGACCAGGGCCTCCTCCTGCCCTGCCCCTGTAGGGGTCAGCTGGGAAGAACATCACGGGGGCTTCCTGGGCTGTTTGTCCTGCCACGTGCTCCCCGTCTCGGGGTCTGTACTCTGATAGCCTTGTGGTGTGGCCGGTCGTGCCCCCACGGTCCCAAGGGCCCTGTTTGAGGAGGGTGCTCTTTCTCTGGAGGTCCTGGTCAGCACCTGCCCCCGGCACTGTAGGTTTTTTGTTTGTTTGTTTTTTAGTGTGTCCACCGTGCTTTACCGCTTATGGCTGTGCAGGCTGCATTGCAGCACGACCTCCACTGTGGTTCCGTGATTCTCTTTCACGCTCGGTGCGGGCGCCCCGCATCTCCCTGTCCTGTGCAGAAACAGTGAAGGGCCCAGAGCAGCTTGACCCGAGGGCTGGTCTGCAGTGCCATGTCTCGCGTGCTCTGGGCCTGGGCAGTGTCCGTCCTTCCAAGGCTTGGAGCAGGTCCCTCCCGGACACAGCGCCTCCCGCCCTCTTCCCTGGAGCCTTGCATGCGGCCCTCCCGTCCCTCCTGCTCCTGCAGGCTCAGCTCCGGGGCTTCCCGCTGGCCCTCCATGGGTTTTGCTTGCTGAGACTTGGTCGATTCCAGAGGGTTTCCTCGGCTCACTCGCCCTTGACCGGCTGGAGTCTTGCTGGAGGCACCTCTGCCCCCTGATGGCCACGTCCTGCCCAGGCTCCGAGCTGTCAGCCCCTACTGGCTGCCGTGGCTGAGTGTGAAAGGATGCGCGCTCCAGGACGTTGTGTGTCGCTCTCTTCCAGGAGCTTCATTTCTTTGTCTCTGTCTTGGCACTTGATGAGGTTCTATGGCCAGGGGCAGTTTGTGGGTGTGACTGCCAAGCTCCTGGAAAACTGGGGGGCTGGGGGGAGGAGGCCCAGTCCCGTTCCCAGCGAGCTTGGAGATCTCAGTCACGGTCTTGCGTACCTGGGTTTTCTGCAGGTTCCCCTGTGGGTGAGGCTCACCCGAGCTTGTGGAGAACAGCCTTGAGCGTAGCTGTGTGGTTGGGTTCTGGAGGTTTTCAACTGCCAGGGTTCTGACGGGGTGGAGAGGGAAACCCAACCCGACCCCTCCGAGCTGCCCGGTGAGGACAGCCTGGCGTGGGGCCCTGGAGGCTTGTTGTCTCTACGTCTCTTCCCAGGCCACTGGCCCTTTGGCGGTGCCTCCTCACAGTGCTCCCTTATCATCCTGGCCCATCAGGGTCCTCCAGGCCCACCTAAACAGCCAACTCTATGGAGGGATTCAGAGTATCCCAGGGGGCCAGGGCATCCTGGCCTGCGTTGGGGCCTGTGCTGAGCTGCAGCCCAGAGTTAGGAGTGGGGGGTCTTTCCTTTGTTCCTGTGAGAGCCTGCTCTGCAGGATCGGGGCCCCCAGAGCCACCCTGCCAGGGACCATGGCAGTGCCAGGTGTCCGCATGCAGGGACGGGGACGTGCCAGCCCTGTGGCCCTTTGGCTCTCACCCTGCTCTCTCTTCACCTCAGGTTTGTCTGATCTCGGGCGCAGGGCAGGGCTGTCCCGGGCAGGGTGTGTGCTCTGTCCCCTGGCTGTGAGCTTCCCGGGGGTCAGACCATCCCCTTCCTCGAGCCGATGCCTTTCAGGCAGAGAAACCTTCGTCTTTGACGGTGCCTCTGTTTTGTTTTGGGGCCACGCCGACAGCGCTCAGGGGCTGCTCCTTGCTCTGGGTCACCCTTGGTGGTGATTTGGGGATGACGCGTGATGCCGGGGACCAAACCTGGGCCTCCGGCCTGCAAAGCATGTACTCCAGCCCATTAGCTATCACCAGCCCCTTCCAGCACATTTATGATTGTTGCTTTTGAACACACACGCACACACACACACACAGACACACACACACACAGACACACACACACACAGTTGCTTTTTAATTGTATTCTATCTGAAAATAACGCATTGATTCTTCTCGCTTATATTTTATTGGGGGTGGGGCACACCTGGAGATGCTCAGGGGCTACTTCTGGCTCTGCCTGCACGCAGGAGTCACTCCTGGAAGGCTCAGGGCACTGCATGGGATTCTAGGATCCAGCCTAGGTCGGCTCCCTGCAAGGCAAGCTCCTCCCTGCTGTACCATTGCTTTGGCCCCTACTGTATGCTTTTGGTGACCATCCACTCGCAGGGGGATTTTAATGGTTTTATTGCTAAATTAATTTGGATAACTTAGGTGAAGCGATTTCACTTGACATTCTTTTCTACAAATTTAAGGTACAAGCAATCTTATGTGAAATACTGTTTGCTAGGAAGTCAGGTGTTCTTAATGAGTCATTTTAGTTAGGTCTGCCTAGTGGGATCTTAGGGAATAGTCTAAGGTGAGAAGTCGAGCAGAAAATCCCGTGTCCAGTGGCTGGGAACAGAAACCCGCTGTAGGCCGAGTGCACCTTTGCAGCAGGAAGCCCTGGTCTGCTCCCAGCACTGCTTGGTTCCCTGAGCACAGAGCTGGGAGTTGACCCCAACAGTACATTATTTGAGAGACTCTTGGTAGGAATATAAGTTGGCATTGTTTTGAGAGGGTGTTAGGTAGAATCGGCACAAAGAAGACATCGGGCCAGAGAGATAGTTCAGTGGGGAGTGCTGGCCCCAGGGGACATCCCGGCACACTGCCTGTTCCCTCAGGCTCCGCCAGGACCAACCCGGGGTACAGCTTGGTATGACCCAAAAGTTAATAAATAAAAGTAAAGAAAAGAAACACCTATGGGTTGGAGACGTGATGCCACAGGTAAGGCACTTGCCTTGCATGCAGCCCCGCTGGGTTTGATCCCTGGCACCGTGTCGAGCCCCTGAGCCCTGCCAGGACTGAGCCCCGGGTACAGCTAGGTTTGCCATGCAGACCCTCACCGTCCCCCAAATAGAGAAACATCTTTCTCCAATACGTTCACTTTGTGGAAACTAGTCTAGCATGCATTCAAGAACACATGTGAATAATTTTTTTGTTTGTTTTGTCTTGGGGCCATATCCAGTGGTGACTTACTCCTGACTCTGTGCTCACGGTCACTCTTGGTGGGGCCCTGGGGACCAGATGTGGTGCTGAGGATCGAACCTGTACTAGTGTTCTCGTCCCTGAATCATTTTTAACAATGAAAAAGTGCCCAGCAGTAAATCATCGTGTGACTTTACAGAAAGCGAGTGCATGACCTCGTGAAACAGGCAGGGGCCTCGATCCCGCCTCCCAGAGAGACAGACACAGGCTGTGTAGGGCGACAGCCTAATGTGGGTGTGAGAGGGTCGTCGGAAAGGGTGTGGACATTTAATCACTTCTGCCTTTTTTTTTCCAATCAGCTGTTAGAAATTAACTGGACGGGACTGACTAATCTCCTTGATATCCCTGGACTGAAGTAAGTGCTGTCGGTGTCTGTGTATAGCTTGTTGGGGAGCCTTAAGATCTGCTTGGTGAGGCGGGCACACATCCTTGGGCAGACCCGCAGTAGACCGGGTGAGGCGGGCATACTCCCCTGGGCGGACCCGCAGGAGACCAGATGAGGTGGGCACACTCACCTGGGCAGACCCACAGGAGACCGAGTGAGGCGGGCACACTCCTCTGGGCGGGCCCGTAGGAGACCGGGTGAGGCGGGCACACATCCCTGGGCAGACCCGCAGGAGATCGGGTGAGGCGGGCACACTCCTCTGGGCAGACCTGTAGGAGACCGGGTGAGGCAGGCACACATCCCTGGGGAGACCCGCAGGAGACCGGATGAGGTGGGCACACTTCCCTGGGCGGACCCACAGGAGACCAGGTGAGGCGGGCACACTCCCCTGGGCAGACCTTCCCTTGGCAGAGCCACACAGGGTCTGGGAGATGGGCTGGTCCCCGTGAGTGTGTCAGCCACACAGAGGACATCCCAGTATCTGAGGGCACAGTGGAACAGAGTGCCCGCCTACCGTGAAAATATTCCTCATGCAGAGAGAGAAGTTCAGCATTCAGAGTATAGTCAGGGCACCAAGGACGTGGGCCAGTCTCTCCCCTTTTTCCACTGCCGTGTGGGCTGGGAGTAGCAGGAGTCAAATCAGGGCCTCGTGCAGTGCAGGGCATTGACTCTCACTTGAGCTACATCCGTGGCCCCCAGAAATTTCTATTTTGAGCTAAATTTTATGTGTTTATATGATTATCATCACGCGCATTTTATGTAATAAAGTACAAAAACATACTTAAAATTGTTACATCGCAGTTATATTAAACCTTTTGTTTTAATAGTGAATATTCTAAAGCTCCGAGTCTAACATAAGGAAGTCTTGCCCTGGGGTGTATTTTTTTTTATTTATTTTTAATTTTTGGGTCATACCCGGCGATGCACAGGTGTTATTCCTGGCTCTGTACTCAGGAGTTACTCCTGGCAGTGCTCAGGGGACCATATGGGATGCTGGGAATCGAACCCGGGTCGGCCTCGTGCAAGGCAAATGCCCTACCCGCTGTGCTATCTCTCCAGCCCCAGCCCTGGGGTGTATTAACTCGGCATCTTTGTGCTGACCTGGCAGGCCCTGGGGTTGGTCCCTTAGCTCGTCAGCACATGTGAACTTCACGCGTGCTCCCCCCCTTGTCTGTCCCTGAGGCTTTCCCACCCTGCAGGTCCCGTCACTGCCCCTGTCCCCATGGGCGTCTTTCGGGATGATGCTTATGTGTGTGTTGGTCATTCTGGCACGAGGACAGTGTGTCCAGAAGTCAGTCAGGGTGTTTGAGGGAGTTTTGAAATGTGAAATGTGTCGTCAGCACCTTGGAACCTCATTTTCACATTCTAACTCGAAGAACGGGCAGCAAAACGTGTATGAAACAGACACTTGTGTGGGGCTGGGGGAAAGCGCAGAGCCGGAACGCTTTCCTCCCATGTCTGAGACCGAGAGCCGAGCCCCGGCACAGGTTCAGTTACAGAGTTCCCTGTGCTGAGTCTCGTAGCTGCACAGTGTTCCAGGGTCGTTATGATACTCATCACCAGGGTAAAGTGTTGGCAAGACTTTCTTGCTGTTGGAAGCCACGCGAGTAAGAGAGATTCAGCTTAAGCATGCTTCAGGTATTTAGTCAAGCCTTGCAGAAATGCATCTGGGTCGGTATGAAGGCGATTCTGGAATTATGGAAGGAGGTCTGAGATGCTCTTTAGACAGTTCGAGAGGTAGCCGAGTTTCGCCTTAGAATCGAGTCCCAGCCGATCCCCTCCTGGGCAGCGTCTAAGCTGAGTGTCCCCGCCGTGTGGCATCGGCTGAGGCCCCTTGTGTCTGCACTGTCCTGTGGTGAGTCTGCATACGAACTGTGATGGTCTGCGTGGCTAACAGCCGTCTGTTCTTTGCCTCCCACCCGGCAGTGGCCTCTCAGACACTATCATTCTGGACATAATCTCAAACTACCTGGTGCTTCCCAACCGGATCACGGTCCCGCTCGTGAGTGAGCTTCAGATGGCTCAGCTGCGCTTTCCTATCCCAAAGGTGAGTGGTCTCGGGGTCACGCGCGGTCAGGCGCCGTCGGTGTGACGCGGAGGCAGAGCCAGGCTGCTCGTGTTCGAGGGGGACGGAGGACGAGGGCCTGGTCCCAGGGGCCTCGTGTTGGTCCCGACAACACCTCGGCGGCCGTGGTGAGGGCCGTTCTGCCACACTCCTCACGTGTTCTGAAGCCCAGACTCTTGGTGCTATTTTTGGGCTGGTGCTCGGAGCTGCTCTTGGCTCTGTGCTCAGGAATCGCTCCTGCTGGTGTGGGGGGGGGGGGCCGTATGAAGCCGGGGCTCGAGCCTGGGGCTGCTGTTTGCAAACGTGCACTGGCCCGTGAGCTGGCTTTCGCAGTTTATGAAGCTCTCTCACCGTCTCCGGAGGGCTGCTAGGGTTTCATTCTGCAGATGTCCCTGTAAGTCACGGAGGACAACTGTGACCCCTTGGTCGTCCTCCCAGAGAAGCCACGGCAACCAGTATTTATCAGCATACAGCTTCTGTCTCGATGGAACCCAAGCCCGGCTTACTAGCCCGGTGCTTCCGTCCGTCAGGACGGTGGGTAGGAAGCCGGTTATTTCTGCAGGATGGATGTGGAGCCGCTGTGCCGGGTGGGAGGGACGGGGGTGGCGGGGGGGCGGTGCAGGGGAGGCATCTTGGGCTCAGGGGGCTGCCCCTGGGCTGCAGTGCTCAGTATCTGGGCTTGCACTCATCTGTCCTGCTGGGTGGGGGCAGAGACCAGAAGCACCGTCCTCGTAATACTCTGGACACACTGAGTTCTGGGGGCCGAGGGCACCCCTCCGTCTGCTGGGCTCTGGCAGACCGCGGTGTCTGCTGGGGGGTGTCCTGCTGACAGCCACGGGCACCGGGGCTCCCTGGGCGCTCGCTCCCGAGCCTTTCTCGCCAGTCAGAGGCCCTGGGGATGGGGACCGAGTCCTGACCGTGCACGAGCAGATGGCAGCTTGTCTGTTTGGGGCCTGGGGCAGCGCTGCCGGCTGAGAGCTCAGGGTGCTCGGCAAGGGCTCAGAGGGTGACGTGCTGGGACTGGCCCCCCTCCTCCAACACCCTCCCTCCCCATCCTCCTCCTCCCTCCTCCCTCCCGCCCCCTCCCTCCCCTCCCACACTGTCCCTCCCTCCCCCTCCCACGCCCGCCCTCCCCCTTCCTCCCTCCTCCCCCTTACACCCTCCCTCCCCCTACCCACACCCTCGTGCCCTCCCTCCTCCCTCCTGCCCCCTCGCCCCTTCCCCTACCCACTCTGCCCCTGTGGATCAGTCAGTGCCCCTGGCATGGGCCTGCCCGGGGCAGCCCAGGGCACCGAGTCCTGACCCCGGGCTTCTTCCTTCAGGGTGTTCTCAGGATCCATTTTCTGGAAGCTCAGGATCTCCAAGGCAAAGATACTTACCTGAAGGGACTCTTCAAGAGCAAGTCAGACCCCTATGGCGTTATCCGGGTCGGCAACCAGATCTTCCAGAGCAAGGTCATCAAGGAGAACCTGTGTCCCAAGTGGCACGAGGTGTATGAGGTGAGCGTGCGCCCTGCCCACTGCCCCACCTGTCGGACCGTGTTCACCTGAGGCACTTTCCTCTTGGGCGGGGCTTCCAAGGAATGTCAGGGAGCCCAGAGCACCGCTGGCCTTACTCAGCCAACCAGGGCAGGAGGGCAGCACTCACTGCTCGGGCCCTGCAGTGCTGGGACTCCGAGGCCACCGAGTGGTGCTGGGCCAGCTCGGGCACAGAGGGGCTGCACCCCGACCCCCGGTTAGGCACTGACTTGACTCTGCTTTAATTCCCTTTCTTGGCACTTAGATCCTTACATCCACAATAGGGTTTTAAACCTTGGTTACATAGAGCTGTCACAGTGATGGGAAGATTACATTATGTGAAGAATATTTAGTGTGGTTGTTAACACACAAGTATATAGACATGAGATGAATTGTGCCCTCTGACTTGCACGTGTGTGTGTGTCTCCTGGTGAGGCGCCCAGCCCAGAGAGCTCGCTCCCGGCCCTAAGCTGTTGTCCGTTTAATAGGTCTGCACTTGAGTGGCTGGACGTAGAAGCGCCTGGTCTGCGATGTCCATCCGCTCTACACCCAGCTCCGCAGGGCACGGCTCCTCCCGTGGGAGCACGTGTCTCCAGGGTTGCTGCAGGAAGTTAGGCGCCGCTTGGCCCCAGGCCTGGCATGCAGCACCCAGGGTCCATACTGTCGACGTGCGGTCCAGAGTCAAGGAGTTCTGCACCTTGTGGCAGGTCAGCCTGTCCTCACACTGCCTGGACTGAGGCCGGGGGACTCTCCCCGGAGCCGCGCTCTCACCCCAAGTCGCATCCACCTGAACACTTTGTTGTGTGGTGTGGTGTTGTGTTTGTCGCGCCACAAGTGGACCGGTCTCGTGCATGCCACGTTGTCCTCTCACTGAGACGCGTCTTCCACCATAGTTACGCTCTCCCTTTTTTAAAACAGTCCAAACTCTTTATTTTTCAGGGCCCATAAGTGCAGCCTTTTTCGCCTCTCCAAAGATTTTTTCAGACTTTGTCTTTCATTGAGGCATCATAATCCACAGTGAAAACATTGAAGCCACCATTCCCGTCCCCTGCCCACTCAGTTCTTGGTTGCGTTGATCATGCTCAGGGTTTGTTTCCTTAGGCGATTGTTGAATTCTTTTTCTTGTCCTTCCTTTCTTTTTTTTGTGCCGTGCCCATGAGCAAGATCATCTGACATTTGTCTTTTGCCTTCTGGCACTTCAGTTACCATGACGGCCTCCAGTTCCATCCAAGTGGCAGCAAGCTACAAAACTTCGTCTTGAAGCTCAGGGGTGTTCACTTTTTGCAGAGTTGTTTTTCATAAGGAATGCAATTTATTCTGTACCAGCTTTCCCGCCTCCAAAGTCCGGTCCGTGGCCAAATTTCTCAGTCTCTGGTGATAAGTCCATTACCCGTGTTTGTCTAAGGATGACATCTGAGCAGACCACTGAAAGACCCTAAGCTTTATCCCAGACTTACCATGTTCTGGGCCCCTGTAAGAGAGTGTTTGAGCGAGACCCGTGAGGTGCAGTGCTGACTCCTGAGACAAGCACGGAGCACGTAGGCGGGTTCTGTGGGAGCCACGTTCCAAGGGGATCTCTCAGCATGTATGGTTTGGCAGCGAAGAATGTGAATACACACCAGAGAAGTACAGGGGCTCCTTTCTCACACCCAGGCACCTCCCGGTAATGTCAGGCTGGTACACGTGTGCAGTATGGGCTGGCCCTTGTTTTTGCAGGCTTTAGTCTACGAGCACCCGGGACAGGAGTTAGAGATCGAGCTCTTCGACGAAGACCCAGACAAAGATGACTTTCTCGGAAGGTAAGCCGTCCTGGGGTGCGGGGGCACGGCTTTGGGAGACAGGCCTCAGCGCGTCTTGGCGTATTTCCCAGTGGCTCTTAGAGTCCACGTTTGCAGTGAAGACCACGGCCGTGCTGGGCGTTGCATGGGCAGCTGTCTCTGGGCACGAGCCTCCCCTCGCAGCTGTCAAGGGGGGTTTAGCATCTCAGCTTGGTGGATCGTAGTTGTTTAAAAGGTAAATGGTGGTTAGCACTGAGCCCCCCACTCAGAAGTGAATAATACTGCTTACTTTGTTCACACAGTCATTATAGCTGACAAGAATCAAGTTTCCAGTGGTATCTTCCACCTAATCTTAGTAATTTGACAGAATTTATTGTGACAAAAAGTGTGTGTGTGGGGGGGGTGCAGGGTTGTAGATGACGTGGGGCAGTTTGATACGTCAGGCCCATCTTGGTGTCAGGCTTTGACCTCAGGGTCCAGTACTCTGGCCTGGCAGAGAGCTCAGAGGGGCCGGCCCACGGGCCTTCGGGAAGGCTGGTCCACGCCCTTGCCCACACAGCCCCTAGGCACCCCAAGAAAACAAAACAAAAAGAACGGAAAATTACGGGCTGGGGTGACACTCACTGGACAGAGTGCAGCTTTGCGTGCCTGGGCAGGTTCAGCCCCTGCGGCAGAGACCCCCACCCCGAGCCCAAGGAGCCCTGGGCACAGCCAGGTATGGCAAAAACAAATGAGCAAACGAACAAAAGCCCAACTTATTAATGCAGGGCAGATCAGATCACGTTTGGTTTCTAGTCAAGCGGCTGTGTAGCGTCTGCCTGGAGAGGGAGACTGTGGTAGGGGGCTGTGAGGAAACCTGAGGGGTGGGCAGTGTTACTGTCGGAACAGGCTCTCTGATGTCCAGCGGGTTCCAGCATTGATGGTGGGGCCAGGTGGGCGCTCTCCAGGCCAGAGCAGAGGACTGGCACTGGGACATCTCACCGACCGCAGGCGGTGCCCTGGAGAGGACCGTCCCCGTGCTGGGGAGGGGCCACCCAGACGCTGTGTGTGGGTCCAGGCCACTCTGGGCACTGCTGAGCCAGTGGGCAGGTGCTTCACCGCCCGGCAGTGCAGTGACACTGGGCCCAGGGCCATCCCAGTGGTGCTCAGGGAAGGGTCCGCACATTACCAGGGGCCAGACCCAGCTCCCGGCTCCGGATGGCCCCAGAGACGAGCTCTGGACAGCCCTGCCCTCGGCCTGGCCTGAGTCTCCCCTGCGCTCCCCAGAGCCCACTCTGCTCTTCTCTTCTTCTCCCCTCACACATTGGGTGTGGGGACAGATTCTATTGCCCCATGAGTGTAGCACTGTTTTACGTTTGGGGAGTAATATTTCATAGGCCAGGGGCAGACCTGAAAACATTTTTCTGCACGGGGCCATTTGGATGGATTTATATTTGTGTGTGTGTGTGTGTGTGTGTGTGTGTGTGTGTGTGTGTGTTTGGGTCACACCCAGTGATGCTCAGGGATTATTCCTTGCTCTGTGCTCAGAAATTACTCCTGGCTGGCCGTGCTCAGGGGACCATTTGGGATGCCGGGGATTGAACCCGGCTCAGCTGCATAGAAGGGAAGCCCCTCCCTGCTGTCCTATGGCTCCGGCCCCTATTTGAATATTTCTAACATCATTCCTGAGCCATCTGCTCTAGGCAGACCGGCCAGGGCAGCCAGTGAGAAACGTGTGTCTCCCATCACCCCGGGGACTCCCTGCCCATCCTAGACAGATACCCCTGGTTAGTTGTGTTACGCCCTACCCGCTGTGCTATCGCTCCAGAGTGTGTTTCTTGTTCTAAAGTTGTGTTGTTATTTCTTTAGTCTTATGATCGATCTCATTGAAGTTGAAAAGGAGCGCCTTTTGGATGAAGTAAGTGTTCTTTGAGTATTGTTCTGATTCACGAGTTTCACTCAGAGAGAACCGCCACAGCAGGAAGGGCCCTAACTAACGTGGGGAGAGCTCACCACGCACCCCAGGTGCCGAGAGCTGAGCCCTTAGCATAGCCAAGTGGGAACCAAATGCAGGACCGAATCTGGCCGTGTGTGTGGGTGGCTGGTGCCTGCAGGAGCCGGACAGGACAGGGACATGGCAGGGCCCTCGAGAAGGCCTCAGAGGGGGAGACGCTTCTCACAGCAGGCTCCGTGATGGTCACGGGTTCGTACCACGGCAAGAGACTGTCACCCCACACACGGCCAGCAGTCCTGAGGCGGGCAGGATGCTGGTGTCTTGCAGACGGCCAGCAGAAGGAGAGCGTGGTGGCCTCTGAAGACAGGGGCAGGCTCAGTGCAGAGTCAGCCCTGCCCCAGAGATGCCCCCACCTCCTGACTAGCTTCATGGTTGCAGTGAAGATACCCGCCCTGCTTCACCGATGGTTTTCTAGGGAAGAATTACAACAAATGGATCAGCAGTTGGATGTATTATCTCATCCATAAATTCCGTTCGGGTTCTTTGCCTGGTAGAAAACTTGGAACACGGCGTGTAAATCAGGGAGTGGTATCAGCCTCCCAAGGAGAGGGGGAGCAATTGAGGGGTTCCTGCCAGCAGGCAGCATGGCCCCCGTTGGCCCGTTGGCTCAGTCAGACTCAGGAGCACTCGCGCAGGAGCACGCAGTGGCCTCGTGCAGACAGTGCCTTGGGGTCTGGGGGAGCTCGGCTGACCACGGCCCTTCCCCCACAGTGGTTCACGCTGGACGAAGTTCCCCGGGGAAAGCTGCACTTGAAGCTGGAGTGGCTCACCTTGAAGCCCGACGCGTCCAGCCTTGACCAGGTACCGGCCTTCCCGCCCTCTCTTGCTGTGACCGTTTCAGCCGTTGGTTTCCTCACTTCCGCTTTTGCGAGCCCCGTTACGAAGAGTCCCTTGTGCTGTGGAGACACCCGCTGAGGCGTTGTCCTTCCCTCACAGGTGCTGGTGGACATCAGAGCTGACAAAGACCAAGCCAACAACAGTCTTTCCTCCTCGCTGCTGATTCTGTACTTGGATTCCGCAAGGAACCTTCCGGTAAGCGACGCTGTGGACTCCTTCTGGTCTCCGTGCTCAGCTCTGCCTTTCACCTGTCCTGGTGGCAGCTTTCACTTTGCTTTCGCCCACGAGGGCACTAGAGCGAGTTAGGAGGTAGGTCGAGTTTATGCTTCCGCATCCCAACGGTTTGCCCAGGGTGTCCAGAATCGCCGTTACTCTGATGCTTCAATGTGCTTGATGATCACATCTCAAATACACACAAAAATGCTGTGCTTGGTAGGTAGGGAAGAAGATGGTCTATAGAAAAGCGCCAGTGCCTCAAGTTTTGCTGCCAGCCTCGGTTGGCTACACGCAGAGCCAGCGCTCTACCCCTGCATTACCTCTGGCCCAAAGTACAGTTTTGCTTTGTGTGTTGGGCCGCATCCAGCAGTGCTCAGGACTTACTCCAGGCTCTGCGCTCAGGGCACAGTGCAAGGGGCTCGAGCGACCGTGTGGGGTTGGTCCCGCTGGTGCTCCATTTTATTGAAAGTCTGATCATCATATTAAAATCTGACCATCTATTCCCTTTCGTACTGGAAAATGATAGAGCTCTCTGTGCAGTTGCATCTAACTGTGTTCTTTCTCTTGATGAAGGTTCTTGACTGATTCTGACTTCTTCCTTTTCTTAAATTATTGCCTTCTGGCTGATATTCCCGTCCAAAGTCTACGATGGTATCTGTTGAGAGTTTGATTTAGAAAAAGTTGCTTCATGAAATTAACCTTTCAGTAACGATTATTTTATGATATTCTGTATCATATTTGGGCTGGAGCGATAGCACAGCGGGTAGGGCGTTTGCCTTGCACGCAGCCAACGTGGCCGACCCGAGTTCGATCCCTCCGCCCCGCACGGCAGAGCCTGGCAAGCTCCCCGTGACGTATTCGATATGCCAGACACAGTAACAACAAAGTCTCCAATGGAGACGTTACTGGGCCCGCTCGAGAAAATCGAACAACGGGAGGAGAGTGACAGTGACAGTATCATATATATTTAAGAAAAAAAAGCCATGCTTTCTATAAAGTCTGTCACAATGCCTGATGAGGAGTAAACTTTCTGGTTTTGGATATGGAGAAGAGCCTTGAATCAGAAAGAAAGGATCAGGTCCCCTGTAGCACCAGGGCTTGTCACAGGAAACGGGAACAAGTGACCTGACTGGGCTCCTGACGCTGCTGCCCGGCCTTGTGCTGCCCACACGTGCCTTGGCCTCCTGCTCTCCTTGTGTCCTTCGACTCTGGCGCTGCACGTGGGCACCGTCCACCATTCTCTGCCTTCGCCCCGTTTCCACTTTCCTAAGAGCCTCTACGAGGGAACTTTGCTGTAGCTGCTTCCGAGAGGCGGGTCTGTCGGGCGTGTTGTGGGTCCTCTGGCGTTTTCTTCCTTTGCTTTAGTGGAGCCTGCCAGACGGTGGACGGCCCCTTACTGCCCCTGCTCCAGGGGAGAGCCGGGCCGGGCCGTGCTCTCTGGCCTGATTCAGTCAGCGTTCTTCTGTGCCTTTTTCATACCATGTCACACTGCGGTTGCCAGCCCGGGGCAACCCCAGTGCTGAGGGGGGCAAGCCTGTAGTCTGTGCACTGCCGCCTGCCCATTGAGGTATAAAAATAACAGTTCTGAGGAAAATAGAAGCCGTAGTGACTGCAGATCACTTCCTGTGGTCCATCTCGGTGTGAGTAACTCTGAAACAAAACAAAACTCTCTTCAGTAAACTCACTCTCTGCTCCTCGTCTGTGAGGAGCTTGACCCTCCTGCAGTGGGCAGCGGACAGCGGGCCCAGACGCCTTCCTGAGGCTGCGGGCGCTCTCTAAGGGGAGGAAGGAGACCTGCCCCCTGGGCGTGCAGGGGCTCTGGGCTTGCTCCCGCGGGGTGCGGGAACCAAGCGGGGTGAGGGACCAGGCAGGGTGAGGGACCAGGCGGGGTGAGACCCAGCCTGGCCACCCCACGCCGCCGCACCCTCACCCCCGCCCAGGGGCTGCTTCTTTTAAGAAACAGCAATTTCCTGAAGTGGATAATTAAGCACTTTCCGATCTTTATTCAGGAACCTGGTTTCCATCTCTTTGCATCGCCTCCCTGCACTGTTCTGGTGCTTTCTGTACACAGTTAATAATCACTCTCACTTGATTTGCAGTTGGACGAAGCCAGAGATGACTCGTCTTTGCTATAGAAAGTCTTTTCCAGACTTAATGACTAGTTCGCTGGGCCCTGGGATCTGCGAGCGCCGGCACCCTGCGTTCTGAAGACTGTTTCTATTTCCATGCCTTTAATTTGTTCCTGGTTTGAGGAGGCTGGGGGCTCTTGTGGGAGGGTCTGCCCGTCTCGGTCTACCCCATCCTCTGGCAGCCCCGGGCATACACGGTGGGCGGGAGCATGTGCAGGAGAGGCCCTGTGTGCCCCCCAGTCCTGCGGATGTGACAGGGCAGCCCCGAGCCCCCTGGGGTCGGCCTATAGCTTCACTCCCCTGCTCTAGCTCTAAGCTCCAGGCCTACTGAGGGCTGGGTGTCGCAGGAGTAGTACCCAGGCCCCTAAGCCCAGTGGGGAAGCCCCTGCAAGAGATCTTCAAATTAAAGAAACTCAGGGCCGGGGTTTCTGCAGAGAGTTCAGGGTTAAGGCATACGTATTAGGTGTGGGTTTGGCCCCCAGACTGTATACGTCTCCTGAGCACTGAGCCAGGAGTAAGCCTTGAGCACTGCCAGGAGTGGCCCCAAACAAACTAGAAGTTGGGCTGGAGGTGTGACCCAGTGTTGAGCGTGTGTCTGTGGTCAGGGTTCAACCCCTGGAACCAGAAACCAACATTTTGACGGGTGAGGGGCAGTGAGGTTTGGAGCATGGGCATTGCCCTGTCCTGTAGGTGTCCATTGAGAGCCGCTCAGTCACGCGCGGTCGCCCGGCCCTGGCCAGCTGCCCCCTCTGTCTGGCCTCTGTTGGCTGCTCCCCCCTGGGCCCTGTTCCTGTGACTGGCTGACCTGCGAGGTTCAGCCAGGTTCCAGGAGCTTCTCTGGGCTTGGTGCACAGGGAGTATTTCTGGTCTTATTCAGGATTTTTCCCGTTGCTCTGAGACAGTCAGCCATTCTCTTCTGACTTATAAAAGCCAGTTTGGGGCCAGCAAGGTAACACACGGGCTGGAGCACTGCTTATAAGCCAGAGCACTGGGCTTGATCCCTGGCACACAGGTCCCGAGCAGTGAAGGGGCTGACCCCTGAGCACAGAGCCAGGAGGGTCCACGAGCGCCCCCGGGTGTGGCCTGGAAGCCAGCTCTCCTGTATTACCAAGACCACGTACTCTGCGGGGCCAGAGCGACAGCACAGCAGGGAGGCACCCGCCTCGCACGAGGCCAACCTGGGTTTGACGCCCAGCACCCCAGACAGTCCCCTCAGCCCCGCCAGGAGTGACCCCCGAGTACAGAGCCAGGACTGAGCCCTGAGCACCGCTGGGTGTGGGCCGAAAACGAGCAGAAAATAAAATGAAATAAAAATAGGCGTCAACAAAATGTTACATAAGATGAACTTCAGTAAGAAATTTGTATTGGTTTTCAGTGTGAGGATAGGTCAGTGCTTCCTCGGCACTCCTCTTAGGGTGGTACATTTGCCGTTCCTGCCTGTGGGGTCAGCCCAGGGCGCTCTCGTGTTCCTCCTCCCGCCTGGCCGTCAGCACTCCTCTTAGGGTGGGACATTTGCCGTTCCTGCCTGTGGGGTCAGCCCAGGGCGCTCTCATGTTCCTCCCCGCCTGGCCGTCAGCACTGCAGGGCTTTCTCCTGTCTGGAATGACCTCTGAGGTCCTCCTGAGGTTTGGCTCCTCCTTGGGGTCTTCGCCCTGCGTGATGACTGACCCTGCGGACCCTTCTGGGTGCTGCCCGGCCACTCAGCCCACCAGCCCACCAGCTCGCTTTCCGGATCGGGGAGCTGAGAGTCGGGACCAAGGCCACCCGCAGGTAGAGAGCAAAGTGTGCGTCTCTGCCTCCGTGCTGGGGCGGGTCTGTGAGTCCTGGGGTCCACACTCGCCTGCGTGGTAACCAGAGGTTTCGTGACCATCCCTTCCCGGGGGCCGACCACAGTCACAGGTGCCCAGCACCCCGAGTCACCAGCCGTCACCCGCAGCCTCGTCCAGCCCCTCCTACTCTCCCACCCGCGCCTTTGCCGCGTCCTCCTTCGCCTGAGTCAGGGCGTCGGGGGCACCTGCCCTCACACAGGCCTTGTCCAGAGTGGCAGCCCACCCGGCTGCCCCCACGGCCATGTGTTACCCTGCTGAGCTCCATGGCCACCTTGCTGGCTTCTGTCACACTCACTCCTTTGAGCAGACGTCTGATCTTTGGCTCTGCTCGTCAGCCGTGGCCGGGAGACAGGGAGTCTGATGTCTGCACACAAAGTCACCATTCGTCATGCAGTTAATGGCAACTAAGATGATATGGTCTTTGATTATAAATGCGAGTCCTTGAAGGAGCTTGCAGAACGACTCAGAAAGTAAGAAATTGAAAGGAAAAGCAAATGTAAAGTTAGACATCAGACCTGGTGCTAGGGCTTTAAAGCCAGGAGAGACTTGCACTAACCCGACCAGCCTTTGTATTTTGTTCCTAGAAAGGAAGTGGCAAAGGAGAAAGCATCTTCTCAGCTTTGCAGGAACGGGTGGTTCATCGTTCTGCTGGAGCTGGGGCATGGGAAGGGGTCTGTGCCCATGGTTGTTTGGTTCCCAAAGTCTCGTTCTTGAATCCCTCAGGGCCCAGAGACCAAGGGGTAGGGAAGTAGAAGAACTCAGTTGTAGAGGATAAAGAAATGTATTTTGTTATTTGCAGATTCTAAGATGAAGTCCTGGTCTTACAGAATTTGACATGTAATTTGTTGGGATTTTTGCCTGTAATTGGTGCTTTCATTTAACGATTTTTTTTTGTTCTCATACGTTTTCATGTCACTAACCATACATAACTCTTCATTGCATGTGTTTATTAACCCTTGGAATATTCATTTTCTTCTGACTTGAAAGAGTAACCCATTAGAATTTAACCCTGATGTCTCGAAGAAGGCCGCAGTTCAGAAAGCTTTAAAGGTAAACTGTCTCCGCTAAGGTGCAGAAGTTAACTCGGACATATTGAAAGAGATGATTCCTGAGTCCCTGGTTGCCAGATCATCCCCACTAATAACGTATATAACAGTACAATCAAATCGTCTTCTGACTGGGGCAGCAATATCTGAGAGGGCTTTAAATTTAAGTTTGAGAAAACGATGAAAGAAGTTTTGCTTAAAAGTTAACAATTTTCGGGGCTGGAGCGATAGCACAGCGGGTAGGGCGTTTGCCTTGCATGCGGCCGACCCGGCTTCGATTCCCAGCATCCCATATGGCCCCCTGGGCACCACCAGGAGTAACTCCTGAGTGCATGAGCCAGGAGTAACCCCTGTGCATTGCCGGGTGACCCAAAAAGAAAAAAAAAAAGTTAACAATTTTCATCGTGATTTTATAGCGTGCCTTTGCACTGTCTGGCCTTCGGAAAATCACCTCTTCCAATATGTGGGGTCAGGGCTCAGCGTGGGTGCCTCCTGCCGTTTGCCTGCCGGCCTGTGGGATTTGGGTCACACTTTTGAGAAGCTTTAAGTCGTATCGAATGAGGTCTATTGAAAACTAAGCTCCACTTCCCAAAACACGAGCATTTCCTGACTAGATTATTAGAAGTTTTCTATGATTTCCAAGCTCTTGCTATATTTGGGGCAGGGCGGGGTCTTAAATTTAACTGTTATTTAAAAAAATTATATCCAAGAGAATCAGGAATTATCTTTAATTGGATTCATTTGAAGCTAACTTTGAAAAGTGGCTTCTGACTGGATGAGTTGGGTAGTGGACACTGGTGCCAAGGACCGGGCAGCTCAGCAGTGGACACTGGTGCCCACACTGGTCGGCACATACTGAGGGCTGCCATCTGCTTTTCGTCACGTGTGAGGTTGGAGCTACACGGCCCGCGAGGCTCTGGAGCCCGACTGCCGGCATGACTCAGTGCAGGTGACCATCCCCGGGCTCCCTCTGTCCACAGCATGGGCTCCGGTGTTGCCCTCGGTCTCGTGACTGGCTCTAGGCCCACATGTGCCCAACGTGCCTGCAGTAGTGAGCATATTAGTAACTGTGTCAGGAGCTCATGGAAGCTGCCGAGGCCTGGGGGGTCCTGGCCTTGTGTCCAGTTTGTGGGTGTGAGAGTCTGATGGCAGAGGAGGGAGCCGAGAGTCACGTCCTGGCAGTCAGGTGAGAGTCAACCGAGAGTCGTGTCCTGGCAGTCAGGTGTAGCGGCTCCTGATTTCAGCAGCATTATGTCTTTCCTTGTGCTGATACGTTTTGTATATTATGTCAAGGTAGAAGACCTGGCAGTTCCATAAAATTTAAGACATCATTTAGAAACAAACCCGCAGGGCCGGAGAGAGTCTCGGAGGTAGGATCCTGGCTTGCATGGAGCCAACCCAGCCACTCAGGGGCCAGCCCCCAACCCAGCCACTCAGGGGCCAGCCCCTCGCCCTGAGTCAGGAGTGGCCAAAAGCCTGAATCAATAAATACTTAAAACAGAGCCAAAAACACACCACATGTTACCACCGAGAAGTCAAAGTGCCTGAATTGTTGTTTTGTTTTGGGACCACACTGATAGTCCTGGGGGATCACTCCTGGCTCTGTGCTTGGGAATCACTCCTAGTGGTGCTCACGGGACCCTGTGGGATGCCGGGGGTCGACCCCTGCTTGGCTGCGTGTGAGGCAAGTGCCCTACCCACAGTGCTCTCGCTGCGGCCCCCGAGAGTAGCTGCATCTAGAAGTGAAGGTTTGATTGTTTCTGTCTCGCGTTGTGTTGGTTTTGGACCCTGTGGTGCCCAAGCGCCATCTCTGGTGGGGCTGGACATCGACCCTGGAGTTCCCCGGCACAGCCTGTGCTTCCAGCCCTGCTTGGTCAAAGGACTCTGGGCTTGGGGGAGGAAGGCCCTGACCATGGCCACTCACACGTGCATATGAAAGATGTGAGTGAGGTGAGTGAGGGGCTGGGGTGACAGCACAGCCGAGGGCGTGGCCCGGCACACAGCCAACCCGGGCTCCATCCCTGGCACCCCTTGGGGTCCCCCAAGCCCATCCAGGAGTGAACCCTGAGCGCAGAGCCAGAGGAACCCCTGAGCACACTGAGTGTGGCCAAAAATTTTTTTAAAAAGAAAACGAAAGAGGTGACTGAATTGATAAGAGTGGAGGCCACTAGCTGACTCTGCCAGACACCCAGAGCAGGGCCATAAACACACCAGCTGTAAATTGGTTTTGTTTTCAGCGATTAGGAAGTTCAAAACGGATCTTGAAATCAGTGCAATGCAGTAGGTCTCTAGAAAAGAAAACCTCTCTTCCAGAGATGAGCTTACTATGTTAGCACGAAACACAGTCTGGCCAGAGAGACGGTTCGGGAGAAAGGTGCTGCCTCGCAGCCAGCCAGCTGGGGTCGGCGACCCGAGCACTGCTGAGTGTGGCCAGAGCATGAACGAGAACAAGCTTCTGCAGCAAAGACTCGGCATGCAGGAACAAGCCAGAGAGACCGAGCCTCGTGGCAGGGTGTGTCACGGCCTGGTCTTCAGCTGCGAGACCCTTGAGCATGGTCATGTGGCGGGCTGTGGCACTGGACACTGGGGCCCCCGTGCCGGGACTCTGGGAACCTATGGCCCTCGGTATTTTGTTTTGTGTTTTTAAGCCTGGGTATTTTTTTAACAGTATTTATTTCATTTTGCAGAATTTACTCACATCAGAAAGATGAAGCAGGAAATAGATGATCACAGTAGGTTTGGGCTAGTGAGGTTTTATCCCGGGAATAAATACTGTGACTTGGCAGCCTGTGTCTGTCATGCTGCAGTGCTGACCATTGACTCTGAAATCGAACTAAAAGACATTCGTGTGACTCTCTGATTTCCACTAACAGATACTTAACTCTGTTCCCGTGGGGCTAAGTTGCAAATAAACCTCATGTCCCAAATACGTCACGCCCCACTCTTCCAGCCTGTGCCCAGAAAGTGTGCTTCACAGTTTTTCTTATTCCTGAGTTTTCCTCATGATGATTTGCTTCATTCACTGTGACATCTAGATTGAGATTCATTCTTTTAGTTAAAATTATTTAGCAGCTGGTAAGCGGGACCCGCTGTCTGGTGGCCACTAGTTTGAGTGCCTGCTGGTCGGTACCCTGCTCCTTTGATCAGGGGGGTGATCCACACTGCATTCTCTCATGATATTCCTTGTCCTGGCTTTCTCTTTCCACTCGCTCACTTAGTTATCCTGGCATGATGAGCTTTGACCGCTGGGAGAGATTCCGTTTTTCCAAAGTGCGTGCCTTAAACATAGAGGACCTTAACATTGAAACTTCTGTGGAAAAGAAGTTTTCTCAGTTTCTTTTGTGGTCAGTGACTGTTAGGGCTTCGGATGTGTTTAGAGATTGTTTGCTAAATAAATTCTTCCCAGATGTTCCCTGTAACTATCAGAAGGAAGTAGGAGTGATAACACAAGGTTTTAGTAAACCTATTTCCAAGATGTGCTTGTTTATTTTTGTCCTTTATCGTTTTTGGATAGTCAGGGAAGAAACTCATCAGCAACCCGAATCCTCTCGTCCGGATGTCAGTCGGGCAGAAGGCTCAGCAGAGCAAGGTAAGCCCAACCCGGCCGTCCTCAGCCTCGGTGCCGGGGACACCCACGCCCGCTGGTTTCTCTGTCTTCCTCTTGTTTTTGCTTCGGCGTCTGTGGATAACCAGCTCCTTAGTCTGGATACAGATACTGCTCTTTTATAAAACAAATGTCGCACTGTCCTCCCGTTGTTCATCGACTTGCTTGAGCAGGCCCAGTAACGTCTCTTGTTGTTACTATGTTTGGCATATCGAATACGCCACGGGTAGCTTGCCAGGCTTTGCTGTGCGGGCGGGAAACTCTCAGTAGCTTGCTGCCGGGCTCTCTGAGAGGGGTGAAGGAATCGAACTCGAGTCGGCCGCGTGCAAGGCAAATGCCCTACCCGCCGTGCTATAGCGTTAGAAATAATACTTGGAGATGCATTTGCTGTTTCCTGCGGAAATGTCTGGGACAGATTTCTAGGTGTCCTCAGTTCGTCCCACAGACAGTTGCTTGGAGGTGGCTGACGTCCTTCGTTTTCCTCCAGAGCCGAGTGCCCCCTGGCGCGAGAGCTCTGCCTTCCTCAGGGGTGGGGGCTCCTCCCAGGACCTGCTGCCACTCAGCCCTGCTCCGGCACAGCGGGACGAGGAGGCATTGTCTGGCTTCCTAGTCCACTGAGAGGTCTGGGGTGCTCAGGCTCCTTACATGACCGTTTCTCCGCCTTCTTTCCACCGAGTTTCCCTGCTGTGGCCCCTAACCTTGAGCCGTGGCGCCAGGCAGTTTCCCTGGGGCAAACACGACTCCTGGGTTTTAGACACTTTCCCAAGGGCTGTGTAACAGTCTGTCTCCGTCAGCCGGTGTCATTCCAGTCACCTGAGCGTCCAGACTCCCGAAGTCGGTGCCGCCTGCCGTGACAGAATGCCCTCAGCTGCCGCTTTACCTTTCAGATTCGGTACAAAACCAGTGAACCGGTGTGGGAGGAAAACTTCACTTTCTTCGTTCACAATCCCAAGCGCCAGGATCTTGAAGTTGAGGTATGACACTTTCAGTCCTCTAGCTCCTCCAGTAGGCGCTGGGGGCTGGGATCACTCAGGGGCGCCTCATCCTGGCTATGGGGCCTGATGGGCCCTGCTCGGACCTGCCAGCCCAGTGCGGTTGGGGCCATCAAAGGCAGAGAGCGGCTCTGGGCCCCCAGGATGCTAGGCCTATGTGTCAGTCCTGTGAGCTATCTCCCTGGTCCGGCTGACATGTAGGTGTTCTTTTTTTTTTTTTAAGAAACACTAAAGTTTCATTAGAAGTAGAAAAGAGACTCCCTAATAGGAGGGACTGTATCGCTGTATCACTGTCATCCTGTTGTTCATCGATTTCCTCGAGCAGGCACCAGTAACATCTCCTTCGTCCTAGCCCTTAGATTTTAGAAAGTACCAAATTTGAGGCTCTTTCAGGGTCAGGGGAATGAGACCGTCATTGTTAACTGAGTTTTGACATATTGAATACACCACAAGGAGTTTGCCAGACTCTGCTGTGCAGGCAGGATACTCTCGGTAGCCTGCCGGGTTCTCCAAGAGTCATGGTCATGGTCCTCCCGTTGTTCATCGATTTGCTCGAGCAGGCCCAGTAACGTCTCCATCGTGAGACTTGTTGTTACTGTGTTTGGCATATCGAATACATCACGGGTAGCTTGCCAGGCTCTGCCATGCGGACGAGATCCTCTCGGTAGCTTGCCGGGGTCTCCGAGAGGGGCGGAGGAATCGAACTCGGGTCGGCCATGTTGGCTGCGTGCAAGGCAAACGCCCTACCCGCTGTGCTATCGCTCCAGCCCTTCTCCAAGAGTAAGAACTAGATAATAAGATGCTTCCGGGAGCTGGGTTTTATAGTCTCTGGGTCTTGGCCATTGATGGGATAACACGGCGCTGGGGGCAGTTGGTGGGTATAACGCCTAGCTACTGGAAGATGGGGGATCTGGGTGGAGGAGGCCCAGTCCCGATCCGAGCAGGCTTGGAGATCTCAGCCCTAGGTCCCGCATGCCTGGGTTCCTCTGCCGGCTCCTTCATGCGTGAGGCTCGTTCCGATGTGCAGAGAGTGTTCTTAAGCATGGCTGTAGCTGGTTCCGGAGGTCTCTCCCTCCCTGCCCCGAGCAGAGTACCGGGAGCCGAATGGGAGAGACACAGCGTAGGCATGTATTGAACCAAACTCACTGTCAGAGCTTTCATTTGCTGAAGGTCCCAGAAGACTGACCGAGCCCGTGTGTCTGCAGGTCTGGGACGAGCAGCACCAGTGCTCCCTGGGGGGCCTGCGGATCCCGCTCAGCCAGCTGCTCTCCTGCGCGGACATGACGCTAGCCCAGAGGTTCCAGCTGCGCGACTCCGGCCCCAACAGCTCTCTGAAGATGAAGCTCGCGCTCAGGGTACAGCCAGAGGCAGAGGGGACGGGATGGGGGCACGGGGGCAGGGGTCTGCTGGCCCGGGACACAGCAACTGGCGGGCTGGTGCCGACTGACCCCACAGGGTGGACGTGGTGACGGTGTGGGCCAGCGGTCACTCAGGGAGGCATGGGCACTGGCACAGGTTCCTGGAAGGCTCAAACCCACATGTTCCCGGGCGCCAGCCAGTCTCCTCTCCCATGGACTGGAGCTATGGGTCTCTGCAAGGGAGAGTTTGGGGCCAAGGTGAGGTTTTCAAAGGCCTGCCCATGATTTTTTTTGATAAAGCTCTACAAAGGTAAGAATTGTAAAAATCAACCTATTTTTCTTCAAAATAGACAATAATTTGTGAATATTGAAGGAAATGAAATAAAAGTGAACTGCTAAAGATGGGTGGGTGGACTGGACAGGGGGAGGGCGGGGTCATGGGATGGGGAGGGCTCTCGTCTTGCGCGTGGCTGGCCCAGGTTTGTCCCGGCACCCCCTGCGGACCCTGAGACCACCAGGAGTCTGAGTGCAGTGTCAGGAGGAAGTTGTGAGCTGTTGGGTCTAGCCCAAAGGAAAGAGGAGCAGAGGGCCGGGGGGATGGCACCACGGGGAGGGCGTCTGCCGGGCATGTGGTCAACCCAGGTGCAACCCGGGCATCCCATATGGTTCCCCAGCGCCGTCAGAAGTTATTCCAGAGAGCTAGGAGTAATCCCTGAGCATTGTCTGATGTGACCCAGAGAACAGCAACAGCAACAAAAAAGCCAAAACCAGCAAAAAACAGCTGGCAAATATGTGGGAAATGCTGGACTCGGTCACTTGAGTCTGTGGTGAAACGCAGGCCAGTGTCTCCGTGGTGCTGACAGTCGGGCCTCTCGCCAGGTCCTGCAGCTCGAGACGCAGGAGAGGGCCCCCGACCACCAGCACTCCGCCCAAGTGAAGCGGCCCAGTGCCTCCAAGGAGGGCAGGAAAGTCTCCGTCCGGTCCCAGACATCCAGGTCGCCCGGCACGGCCGACCACAGCACCGCCCCGTCCACACCAGTGCCTGGAGGTGCCGAGCGGCCCAACCCGCCGGAGGGAGCCCCGGCCCCCGAGTCCAGCCCGCGGGGGCTGCGGGACCTGGGCCGGAGCGCCTCCAGCCTGCAGGCCAGTGCCACCTGCTCGCCCAGCCGCCTGTCGCTGAAGGAGCCCACGCCCAGCATCGCCTCCGACATCTCCCTGCCCATCGCCACCCAGGAGCTGCGGCAGCGGCTGCGGCAGCTGGAGAAGTGAGTGCCGGGTCCTTCCCCCACAGTCCGTGGCGTGGGTGGGGGCGCGCGGACGCCAGGGCCGGCTCCCTGGGCCCCGACCCGAGTGAGGGGTTGGTCCCTGTGTGTGACCCAGACACAGATATCTAAGGTGGGCGTGGGGGGCCAACAGGGCGGCCCTGCCTGGGCTCCGGGCCCTCCCCGCCGGCATGAAGGCGGCAGTTAAACCAGGCCAGGCTTGGGCTGGAGCCAGAGTAAGCGGGGAGGGCGCTTGCCTTGCGTGCGGCCACCTGGGTCTCACCCCCACATCCCCTGGGTCCCCAGGCACTGCCAGGACTGATTCCTGGGCACCGCCGGGTGTGGGCAATCCGACCGAGCAGAGGGCTGGCCGCTGCCCCCGCCAGCAGTCGGGGCTTCCTCACAGTGAGTCTGCCGGCACTCCCCCCTAAGCAGCACTTCCTGTTTCCTTCCAGTGGGACCACCCTGGGCCAGTCCCCCCTGGGGCAGATCCAGCTGACCATTCGGCACAGCTCCCAGAGGAACAAGCTGGTGGTGGTGGTGCACGCCTGCAGGTGAGCTTGCAGGTCCCGGGCACACGCCGTCCCCCTCCACGGCCCGTCAGACCAGGTTGCTCCCACGACGCTCCTGTGAACTGCTGCCCTGTAGTTTCCATGACCTGCCTCCCTGGGTTCAGGCGGCCCCTGTGTCCTGTCCCAGCCGAGACCCTCCCCTCCCGAGACCCTCCTTCCCTGGGTTCAGACGGTCCGGCCCCCGTGTCCTGTCCCTCGCGAGACCCTCTCTCCCTGGGTTCAGGCGGCCCCTGTGTCCTGTCCCAGCCGAGACCCTCCCCTCCCGAGACCCTCCTTCCCTGGGTTCAGACGGTCCGGCCCCCGTGTCCTGTCCCTCGCGAGACCCTCTCTCCCTGGGTTCAGACGGCCCCTGTGTCCTGTCCCACCTGAGACCCTTCCTCCCTGGGTTCAGGCGGGCCCTGTGTCCTGTCCCACCTGAGACCCTCTCTCCCTGGGTTCAGGCGGGCCCTGTGTCCTGTCCCACCTGAGACCCTTCCTCCCTGGGTTCAGGCGGGCCCTGTGTCCTGTCCCACCTGAGACCCTTCCTCCCTGGGTTCAGGCGGGCCCTGTGTCCTGTCCCACCTGAGACCCTTCCTCCCTGGGTTCAGGCGGGCCCTGTGTCCTGTCCCACCTGAGACCCTCCCTCCCTGGGTTCAGGCGGGCCCTGTGTCCTGTCCCACCTGAGACCCTCCCTCCCTGGGGTTCATCTGGTCCCTGTGTGTGACCCAGACACAGATATCCACGGCGGGGAGTGGGAATAGAAGAATGCTGACGTGGTAAGAGCACACGCCCAGCACCTGGGGTTCCGCGCTCGGTCCCTGGCCCCGGAGCCCCCGTCCAGCATGCGGGTGTCACCGATTAAGGAATAGTACCAGGACCAGAGGGGAGGGCCGGGGAAGGCACCTGCCGTGCAGCGGCTGACCAGGCCCAGGTCCCAGCACCCAATGTGGTCCTCAGCCCACCAGGAGTGAGCCTGGGTCCAGCATGACTAAGGCCTGAGCCCGGCCCGTGTGGCCCAACGGCTCTCTCCGTGTGAGAGTGGCAGTAACAGGAGATAGGAAACAAGCACTGTCTTGTGAAACTGTGTTGGGAGCACGATTCTGTGTAAGCGTAGAGTTGAGCGCAGTGACTGTTGGCCGAGCGCTCGGTACCTCTTGCTGTTGAGACCCTTATTCCAGGAGTGAGGGGGCAGTGAGCCTGCCTCTCAGAGCAGTCCTGGACCCTGGGTCCACCCCCCAGCACTGCTTCCAGGCTGATGCCCGTGTCCTCTGGCTTCTGTTGTAAGAAACCTCATCGCCTTCTCGGAAGACGGCTCAGACCCCTACGTCCGCATGTACCTGCTGCCAGACAAGAGGAGGTCCGGACGGCGGAAAACACACGTGTCCAAGAAAACCCTGAACCCAGTGTTTGACCAGAGGTATGGCCTTGCAGCTTTGCGCTACCGTTGGGCTCGGGTGTCGCCTCTGACCACTGATTAAGCCACACATTGCTGGGCCCTGGGAGAGTCTCCCCTGGTCAGCAGACACGAACATGTTACCTTGCAGAGGTCAGGGCTTAGTACACTGCCAGCCTGCGGGGAAGGAGCCTGGCGATCGATACGGCAGATTGTCAGAGACCCAAAGCCTTCCACAGCGTAATAAAATTACAACGGGGACTTGTAAACTGTAATAATAGTAGCAAACCTATTGTCTTTGTGCAATCCCACGTCTTGTGAAAACAGCGTAAGGGCAGGGTGTGGCTCTGGGTGCCCTTGCCGGACGCTCTGCCCACCTTTGCAGTGCAGTGTCCCGGGGGCTCCACCACCACGGCTAGGCTCTGCCATCACAGTGCATAGCTGGCACACCACCGCTGGGTGGGGAGTGGCCATTGTGCGCAGTGCTAGCCCGGACCACACACCACATGGGCCTGTTTCCACATCAGCAGCCGTGTTTGCACCAAGGTCAGAATTCAAAGGCTGTGGGTACTTCTTGTTTGTTTTTGGGTCACCCCCAGTGATGCCCAGGGTTTACTCCTGGCTCTGTGCTCAGGGATCACTCATGATGGGGTTTGGGAGGGATCGTACAAGGTGCCGGGGATCAAGCCTGGGTCAGCTGTGTGCAAGGCAAACGCCTTCCCCGCTGTGGGCATGTCGTTTCTGAGCTGTTGTATCTCAGAGCCTGGAGATGTCACATACACGTTTAGGTGTCTGGCCGCTGGCTGGGTGGGCAGGCTGCACCCTGGAGGCCTCAGGCCCGGTGCCAGCGCCTTGCAAGAATTTGGGTCCCTGGAGGCCTCTCCTGGGTCTGCACCAACCTGCTCAGCCCTCGAGAAGCCAGACACCCTTTCCTTCCCAGGAAGCCGTCCTACAGCTCATTTCCTTGTCCACTCACAAGGGCTTTCCAGTGAGTAGCCTGTGATTCCCACTGCTGCCTTGTCTGCCTGGTGCCTTACACCTGAGCCAAGCTGCTGTGAAGACCAGAGATCACAGAGCACCCTCGTATGTGAGGGAACAAGGCAGCGGGCGTGTGTGCAGGAAGAGTAGGTAATGAAAACTTGCCTTCTAGTTTTCATGAAATGTCAGATCCAAGTATCTAGCAGGGAAACCCGGTTTTAGGGGATACAAGAAACTTAGCGAACGTATTATTTTTCGGTTAAAATAAAATAGAGCAAAATTATGTAGGTTGTCCCATAATGAAAGCACGTTGGTTCTCTTGTCTGCTTCAGCTTTGACTTCAGCGTCTCATTGCCAGAGGTGCAGAGGAGGACGCTAGACGTGGCCGTGAAGAACAGCGGCGGCTTCCTGTCCAAAGACAAGGGTCTTCTTGGCAAAGTCGGTGACAGGGGCCTGCCGCAGCCCCGGGTCTCCGGGTCTGGGTGGGAAGGGCTGATGTTTGCACGGCAGGCGCACCGATGCCGTGGACAGAGTTGGCGGTATTTATCGTCACTAGGCTCACGTACCCTCTGAGAACATCTAGAGTGGGGCTTAGGGAAACTCGTCCCCCCAGGCCTCATCAGCCTCCGCACTGCTTTTTTTTTTTTTTTTTTTTTTTTTTGGTGGGGGAAAAGGAGGTTTGGGCCACGGCCAGCTGTGCTCAGGACTTCCTCCTGGCTCTGTGCTCAGGGTCACTCCTGACAGTGCTCGGAGGTCAAGCCCAGGTTGGCCGCGTACAAGGCAAGCGTCCTGCCTGCTGTGCTATCTCCCTGGTCAGCCCTCCTGCTGCTGATGGGTCATTAGCCGGCATCCTTGTCTCTCGGCTTCGCCACTAATACTTCTTTGTGGTTTCGTTTGGACGCTCTTGAGGACAGGCCCTCTCGGGCAGAATCAGCCATGGTGCTTGTGAGTGGGTCCATTTTGGTGCAGAGGGTACGGAAATGAGACTCAAGTTCTGTATAAGTAGCAGATCAAGAGATCATACGGGTCTTGGGTCGTTCTCTTGGGCACCTGGAACCGTTTAATACTGCATGTCAGTTCTCCAGTGTGAAGAAAAAGCACATTGAAGAGATCAGAAGGGGTGAAAACTCTAGAAGGAATTGCCTCGGCCTACCTGACAGGCTCTGTTTTTAAACCCGCAGGTATTGGTCAGTCTAGCCTCTGAAGAACTTGCCAAAGGCTGGACCCAGTGGTGAGTGTCCCTCCGGTGACCCAGCAAGTCCCGTGCTCCATAGTGCTCCCTCCCTGACCCTGGTCTGTGCTGTGCCCTCACAGGTACGACCTCACGGAAGATGGGACTCGGCCCCATGTGACGTAGCAGCCCTGGACAGGACAAGCCCAGAACACACCCCTCCCAGATGCAGCCCTGCTATTTTTATACTTAACATGTTGTGCTATACAGACCGGAATTGTTTTATAGAACAGGGGCCGTTTCAGGAAGATTCGTTCGGTGACGCCGTTCAGTCTTGTATGTCTTATTTCCCCTAGTGTTTCACCAGTTGTTGCTGCATACAGTAGGGTGGTAGTTAACCCTGTGTTGCGTGAAGTGGTCGGTCGTACCCACGAGGAAACGGACATTTGTGTATGCTTCACTGAGGCCTTGTTTGGTGTGTCACTGAGGTACACTCTGCTATGTATATACTCTATTTTTTATAATCTCTATTCTGGTTTCAATTCAGAAGAAAATGAATTACGAAATATTTATTTTCTTCTAAAATGTTAAATTCTATGATAAAATCATCAGTTTTGTTTTTGCAGGAAAAAAGTTCTTTATGACCTATTTTCTGGTGTTTCTTTTTAAAGAAAAGCAGAAAGATTTATCATTTTTGGTATATTTCTCCCCATCATGAATGATGAAAGTATTTAAAATATTAACATTTACATAAGAAGATGTATTAAGACGTTAGTTAAAGTGCTTTAAGGAAAATTGTTGTATACCTGAGTAATATAAAATGTTAAGAAATTGCAATGGTTTGTAAATCATAGTCAACTTCTCCGAAGTTTCTTACATAAAATATATGTCTTAATTTTTAATTGTTTGTCGTCATTTACTCGTGAGACTGAGCACACACACACACAGACTTTTCCCGGGCCGTCACAAGGGCGTGTGAGACTGAGCGCGCGTACACAGGCCCCTCACCGGCGTGACACCGGGTGTTGGGTGTGAGCAGTGACTGTGAGGCAGCCCTCAGGGCTCTTTCCTTGGCTTTCCCAGCCGGAGAGAGGTTGGCGTGGCCTCTGTCAGGGCTCTCACTTGCCCACGAGCATCAGCCCAGGAAGAGGCTCGCTCTGCCCCAGTGGGGGCCCCCCATGCAGAGGCCGCTGGGTGTAAGAAGCCTTTCCAGAGATTCCTCACTTCACAACTCATTGACCTCAGGACTGGGATGTTGTTAGTAGTATTATTTCATGGGGTGCTGGAGTGATACATTGGGGAGGGCATTTGCCTTGCAAGTGGCCAACCTGGGTTCAATCCCCAGAACCCCATATGGTTGCCTGAACTCTGCACACCCCCTCCCCCCAAAAAAGTATTATTCAGAATAGTTTTCTTTTTAAATGTTTCTCTTTTTTTTGTTTTGGCGCCACAACTGGCGATGCTCAGGGAACCGCATGGGATGCCGGGGATCGAACCCAGGTCTGCCACAAAAGGCAGGCACCTACCTGCTGTGCTATCACACTGGCCCTCTGTAGATTTTGGAAGTCATGTTTCATATTCTCGGAGTCAGGAGCAGATGCCAGAGAGGTAGAGCACTTGCCTTGCATGCAGCCGACCCAGGTTTGATCCCTGCCCCCAGATGCTCTCTCAAACCCCACCAGTACCTTCTTGCCCACTGCTGAGTGTGGCCCAAAACGGAGGGACCAGGGCCCTGAGGTCACACAGAAGAGTCACCCTCAGGTGGGAAACTCTGACGCAGATTGCTTCCTTCGCCCCTGAACACCCAGAAGCCACGGTGCCGATGCCGGGAGTGCCAGGAGCTCTGTGATCGGCGCTCCCACCGGCTGTGCAGACGGCCCTTGTGACCAAGTGACGACGGTCTTCACACTCACACTTTCACATTCGATTCCCAGCTACACCAGGTACACGTGTTCTCAGAGACGGTGTGACCCAGGTCTCCTCGTGGAGCTGAGTTCTGCAGCCCCGCAAGGAGCCATTCCCAGTGCTCGTGCCCAGGAGGGCCAAGACACCTGAGCATGGACACACAAGGCCGTCCACCGTGGGGGCGTGATGTCGTGAAGGGTGGGGGCTGGTGCGGCCAGTTAACCCGGGACATCAGAATGAGTGAAGATGTGTTGAGTTTTCATTTCATTTCATTTCATCATCCTGTTATTCGTCGATTGCCTCGAGCAGGCCCCAGTAACGTCTCTTTCATCCTAGCCCTGAGATTATATTCAAGGCTATTTAGGAGAATGAGACCCATCATTGTTACTGGTATTTGGCATATTGGGTACGTCACGGGGAGTTTGCCAGACTCTGCCCTGTGGGCAGGCTACATTCGATAGCCTGTAAGTTTGTCCAAAGTAGGAATGAGACAATAAGATGTCATAAAAAAAAGTTGTGATATGTTGTGTGTTGAGTAGCTCTGTTAAAAAATTTCTGGCATGGGGCTGGAACGATAGTACAGCGGGTAGGGCGTTTGCCTTGCGCGTGGCCGATCCAGGTTCAAATCCCAGCATCCCATATGGTTCCCCGAGCACCCCCAGGAGTAATTCCTGAGTGTATGAGCCAGGAGTAACCCCTGTGCATCACCAGTGTGACCTAAAAAGCCAAAAAAAAATTTTTTCTGGAATGAGTAATGAAAAAAGATAGTCTTCACTGAAACGTAACACACTGATAGTCCTCAGCATTCTGAGTGCTTGGGGTTTGCGTCATCTCCTTCACTTCTTTGGTCTATGCTTAATGGAATGTTTTATTTAAATAATCAGGCAGAATAGAAACAACCCAAGCTGCAAAGCCCAACAGAGCCAGTCAGCAGCCTGGCGCCCACCGCCTGGTGCCCGACTGGGACTGGGAGGGGGTCCCTCCCCAGGGAGGGCCGCTGAGACACTCCGCCCTCAGCAGACTTACCTTCAGGGCCACTGGCACGCCTGGGTCTGGCTTCAGATGATCGACTCACTGAGGAGCGGTTCCTCGCTCTGTCTGTGAGCCGTCAGCCGGGAGGTGAGCTTGAAGGTGGGTGCTCCCTGTGACTGCCTGTTTGCTGTAAGGCGGGCGGCGTGGTTCAGGCTTCAGGTTTGAGCAGCAGCAGCCCTGAATCTCTGTTCACCCGCCGCAGCTCACAGGTGAGGTGCTGTCCAGTGTCCAGCAGAAGGTCAGGCCTTCTCAGGACCTCAGCTGTTGGATACTAACCCTCAGTATGTAGGCTTCATCAGCGAATTGCTCCCTTTCCTCCTCCCAGAGAAGCTTGCAGTGCTCCTTCGAGCATCCTTAATCCCCCGAGTTTCTCTCTAACCTTTCCTTTTGGCTTTACCCCTCATTGTTACATTCCCCGAATCAACCTTGGTTACTTTTAAGCCAAAGCTTTCTGGTAATTCTGGATTTTGTGTTTGTAGTGAATTACTTGCTTTTCTGTTTCCCTCCAGCCTTTTCATATTTTAATACGGGGCAGAGTTCTTTGCTTAAGCACAGAAAGACCTAAATGCCACGCTCCTAATACTTGGGAGTTGATTGGCTCTGAAATAGATCTACTCCTGGGCATCCATCATAATGACTTGACTCAGGCTTCACATGCTGTAGTTCCTGACACCCCAGATGGAGGTCCCACCTCCGTAGGATGCACCCAGGGCCAGTGACAAAGCTACCCCAGCATCAAAATGGGACATTCTAGAAAGCATAAATGCATGATCTTAATGCGCGTTGTTTTGACTTAAGAGACAGGACCCCCAGGGGGAAGGACAAGCTGAACTGGCCTGAGGACGTAGTGTGGGATTTGCAGTAAAAGCCTTGCTTGCTCTCAGAGCCCAGAGAACTAAGTTTTGGGATCTTTATCTCTTACTGTGTTTACCCAAATGACTGCAAGTATTGGTAAGAAGTAGAATTAATTGTTTTACTAATTTTTGACTTAATTGTTTGATGGGCTGGAGTGATAGCACAGCGGGTAGGGTGTCTGCCTTCCACACGGCTGACCCTGCATTCCTCCGCCTTCAATTCCTCTGCCCCGCTCGGAGAGCCCGGCAAGCTACGGAGAGTATCTCGCCTGCACGGCAAAGCCTGGCAAGCTACCCATGACGTATTCGATATGCCAAACACAGTCACAACAGGTCTCACAATGTTACTGGGCCCGCTCGAGCAAATCGATGAACAACGGGAGGACAGTGACAATTGTCTGAGATATATATATATATGACTAGAAGGAAAGAGACAAAGGAATATAGATATCCCTGGGAGACGGAGTGTCTCCTTGAGATTATCTCCCCCCGAGAATTGCCTCTGCTGGAATGTTTTACCTCTGTAAGTCACACGGCATGCAGTCCTACGCCTCTGACCCCTTCAGATGCTCTAGAAGTGTGCTAGCAACTCTGCGTTAAACGGGCCATTTTCACCATCAGGGTGTGGTCCCTGTCTCTGTCTCTCTGCTGGGGAGGCCTGGGGAGGACAGGAGGCGGCTCTCGGCCACTGAACTCAGACGCATTGTCAAAGCACCTGCACATTTTGTGAACTCACACTCGGCCAGACGCAGACGGGTGTGTGTAGGTGGGAGCCGGCTCCAGCTCTGCCGGGGCTGATGGGACCCCCAGTGCAGGCGGAGGCAGAGGGGCTCGTTGGTTAGATGGTGGCTGCCTCTACCCGGCGGTGCGCAAATTCATGCAGTTAAACATAAGTCGGCCAATGGCGGGGGCTCCCTCTGCAGAGCGAAAGCTTGTGTGGGCACTGCGCGCTCTGAAAGGTAGGCGGTGTGTGGCGGGCACTTGTTCTTCGTTGTTCTGTTTTTAGAAAGACAGTGTTGGAGTCATGTTAGGCCTCCAGTCCTGTCTCTGCCGCCTCTCCTCCGCCTGCCTTAGACTCTGGTGTGCAGTGACTCCCCGGAAACGGTGGGGATGAGGTTTGACACCCTGTGACGGGACTAGAGGAGCAGCCTGGTCTGGGCCAGCGAGGGGAGGCGAGGGCACGGCCAGGGTTCACTCCTCAGGGCTGGCTGTGCAAGGCGGTCACCCTGCCCTTGGCCTCTGCGTTCAGTCAGCCTGACTGTCCACTCTTGTTCTACAAAGTGGACAGGTGGAGCATGCCTCCTGCCCTTCCCCGCCTTCCCGTGTGTCTGTGGCCCTGGTTCACAGTTCTCTCAGCGCTTGCCTTGTCGGCATGTCAGACCAGCCGCTGGGGTTACGTGCGTGTCCCCAGCTGTGGCTGCATGCGTGAGCTGGGCCGGGACCTCGGGACTCCCTCTGCCCGGCACATCAGGAGCATGCCCGCCCGCACACACTACCACGCACCCTCTGTGGGCAGTCGCCTCCTGGCTGCGCTTCTCCCTCCTGAAGCCTCGGCCCACGTGCTGGCCCCAGCCACCCACCCCTGGCCAGCCTGCCCTCCTCGCCTGGTGAAGCCTTGCGACTCCTCAAGCCTCCGAGGCTGGAGCCTGTTCACGTGCATCTCCTGTCTGGCCGCACGCTGCCCAGGCAGAGGTGGGGACACGTTTCCGCTGGCACGTTCCTGGCCCTCCTGTCGGGTGATGGCAGGGAGGGTCTGGAGGCCTTTCAGCTCTGGTCTCTGCTTCCATGGCCAGAGGGGCCTCTGGTGACCGTGTTGGTGGCGCCAAGGAGACCTCTGGAGCGCAGTCGGGATACAGGGGCAGGAGCACGTGGTAGGACGGCAGGAGCGCGGTTGAGGCCCGAGTGGGAGTGAGCCAGACACCTGCCTTTGCCGTCCGTCTGGAACTGCAGCACAGCATGAAGAGAGTTCTGGAGAGTTTCCCTGCAGCTGAGTGTGTGAACCTCACACAGGGGCCCCCACACGAGGCCTGCGCTGTCGGGGTCTGACACTGGGTCTGCGGCCGAGCAGGGGGAGATGGAGCCGAGCTGTGTCCGCGGCAGCCCCAGCCACTGGCGCGACCTTGGGCCTTCATGCGGGATGAAGTATCCCCCTCCCCGGCCCCCGGGAGCAGAGCAGCAGGGCAGCGTGTGCTGTTGGGACGTCGCTGCTCTGAGCTCAGCTTGTTCCTGTGCTCCGAGGAGAGCCCGAAGCTTTTCCGTCCCCTCGTAGGACTCTGAGCCAGTACCCCTGTCCTGCGGTGGCCGTGCTCCTTGGGAAGCTTCCAAGAAAGGAGTCCCAGTCGGGGCTTCACGGCCACCCTGCTAGAGTGCCTCCTCACGGCTGCACGGTTGCTGAGGTAGCTGGGCCCGAGCCCTCCGACTGTGTCAGGGCCTGGCCCATCCAGTGCTGGCCCCACTCGGCCACTGTCCATCAGGCATTGATGCCTGCAGAACTGGGCACTGAGTACCCATTCACCTCTCTCCCCAGACAGCACCCAGCTGTGGGCGTCCTGACATCAACCCAAACACAGGCAAGGCTGGTTGTGCCCCCGGCACAGAACTGTGGCCAGGGCCGGCCACAGTGGACGGTGGCTGCAGGCGCTGTGCTGCGTGGCCTGAGGTAGGACAGGTGGGCGTGTGGGCACGTGTGCCTGGCCTGCACCCCCGACAGTGCTCACACTGCTGCAGTCAAGAGGGGCTGAGCCCTGAGGGTCCCAGGCAGCTGCAGGGAGAGCTTGTGCCCCCCCCTGCCCGCCTCACATGTCCCCCAGTCTCGGGTTGGCATCTCAGGGGCCCTGCAGGCATCTTTTCCAGGAGGGATATTACAGCCGAGGCTACAGGGTCCGGCCAATGGACAGCAGTGTACTGACCCCTCGGGTGTCTAGACACTCGGACCAGGCCCTTCCCCGAAGGACCCAGGTCTACTGCCCTGCTGCTCTGCTCCCGGGGCCGGGGAGGGGGACACTCAGGCCCCCAGCTACTTCTGCTGTTTCTTCACATGGGAGCAGACACGCCCACGTCCACATTCCACAGATTCAAACATTTGGACACAAAACCACAGAAGGAGGGAACTGTTGTGCAACCCAGCCCAAGAAGTCAGACCCCAGCCCTCAGTTCCAGGACAGAGGCCAGCACAGTACCGAGCACAGCGGCACCTGGGCGAGGCCCTTTCTCTGGGGGGTGGCGGGAAGTTTGGTTCAGGCACCCCGAGTCACAGTCCCAGGGGGACGTGTGGGTGCTGGGAGCAACCGCGGGGTCTCGCATCGTGTTCCAGCCCTTGCCCCCGCCGCCCCCTCTCCATCGATCGTCCGTGCGTGCACTGTGTGCAGCCACCACCGCTGACCCCGGGCCGCGTTAACGGATGCACAGCCCCCATTACGGGTCAGATCAAGTCCCAAGTGGTTCCCTCCGCGTGTTCTCTCTGTGAGCCTTGCTGGCCCTCGCAAGTCCCCCCCCCCACACACACAGGCCACCGTCCCTCCAGCGTTCCTCACTGACGCGGAGAGACCTGTCCACTCTGCTCAGCCAGAGCACGGCATCACCCAGAGCAGCGTCTGAAGTAAGGCAGGTGCGGCCAGGTGACCCCGGGGCCCCCTGAGGCCCAGGCAGGACCTGCGGGAGCAGGAGGGACGGGGAGGCTGAGACAAACCGGGCACTCGCTCTCCTGGTGCCTCCCTGAGGTCAGCCTCTGACTGGCCCTGGCTCGTCCTGCATGATGCCGACAGTTGCCCAGGCTGTGCTGCCCAGGGCCTGGAGTGGGGGGCTGTGGGGGTCTGGGGGTGTCACAGGGTCCCTGTGAGGAGTAGGGGTGAGTGGAGGGTGCTCATGGGGGCCCCGGGTGGAGCGTCTAGGTGGGGGTCCACGGGTTCTGCCTCGAGTACGGACTGCAGGGCGTGTGGCAGCCCTGTGCAGTGTGGGAGGGGGGGATGACCACACTGTGGTCCGTGGCCCAAGGCCCAAGTGTGTGACTGGACAGGAGGTCCAGAGGCAGCTCAGAGCTTACAGCGCCCGCTTACCTGGGGGGTGCGCCAGGGCCCGAGCACTAAGTAGGGTGGGCCCTGAAGACCTTCACTGGCCATGGGGACAGCCCTTGCTGCCCCAGGGGTCAGTGGGGGCACTACCGTGGACAGGAGGACAGGAAAACTTGTTCATTTAATTGGTCACTTTAGACCTCAGCTGCAAGACGGGTAACGGGAGGGTTTGGGGTGGGCAACAGCAGATGGAAGGAGGCTCAGGTTCTCCCCCCACGTCTCCCCCTCTGCCTCTTTCTTCCCGCACCCCTAGTGATCCCGCTGCACTTCTCAGACTCGGAAAGTCGCTGGCTAGAGCACTGCACGGGGCCGACACCAGGCCGATGCACAGAGGGACAGGACTGCCTGTGCTGTACGCTGGGCCGGGCGCGAGGGCGGTAGTGCTCGGGGTCAGGCTGAGTAGCTCTGGGCAAGCAGGCACTTGGCTTCCTGTACGTTTCCTTTCCAGCCCTCCCAGGGGTCGTCCCCAAGTGTGGCCGCCGAACCAGCCCTCCAACCATGTGGTTCTGCCAGGACCGGGAAAGTTCAATAAAAGGTTTTTAAAAGAAACCATTATGTCCCCTAAATGTAAGTCATCAGTATAATGAATAATAATTAATGCATCTGGATAAAGATTTTTTATTTTTGTAAATGTAAAAACCGAGAAAGCGAACGATCTCTAGTGATTGGATTAAATAACTCTTTTGAGGGCAGGGGAGAGAATTCATAGGGCTGTACATGACCTTTCTGTGCCGGGGGGCGGCTTTGACCCCAGCCGTCTGGGGCCCAAGGGCAGCCCCAGGGGGTTGTCAAAGTACTTTTTTCAAATTCAGGTTTTGGGGTTTTTCTTTGGGGGGTCGGACATCAGCAGTGCTCAGGGCTTCCTCCTTGCTCTGTGTCCAGGGATCACTCCCGGTGGGCCCTAGAGGTGCCTGGGATAGAGCCCGGTAGGCTGCGTGCAAGGCCAGGCCCTGTCCTGTCCCTCGGTCTGCAGCAGGGCATGACCTGGGGCATTTCAAGGAAACAGGGAGCGAGATGCGTGCTGAAAGTAGACTATAGACCGAACACGATGGCCACTCAATACCTCTATTGCAAACCACAACACCCTAAAGGAAAGAGAGAGCAAAAGGGAATGCCCTGCCATAGAGGCGGGGTGGGGTGGGGGGGTGGGAGGGCTACTGGGTCCATTGGTGGTGGGGAATGGGCACTGGTGGAGGGACGGGTACCCGAACACTGTATAACTGAAACCCAAGCACGGAAGTTCCTAAGTCTACAACTATACCTCATGGTGTTTCACTAATTAAAATAAAAAGAAAAAAGAAAGGTTAAAAAAAAGGGAACAGGGAATCCAGGGTCATATTCTTGGTATTTTTGTCCGTCTCCTCAGGGGACTGAGTCCTCCCGGTATTCACACCTGGGAACACGAAGACTCTGGAGAAGTGGGCGTCATTAGGTCATCCCCAAGCACGTCCCTGGACCGCTGGGACACCGGCCACGGGCGGGGGCGTAGCTGACAGGCGGCTGGGGGCGGGGCCGGGGCTGGGCGGGGCCGGGGCGGGGCCGGGGCTGGGCGGGGCCGGGGCGGGGCCGGCGGCAGGGCGGGGCCCGGGCTGGGCGGGGCCGGAGGCTAGGCGGGGCCCGGGGGTGGGGCGGGGCAGGGGCGGGGCAGGAGGCGGGGCCTGGGACCCGAGCACGGCGGGGGCGGCCCCCGCGGCCGCCACGACGCGGGCTGAGCCCCGACAGCGCGCGCTTCCGGCACCGGAACTGCGGGCGCGGGCGGGCCGGGGCGGGGCGGGGCCGAGCGGGGGCGGGGCCGGGGCGCGGGCGGGGCCGGCGCGCCGCGGGCTCGGGGCGGGGCTTCGTGCGCGCACGCGCGCGGCGGCCCGGAAGTGCGGGCGGGGCGCGAGCGCGCGAGGCGGAGGCGGCCCGGCGGGCGGGCCCGGGTGGCGGCTGGGGGGCGCGCGCCGCCCGAAGCCCCGCCCCGGGGAGCGGCTCTCGCGAGACTGCGCGCCGTGACGCGCGGCCGCGGGCGCGTCGCGGGCGCGGGCGGGCGCGTTTGAATGTGGTCGGAGCGCGGGAAATCGGCGGACCCGGCGCTGAGGTGAGCGGCGCGGCGGCGGCGGGACGGGTCCGGGGCGCGGGCCCGGCCGGACAGTCAGCCCGGGGCGGCCCGGGAAGGGCCCCGGCGCGGTGTCCAGCCGGCGCCCTCGCGGCCCGCGCGTCGGCAGCGGCCGCCCGGCTCCGGGGCTCGAGCCCTCCGCGCGCCTCGTCGGGCCGCGCTCGCCCGGGGGTCGCCTGCTTCGGGAGGGGCCGGCTCCCCTCAGCGGGCGGCCAAGGGGCCCTCGCTCCCCTCAGCGGGGTCTCGCTCGCCTCAGCCGGGGGCTCGCTCGCCTCAGTGGGGCGGGGAGGGCGCCTCAGTCGCCTCAGCGGGCGGCCGAGGGGCCCTCGCTCGCCTGAACGGAGGCTCCCTAACCTCAGCGGGGGGCGGGGGTCTCCGCTCCCCTCAGCGGGGCTTCACTCGCCTCGGCGGGGCCTCACTCACCTCAGAGGGGGGCTCGCTCACCTCAGCGGGGCCTCACTCGCCTCAGAGGGGCGCGGACCCGGGCGCCTAGCTCCCCTCAGCGGGGCTTCACTCGCCTCGGCGGGGCCTCACTCACCTCAGAGGGGGCTCGCTCGCCTCAGAGGGGGGCTCGCTCACCTCAGTGGGGCCTTGCTCACCTCAGCGGGGCTTCACTCGCCTCAGAAGGGCCTCGCTCGCCTCAGCGGGGCCCTCGCCTCGCCTCTGCAGGGGACGCGTCTGTGGGGCTGGAGCTGTGCCACCCCGACCCACGCGGCGGGGGTCATTGCTGGGCCCCGCGGGATCTCGCGCCCTGGGGCGCGGGGCAGGGGCGGAGGTGCCGGCAGGGGCTCGGCTGCCGGTGACCCGCAGCCCGCCCGTAGTCGTGCCTGTGGGCAGTGGGTGGGTCCGAGGCGGACACGGGTGCTTCTCTGTGGGGACAGCCAGCCCGCCCCGCCGGCCTCGCGGGTTCCGTGTGGCTCTGGGCGGGGTGCAGCAGGGGCTTTGTTCTGTCGGCCCTCGGTTGGCTTTCGGAAGTGGGTGCCGTGAGGAGGGTCCCTGGGCGCTCGTTACCCCGCAGCGCTGGCGGAGTGGGCGTGTGTGCCTGGCGCCCGGCCGCCCTAACGAGCTCCCAGGTGCCCGGGAGCACTCTGCCGCTGCAGCTGGGGCTGTTGACAGCGCGGTGCGCGGCGCCAGCCTCTGAGGCCCAGCTGCCAGGCCGGCTTCTCCTGAGGAAATTCCGCCCTGACGGGGCAGCGCCTTGCTCCGAGCAGGGAGCAGCGGGAGAGCCGAGAGCGGCGTGGTGGGTGGCAGCCTCACGTGTGCCGCTTGGTCCCGTCCTCAGGAAAGAGGTGAAGGGGTCCCTGTTGCTGGAAACTGTTTCGGAGGTGGCAGAGGAACTCTGCAAGCTCGCGGGCGGTGCCCAGCTGCATCCTGCAGGGAAGCCGCGGTGGCCAGCGCAAGCTTGACCGTGGCTGCCTTTTCTTCTAGGGTCACAGGATAGATGCTGCAGGAAGACCTGCCTCCTCCGCCATGGAAAAACGCGAGGCCTTTATTCACGCCGTGTCTAAGGAGCTAATTGGAGAGTTTCTAAAATTCATCCAACTTGACGTGAGTTGTGTGGGGTTTTCGTTTCTTGGTTTGGGGCCACACCTAGCCGTGCCCGGGGCTTTCCCCAGGGTCTGGGCTCAGGAATTATTCCCGGCCGTTCTTGGGGGACCGACCGAACTGGGTGCCGGGGATCAAGCCTGGGTCCGCCGTATGCAAGGCGAGTGCCATGCCCACCGAACTGTCACTCCAGCCAGTAACTGAGTTGTGATCCTGACTGTTTGTTTAAAGCATTGTGGGACCGGAGTGATAGTACAGCGGGTCTGTGTTGCCTTGCGTGTGGCCGACCCAGGAGTCCGTCCCCCTCGCCACTCCCGAGCCCCACAGGCAGTGAACCCTGCGTACACAGCCAGGAGTGGGCCTGAGCGCCTGTGGGTGTGGCCCAAGCACCAGACAGTTGTTGTGTGCTCTTTACTGTGCCCTTCCGGAGCTGATGCAAAAGAGAAAGATGAGTCATCAGAGAGCCCCGGGAAGAGGCAGGACGCTTCCTTGGGATCTCGTCTGGAGTCACAGCAGAAAGAAGGGCGTCGAAGCCCAGCCTCCTGCCTGCAACACTAGCTCGCCCCTTGGAGCTCCCTCTAGCCCTGTGGCTCTTTTTTATTCTTTTCCAGGTTCGGCCCACCCCTTGGTGCCTAGAGGTTGTTTCTGGCTCTCCTCGAGGCAACCCAGGGCATTGCTTGGGTTGGGGGGGGCCATATATGGTGCGGGGGGTTGAATTAAGTCAGTGGGAAGCAAGGCAAGTGCCTGCACCTCAGTGCTTTCCCAGGCCTCTGGATCTCTTCTTCCTTTGTCTTTTGTCTGTTTTGTTTTGTTTGGACCCTAGCGGGCATTGTTCTTTTGGGTCTTACTTCTGCTGAGCATGGGTCAGTCTTCTCAGTGCTTGAGGGACCATAGTTTGGTACTGGGGATCAAACCGGGGCTGGCCCTGTGCGAGGCAGGAGCCTTAATTCTCATCATGTATCTCCTCTTTCTGGAATGCTGTTGGGGGCTGGAGAGATAGTACAGTGGGTAGGGAACTTGCCCAGAATGTGGCTGGCCCGGGCTCGATCCCCAGCACCCACATGGTCCCCCAAGTACTACCAGGAATAGTTCCTGAATACAGAACCAGGAGTAATCCCTGAGCATTGCCGGGTGTGGCCCCAAAACAAAAGAATACTGTCGGGAGGTGCAGTGCTATGACATGATGTGCTTCTATGTAATAAATGTTGATTGTGCGTGTATGTTAGGTCTAGGCTGGGCCAAGGACTGGGGCCTGAGAGGGAACAGCACATTAGCATGAAGTGTTTTTTCTCTGGGCAGAAAGTACTAGATAAACAGAGGTACAGAAGTTTGAGGATCAAAGAGGGAAAATGGGAAGGGATGGCTCCAGGGGACAACTTCATTTACTTATGTTGGGTTGGGGTCCCTTACTCCTGGCTCTGCACTCAGGAATCACTCCTGATGGGGCTCAGGGGACCCTGTGTGGTATCAGGGCTTGAACCCAGGTTAGCTCTGTGAACACTATCCTTCCCGCTATATTATCTCCCCATGCTTTTTTTTTTTTTTTTTTTTGCTTTTGCTTTTGCTTTTTGGGTCACACCGGCAATGCTCAGGGTTACTCCTGGCTCTGCACTCAGGAATTACTCCTGATGGTGCTCAGTGGACCATATGGGATGCTGGGAATCAAACCGGGGTCGGCTGCGTGCAAGGCAAACTCCCTACCTGCTGTGCTGTCGCTCCAGCCCCCATGCCCAGGGGGCTTGAACCCAGGTTCTCCATATGAAGGCATGTGCTAACCCACTGAACCACATCCCCAACCTTTTACTATCTTAAGGAAGGTGTCTTAGGAGCCTTACTCAGAGAATTACCTACAAAGGATAGAACAGAAGAGGGAAAAAAAAGAGAGAGAGAAGCAGTGGGGCAGAAAGCTGGAGGAAAATCACATTTTCCCTTTGGAAGTCTTTGGTTGTATATGAGGAGTAGAGTTAGAAACAACTCCAGGCACCTGAGCAGCAGTACTGTGGGTACGCCGTTTGCCTTGCACACAGCTAAAAAGACCCAAAAAGCAGGAAAAAGAAAAAATAATTCTTTGGGATGGGGTCGGAACAGGAAACAAAGTGTCACTTTGAGCCTCCAGGAGAGGGGAGCCTCTGGGGTGAGTGGATCATCAGATATGGGCCAGTTGTGCCATTTGGAGTGCTCCTGGGTGTGGAGCACATGAGCTGTTGTGCAGTGCTGAGTGACACTGTAGGACATACTGATGAGTCTTCAGTAGGTGTTCTGTGTGTTTGAAGGCTGGGAAAGTGGTCTGGACTGCCCTCACTCCCAGTAGAAGTCTTATTCCTGGGAATGTGTGAAATTGTCTATGAGAAGTGAAAAAAGAAGTCTGAGGAGCCACAGCCAGTAAAGCACCAAACCTCACGTACTTATGACTTTGGGGCAAAAGACATTTTCTCTGTTTTGTTTTGTTTTGTTTTCCAAATTGTTTTTGGGTCACACCTGGTGGTGCTCAGAGCTTACTCCTGGCCCGTGCTCAGGGATCACTCCTGGTGGGGCATGGGGGACTATATGGCATGCCACATGCAAGGAAAGAACCTACCTGTTGTGCTATTTCTGGCCCCACTTCCTCTTTGTACTGATCCTGCGGTGAATTAGTGAAGACTTAAGAACCAGAGAGGAGCATAATCGTAAGTTGGTTGCTAGGAACTCTTAGGAGATTATCGTTCGTAATTGAGACAAAATTGACATCTAGCAGGACTCTGCCATCATAGAATGATAGTTTGTGAGCCTAAAATCCCTTACCGAGGGACTGGAGAGATAGTGCAAATAAGGTGGTTGCCTCACATGCAGCCAACCTGGGTTCAATCCCTGGCACCCTATATGGTCCCCCAAATCCGCCAGGTGTGATCTCTGGACACAGAACCAGGAATAAGCCCTGAGAGCTGCTGGGTCTGGCCTCCAAACAAAAATGAACACAACCCCCTTGCCCAGACTCACAGGCATTCACCGTGGCTGTGTTCAGGAGAGCAGTATCCATTGCTTTAGCAGCAGGAGTGTAGGTGGTTTGTCAGGATCTGAGAGCTGGTGTACCTAAGCCAGGTGAGGGGTGGCCAGAATCATAGCAGCCTAAACGACAAAGCAGCTGAGTTTGAGTTTAGAGTCAAAGGCAGAGTGAGCACTACATGAAGAACAGGTGATACTGGTGCTGCGGTGACGTTGTCCTAACTGCAGAGCCTGGAACTGCTGTCATGCAGTATCTGGAGACTGCTCTGGTTCGGTTTCAGCAAGCACTTGTGGCAGTTTATGACTAGCACGTTTCGTGAACGCTTAATAGTGCCTCAGACATACATTGCTTTGTGGTAGACAGCATGAAATCTGCGAAACGCAAGGGCAGAGCAGACGGAGTGGGAGAGCTGGGTTCGCACACCCTCCAGACCTCCGCCTCAGAAATTGGTGCTTCACACAGACAGTGGCGCTGTCCTGGACACATCAACTTCTTAGGAAGTACCTGGTGTACTCCAGAGAGGTGGCTCAGAGGTAAAACAATTGTGAAGGTGAGACCTGAGTTCGATCCCCAGCACCTCAGGAAAAGAAACAAAGATGCGCCTGATGCTGCTGAAACTGACCCTTTCCCTGGACTAAGCTCTCGAATTTGCATGGAAAGGGGTGCCTTGTTCCTGCTGGTCTAGTACAGAGGGCAGGATGAGACACAGCACGCACACTGGCACCCACCCCTCAGTTGCCTCTCCACCACCATTGCAGGGTCTGAGTTAGTGTAGTGAGCAGAGGCCACCGCGCATAGATGCACATCCTGACCCAGTGTGCTCATGTGCTTGCTGCTGTCAGTGGCTGCTCAGCACCATCTCCCTCTTGGCTCCTGTTTTCCCCCAGATATCCAGGCAGCTGCAGGCATCTGTCTCAGCCTCAGCTGCATTCTGGCAGGAGCACAGTGGGAATGTCAGCCTCCTTGGTGGCAGTTTGCTGTGCCCTGACTGGAAAGTTAGTCTGGCCAGTGGCTCAGGGGTGGCTTTCTCCATTGTGAAGCTGCTCTCCTGTTCATCATGACTGCATTGTCAGAATGAAGAGCATTCTGCAACCCACATCTGTCTCTGGGTTCTTGCTGTTTCAGATCCTCCCTGGGACACCCGGTCCCGGGAGAAATAAATCAGTAAACTTCTCTTGAGATGTCATTATAACAGGAATAGAAGGATTTAAAAAAAAATCCTATTTTTTTTTTTGTATTTCAAATGTAATGTTTGATATTTTATTTCACAGAGAGATTCTTCTGATCCTTTCAACCTGAATGAATTGCTAGAAGAATTATCAAGGAAGCAGAAAGAAGAACTCTGGCAAAGACTTAAGAGTTTATTAACAGACTTGCTGTTAGAAAGCCCCGTGGATGGCTGGCAGAACATGGAGCCCCAGGATGAAGATATTATGGAGACAGAGCATGATTCAAAAATGGTAATATTAGTTTTCCAGAAATCTGGTTCCTTTTCTCGGCTAAAAAGTCCTTGTGCACTGTATGTGATTGAGTGGTAAGTCAAGAAAATGTTTGAGGTTTAGAAGTATTTATCATAGTCTTATATTTTGTAATCCTAATTTATCACTTTAGTATTCTGTGTTGATTTTATTTTCAGACAACTGACTTGTAATCAACTTTAATTCACTTTTTGGAATAAGCTAGAAGTGTAGGCTTCGTTAAAAATGAATTCACTACATTTTAAATTTCTTTTGAAAACTGAAATAATTATTTGCAATTTTTTTCTTTTAGAAAAATAATGTAAAAATAATTCATGCAATTACGTCCGTGATTCTTGCCTCAGTGTCAGTGATAAATGAAAGTGAGAACTATGAGGCCTTGCTGGAGTGTGCCGTCATACTCAATGGTGAGTTGACTGAGACCCAGTCTCACATTTGGAAGGGAAGCATCTCACCCCATCCGAGAGCTGCACTTATCCACAGGTGTGGGAGGTTGATACCACAGGTGTGAGGGACAGTGAACCAAGGTGGCAGCTTAAAGTGGAGTTGGCCTGAAATAGTTCTTGGCAGTCAGTTCCAAACTGCAGTTGAGAGGGGAGGAGGGAAGGGGGCTATTTTGATGGGCTGTCCTAAGGAATAGCTGGACTGAAGCTGTCACAGAGAAATGATTCCATTGGGGACAGTGTGGACTGAAGGGAGTGGCTGATGTTTGCCCCATCTCGGGAGGGTCCCGTATACTCAGCAGCAGCAGGTCAGAGTTTGTGCCTTTCCCAGTTGGTAATCCCTGCCACCTAGGAATCATCAGGCGCTTGGGAAAATTTTTTGATTATGTGACTTTCTTTGGCAAGAGTCAGGGGATTGGGTCATACCTGGCGGTACTCAGGGCTTGCTCAGGGCTCTACTCTCAGGGTTCACTCCTGGCCAGGCTCAGAGGACCATTTTTGGTGCTGGGGATTGGACCCAGCTAAGCCAGGTGCAAGGCAAGTACCTTCCCCACTGCAGTATCTCTTTGGCCCTTGGATCATTTCTTCACCTTGTTATTAATGGGACCTGAGGAGCAGCAATTGGTGCTAGACAAGTTTTACTCATATTTAGTTTCAATCACTTGTCAAGTGTTTGGGTTTTTTTTTTTTCTTTGCTTTTTGGGTCATACCCAGCAATGCTCAGGGGTTACTCCTGGCTCTGCACTCAGCAATCATCCTGGCGGTGTTTGGGGGACTGTATGGGATGCCGGGGATCAAACCGGGGTTGACCACATGCAAGGCAAACGCCCTACCCACTGTACTATCGCTCTGGCCGCACTTGTCAAGTTTTTTATTTTATTTTTCAGTTACAGTTGTCAGGTTTTAACAGAACTACAAGATGACTGTTATTTAGGAAAAACGGTGATATGAGTTAACTGAAGATAAGACTGTAAAATGTAGAAATTATAAATCTAAATATCTAAAAATGTGAGTAATTCTATGCTAAAACATTTTAAAATTTACATGAAATGGAAATTCTACAAATATACAATTTGTAGATGTTGAAATGATATAGGCATGAAAAGAATGATTAATAGTATTGTAAATCCCAGTACCTTAAAAAAAAAAAGGTAGATATCTCATTCCCCAAAAAAAATCTAAAATTGTAAGCAATGATAGTCAGGAAGTGTCTCCCCTGTGTGAGGTGTGTGGTTCTACATGACAGATCCAGGCTGTGGTTAATGGAGCTGTGCAGTATGCTATTCTATTCATAATTCACACACGACATAGTGTCTTGTTGAGTCACCCTTAAGGGGTAGGGGTAGTACAGGAATTAAGGCAGGTGTTTCCCTGAATTCCCTAAGCACCATCCTCAGGTCCTCACACCGAACCATTGGCCCAGTTGGCCAAGAATCACTGGTAAGTCTCCTGGGCCTCCTTGGTCCCCCCCAAGATATAAATCATCCTCAGTGCTTTGAGAACGTGACTGCATTTGTCCTAAAATGATAAGTGCTAGTCTTGTAGTTGTCTTAAGCTTCCCATGAACTCAGGGATCTTACATCGGAATAATGACATATTGGATAATAATAATGTTTTTGTTTTGTATGATTATCTTAAATCTTATTTTGTTTCTAAGATTATCTTAATCTTAGAGGTTTCCTGTTAATAGAATCACTGTAACTTCAGATTCATTACAATGGCGATTTTCAGTAGTATTCTGTGAGCCAGAATTTGAGGCCATTGCTTGGAGAAGAAAGCTGTGATTGCCTGAGGGTGAGGGAGAGCAGACACTGATGTGGGGTCTTTCGGGATGCTCTGCACTTCAGCTTGGATGGTTGCCTCACTGTTGGGCCACCTGCACACATTGGTGCCAGCGTGTCCCAGTGACTCACAGTTGGTTTTGGCCTAATTAACATGAACTGTAGCATCAGCATCAAGTTGCTGAATTAAGAGAATGGAGTTTCATCATTCTGCTTCTTCCAGTTCTGAATTGTATTGGATCTGCTGTTACAGTACTAGGAAAACGGTCTCATTTGGAAAGATGGTCTGTGAACCTTTGTATGTTAACATAAACTAATATTTGCATATTATTTGCAAACTTTGTGTATACAGCCATAGTCTCACTATTATGAGTCTGTGGTAACATTGATTCCATGTTGATCATCACTATGCTCTCTGCAGGTATCTTGTATGCGTTACCAGACTCTGAGCGAGCACTCAGGAGCTTAATTCAGGACCTGTGTGTTACCTGGTGGGAGAAGGGCCTGCCTGCCAAAGAGGACATGGGGAAGACGGCATTTGTCATGCTTCTAAGGAGGAGTTTGGAGACAAAGACTGTATGTTCTCCTTTTGGGACTGGAGTGATAGTATAGCGGGTGAAGTGTTTGCCTTGCACGTGGCTGACCTGGTTCTACCCCTCATACTCCATATGGTCCCCTGAGTCCCACCTGAATACAGAGCCAGGAGTAATCCCTGAGCATCTGAGCACTGCTGGGTGTGGCCCAAAACCTCAAAACATACTCCTAACCAGTGCCTATGTTTCTTCACTTGGATTTTGCCTGTCAGCAGTCTGGCTTACCCATTTAAGGGTTCTGACTTTTTCAGGGGTCTCAGGAATCATGGTGTGTCTGAAGGAGACTCTCACTGTTAGCACAGGTGGCAGGCGGGACTGCAGCTTAGCTCAGGCTTGTCCTCACATATCCAAGGTCAATTATTTGGCCCTCGCACTGAGTGTGAGATCTCTTCAGAAGCATGAACGTATGAGTCAAGAGATAGGCGAGACCGGGGTACCAATGACTCACATGGTCCTCTCAGGGTGGACCCAAGACTGTAGGAGGAGGGCAGTAGCCACCCAGTGTAGCACAGGGCCAGACACACTGGTGGAAGGTCATAGGAGTGATCAGAGGTCGCAGTAGGAGCGGGTGAGGGATGTGGTGGTGGGAGCCAGAAGGGAGGCCCATTTTGGCCCACCACAGGGGTTGGTAGGTGTTTGGGGCTGTTCCTTTTTGCATCTTGGGGCTGTGTCTGAGCCGAAAGGGACTGTCTTCATGACTCAGGGCAAGTGCAGACTTTGCCTGAGAGCTCTAGGCTCAGTCTCCAGCACTGCCTGGTCCCTCAGCATGGCCCATTACGACTCCTGAACACTGGGCTGGGACTAGTTCTCAGCACTGTTAGATATGGCCCCAAAGCAGAAATGCAGAGCAAAAATTTGGGCAAGGAGAGACAAACCAAGGAAGATGGAGTCACTCACAGCCACCTCCAGCAGTAACCCTGTTAGTTTTAGGGACATTTTGAGTTGTTTTGTTCGCTATTGGGCCACACTTGGCAGTGCTTACTCCTGGTTCTGAGCTCAGGGATCACTCCTGATAGCTAATGGGGCCATATGGGGTGCCAGGGATGTAACCTAGGTCAGCCTAGTGCAATGCAAATGCCCTCCCTCTTGTACTTTCTTTATTGCTCCTACCCCTGGCTTTTCTTTTTTCCCCCCGATGTCCCCTACTGTCTTAGCTCTCTAGAATGAGGCTGGTAGGCCTTTGTGAACTTGAAGACTCTTATCTAAGCCTGCCTTTCGACTCTCTGCTCTCCCCTGCCCACCTCCTGCTGTGCTGTGTCATCCCACACCTGTCTTCCAGGGAGTTTCCTTTCTTGACAGAAAAGGGCCTTCTCATACAGCCCTTGCACTCAGCCTCTCTGGGGCCGCAGAACCAGCGCAAACCCTGTATGTACTACAGTTTGTTCCTGCTATGTCAGGGACTTGACCTCAATCCCTGTTTCCCTGCCATTGTGTCTCGCTTTTCCATGTGTCTCAAGTGTTGCGTACCTTGTTTTTGAGTAGAGAAACCACTGGCCACCTGGAGTGTGTAAACTTAAATCCTGTTTAAAGTTAAGGAAATGATGGGCTGGAGAGGTAGTACAGGGGAGGAGGCACTTACCTGCCTTCTGTGTGACTCACTGAGCCGCTCCAGGGGTGATCTCTGCCACGGAGCCAGGAGTACACCGTGTTCCACCAGGTGTCACCCCAAAATCAAACTAAAACCAAACTTTTATTCTGATGGATAGACTTGTAGTTATTGTTGATACAGTATTCCTTCGGGGAGCACACCCCATGGTCCTCAGGGTCTGCTCCAGGCCTGATTCTTGGGAGCCACTCCCAGCAGCGTGAGACTGGTGCTGGGGATGGACCCTGGTCTCAGGCGGAGACCACAGAGCCCAGGAGCTGCCTGCCCAGGCTCAGATAGCAAGTATTCCTCATTCGAAATGTGAGTTTACTATTTATAAAAATATTTTTATTAATGCTTTTCCTTTTTCTGCCTTTCCTAGGGTGCAGACATATGCCGACTTTGGCGTATCCATCAAGCTTTGTATTGCTTTGATTATGATTTGGAGGAAAGCAGAGAAATTAAAGACATGCTACTTGAGTGCTTCATAAATGTCAGTTGTATCAAGAAAGAAGAGGTAAATGGAGTCCTTTTTCGATGTGCTTGTCAACTGCTTTTTAGGGGCTATTCTCCAGGTTGTTGAGGTTGAGATGCTGTTTGTGCTGTGCTCGTGTTTTGTGGGTCCCCTGCTGATGCGTGATGTGAGTCCCTGCACCTGGGCTGCAGGGCTGGCGGAAACGGGGAGCAGGTGGCTGTGTGAGTGCAGGTCTCAGGGAGTGGGCCTGCTTTTCACATACAGACTGTTGAAAGCAAGGCAGAGAAAGCACTGGTCCTGGGATAAGGGCCTCTGTCCTCCTTCCAGGTGACCGGTGGTTCCCACACAGCGGCACATATTGGCCTCCTCTCCCCCACGCGGCATACACACTTCCAAGCACAGGCAGTTAACTGCCCATCAGGGAGTTAACTTTCAAAAAGGGTTGATGTAGGGGCTGGAGCGATAGCACAGTGGTTAGGGTGTTTTCCTTGCATGCGGTCAGTCGGTTTGATCTCTAGCATTCCATATGGCCCCCTGAGCACTTCCAGGAGTAATTTCTGAGTGCAGAGCCAGGAGTAACCCCTGTGCATTGCCGTGTGTGACCCAAAAAGCAGGGAAAAAAAGGCATAGAGTGTGACCTGTTCACAACTTAGTGTAAAAAGGGGTGTAACGTACCACAGGGAAGTACCACAGGAGCAGAGGCAGTGTGGTCTGTTAGTGTTTTAGTGTAGAGAGGGACTTTTTTGATTGTTGAATTTTTTAACATGTATCACAGGAAAGTACCCAAGGATACAGACAGTGTGGTCTATTAGTGACTTAGTGTGGAAAGAGGTATACATTACCACATTTTTAAAGGGTGATTCTTGAGTAGGTTGTATGGATGATTTATTAGAACTTGCAGCTGTCACATGATTAAGTATACCAAGCATTGCATTTTTCAGGTACGGGGACTTTTTTGATTGTTTAATATTTTTTTTTGCTTTTTGGGTCACACCCGGCGATGCACAGGGGTTACTCCTGGCTCATGCACTCAGGAATTGCTCCTGGCAGTGCTCAGGGGACCATATGGGGTGCTGGGAGTCGAACCTGTGTCGGCCATGTTGGCTGCGTGCAAGGCAAATGCCCTACCCGCTGTGCTATTGCTCCAGCCTCCCTAATTTTTTTTTTTTATAAACTTTTTTTATTAGTGAAACACCATGAGGTACAGTTATAGACTTACAAATTTTGTGCTTGGGTTTCAGTTATACAATGATCAAGTACCCATCCCTCCACCAGTGCCCATCATCCACCACCACGGGTCCCGGCATCCCCCCCACCCCCCATTCCCCCCCGTCCCACCCTGCCTCTGGCAGGGTATTCCCCCTTGTTCTCTCTCTCTTCTTTTGGGTACTGTGTTTTGCAAGAGAGACATTGAGTGGCAATCATGTTTGGTCTATAGACTACTTTTAGCATGCTTCTCCCACCGTGGGAGGGTCCTCACAACACCCTTTATTTGGTGCTCTCTTCTCTATCTGAGCTTCCTTTTCACCTAGCACGTGTGGCTGGCCTTCAAGTCATGGAGCAAAATTCCTGGTACTAATCTCAGCCATTCCTGGGTGTTAGTCTCATGTTTTGTTGCTTTATGTTCCCCAGATGAATGCAATCTTTCTGTGTCTATCCCACACTTTCTGACACATTTCGCTTAACATGATACTTTCCATGTGGTACCACTTGTATGTAAATTTCATAACTTCATCTTTTCTAACAGCTACATAGTACTCCATTGTGTAAATGTACCAAAGTTTCTTTAACCAGTCATCTGCTCTTGGGCACTCAGGTTTTTTCCAGATTCTGGCTATTGTAAAGAGTGCTGCAATGAACAAACAATTGCAGATGTCACTTCGACTATACCTTTTTGCCTCTCTGGGATATATTCCCAGGAGTGCTATAGCTGGGTCAAATGGCAGATCAAATTCTAATTTTTTGAGAATCATCCATACTGTTTTCCAAAAGGGTTGGACCAGCCGGCATTCCCACCAGCAGTGAAGGAGGGTCCCTTTCTCGCCACATCCGCGCCAGCATTGGTTACTTTTGTTCTTGTGGATGTGGGCCAGTCTCTGTGGTGTGAAATGATATCTCATTGTGGTTTTGATCTGCATCTCTCTGATGATTAGTGATGTAGAGCATTTTCCCTTTTTGCCATTCGGATTTCTTCTTTGCGAAAGTTTCTGTTCATTTCCTCACCCCATTTTTTGATGGGGTTGGGTGATTTCTTCTTGTGGAGTTTAACCAGTACCTTGTATATCCTTGATATCAACCCCTTGTTGGATGTGTATTTGGTGAATATCCTTTCCCATTCTGTAGGCTGTCTTTATTTTGGTCACTGTTTCTTTTGAGGTGCAGAAGCTTCTTAGTTTAAGATAGTCCCATTTGTCTATCTCTGTTTTCACTTTCTCGGCCAGTGACGTGGCATCTTTGAAGATACCATTAGCTTCAATATCATTGAGAGTTTTGCCGACTTTGTCTTCAATAAACATTATGGATTCTGGTCTGATGTTGAGGTCATAAATCCATTTCGATCTTACTTTTGTGCATGGTGTTAGGCAGAGATCTGAGCCTACTTTTTTGCATGTAGCCGTCCAGTTTTGCCAGCACAGTTTATTAAAGAGGCTTGAGCGATAGCACAGCGGTAGGGCGTTCGCCTTCCAAGCGGCCAACATGGCCGACCCAAGTTCAATTCCTCTGCCCCTCTCGGAGAGCCCGGCAAGCTACCGAGAGTATTCGATATGCCAGACACAGTAACAACAAAGTCTCCAATGGAGACGTTACTGGGCCCGCTCGAGCAAATCGACGATCAACGGGAGAGCCTTTACCTTACCTTACCTTCCCTGCTCCATTTCACTTTTCTTGCCTCCTTATCAAAGATTAGATAATTATATGTTTGGGAGGAAATGTCAGTATATTCAACTCTGTTCCATTGGTCTGCAGCTCTGCCTTTGTTTCAGTACCATGCTGTTTTAGTTATTACTGCCTTGTAGTAGAGTTTGAAGTTAGGGAGGTTGATTCCTCCCATTTTCTTTTTCCCAAGAATTGCTTTAGCTATTCGTGGGGGCTTATTGTTCATATAAATTTCAGGAGTGTTTGCTCCATTTCTTTGAAGAATGTCATGGGTATCCTTATAGGGATTGCATTGAATTTGTACAGTGCTTTGGGAAGTATTGCCATTTTGATGATGTTGATTCTCCCCATCCATGAACAGGGGATATTTTTCCATTTCCTCGTGTCCTCTTTTATTTCCTGAAGTAGCGTTTTGTAGTTTTCTTTGTACAGGTCCTTTACTTCCTTAGTTAAGCTGATTCCTAGGTACTTGATTTTCTGGGGCACAATTGTGAATGGGATTGTTTTCTTGATGTCACTTTCTTCTCTTTCACTATTTGCATATAGGAAAGCCATGGATTTTTGGGTATTGATTTTATAGCCTGCTACTTTACTATACAAGCCTATTGTTTCTAGGAGTTTCTTGGTAGAGGTTTTAGGGTTCTCTAAGTATAGTATCATATCATCTGCGAATAGTGAGATCTTAATTTCTTCTTTCCCTATCTGGATGCCCTTAATATCTTTTTCTTGCCTAATCGCTATTGCAAGTACTTCCAGTACTATATTGAACAGTAGTGGAGAGAGTGGACATCCTTGTCTCGTCCCTGACCTTAGGGGGAAGGGTCTCAGTTTTTCCCCATTGAGGATGATGTTTGCTGTAGGTTTGTGGTAGATGGCTTTAACTATATTGAGGAAAGTCCTCTCTATCCCCATTTTGGCAAGGGTTTTCATCATGAATGGGTGGTGGATCTTGTCAAATGCTTTCTCTGCATCTATTGATATGATCATATGATTTTTATCTTTTCTTTTGTTGATATGATGGATTATGTTGATTGATTTCCATATGTTGAACCATCCTTGCATCCCTGGGATGAATCCCACTTGGTCATGATGTATGATCTTTTTGATGAGTTGTTGAATTCTATTGGCTAGTATTTTGTTGAGAATCTTCGCATCCGTGTTCATCAGGGATATCGGCCTGTAGTTTTCTTTTCTTGTGGTGTCTTTGTTTCCTTTTGGTATTAGAGAGATATGGGCTTCATAGAAGCTGTTTGGGAGAGTTTCTGTTTCTTCAATTTCCTGGAAAAGCTTGAGAAGAACTGGCAATAGGTCCTCTTTAAATGTTTGGAAAAATTCGCTAGTAAATCCATCTGGGCCTGGGCTTTTGTTTTTGGGAAGACTTTTGATTACAGTTTCAATTTCCTTGATGTGAATAGGTCTATTCAGGTACTCTATATCTTCTTGATTCAGCTTTGGGAGATGGTAGGAATCCAGGAATTTATCCATTTCTTCCAAGTTCTCATGTTTCATGGCATACAGACTTTCAAAGTAGTCTCTGATGATCTCTTGAATTTCTTTAGTTTCTGTAGTGACATCCCCATTCTTATTTCTGATTCGATTTATTAAGGCTCTCTCTCTCTCTGTTTCTTTGTGAGTGTTGGTAGTGGTTTATCTATCTTATTTATTTTCTTGAAGAACCAGCTCTTGGTTTCATTGATCTTTCGGACTGTTTCTTTGTTTTCCATGTCGTTGATTTCTGCTCTAAGTTTTATGATCTCTTTCCTTCTGCCTGATTTAGGCTCTTTCTGTTGATCCTTTTCTAAGGTCTTGAGCTGTGAGGTCAAGTTGTTTATGTGCATCGTTTCTACCGACCTAAGATATGCTTGCAGAGCTATAAATTTTCCCCTTAATACAGCTTTCGCTGCATCCCATAAGTTATGGTAGTTTGTGTTTTCATTCTCATTTGTTTCCAGGTATCTTTTGATTTCATCCTTGACTTCGTTCCTGACCCACTCGTTGTTCAGCATCGAGTTGTTTAATTTCCAGGTGTTTGATTTGGTTCTCCGTGTCTTTGTGTGATTTACTTCTATCCTCAGTGCATCATGGTCTGAAAAGATGGCTGATACTATTTCTATCTTCCTGATTCTGTTGAGGTATGTTTTGTGTCCTAGCACATGGTCTATTTTGGAAAATGTTCCGTGCGCACTGGAGAAGAATGTGTATTCTTTCTTTTTGGGGTATAAAGCCCTGTATAAGTCCATAAGCCCTTTCTCTTCTATTTCTTCTTTCAAAGCCGATAATTCCTTGCTGGGTTTTGTTCTTGTTGATCTATCCAGAGGAAATAAGGCAATGTTGAAGTCTCCAAGTACTATTGTGTTGGTAGTGATGTCCTCCTTAAAATCTGTTAGCAGTTGTTTTAAATATTTAGCTGTTCCCTCATTAGGTGCATATACATTTAAGAGTGTGATTTCTTCCTGTTGTACGTATCCCTTGATGAAGAGAAAATAGCCTTCACTGTCCCTTCTAATCTTTTTCAACGTGAAATTAATGTTGTCGGATACTAGTATGGCCACCCCAGCTTTTTTGAGGGAGCTGTGTGCTTGCAGGATTGTTTTCTATCCTTTGACTTTGAGTCTCTGTTTGCTCTGGCTGTTGAGATGAGTTTCTTGTAGGCAGCAGAATGTTGGGTTCTGTCTCTGTATCCATTTTGCCACTCTGTGTCTCTTAACTGGTGAATTTAGACCGTTGACATTGAGAGAATGGTTATGGGGTTTTGTGTCATCTTTCTGTACGGGTGTGTTGTGGTTGTAGGGTTTGTCCTGTCTTATAGTAGCCCCTTTAGCCCTTGCTTTAGGTTTGGTTTTGAGTCTATGAAGTTCCTGACCTGCTGTTTATCTAGAAAATAGTGTACCGTTCCTTCGATTTTGAGGGAGAGTTTAGCCGGATAGAGTATTCTTGGTGAAGCATTCATTTCAGCGAGATTTTTGACTATATCTCGCCACTGCCTTCGGGCTTGTAGGGTTTCCTCTGATAGGTCTGCTGTGAATCTAAGGGGTGCTCCTCTGTATGTGATTTCCTTCTTTGCTCTTGCTGCTTGCAGTATTGTATCTCTATCGGCAGTATCGATCATTCTAACTATGATATGTCTTGGAGTGTTTTTGTTCGGGTCTCTTTTAGCTGGCACCCTTCGGGCTCCTTGAACCTGAATGGCTGCATTGTGGAGCTCTGGGAATTTTTCAGCAATGATTTGTTTGACGGTGTTTTTTTCGTTGGGATTGTTTCCCTGAGCTTCAGGTAGTCCCATGATTCTAATGTTGTTCCTCTTGGAATCATCTGCTAGGACTCTGATTCTCTGTAGAGCTATTTTGAGGTCCCTTGCCACTGTTTGTTGTTGCGTGTTGGCTTGTTGCAGCTGATCTTCCAGCTCACTGATTCTCTCTTCAGCTGCGGTCATTCTATTTTTAAGAGAAGAAACTGAGTTTCTCATTTCATCTACGAAATCTTTTAATCGTGACATTTCTGCTCTCATTTCTTCTTGTAATTTGTTGATTTTTTCTGTGGTGTTACTGGCTGTCTGTCTGACTGTTTCATTAAGTTGATTGAACATCTTCATGACTTCGTATCTGAATTCTATGTCAGAGAGGTCCCTTAGGTGAGCTGTATCGACAGAATGTTCTAGATTGTTTTCGTTGTTCTCCCCTTGTGGTGGGGATTTTCTTTGTTTCTTCATATTGCTGAGTAGGTTGGGAACTAGATTCCTTGGGGACTAGGTTCCTTAGTATGGGTAAACAACCTGCAGCCCTGTGAGCGCTGGCCTGCCAGAAAATAAGCCATGCCCACTTTTGAAGCCACGCCCACTTGTGAGGAGGCCACGCTTCTACGGAAACCTGGGTTTGAGATGAGATGGGCGCCGCGTCAGAAGTTAAGAGGACAGGGCAGACGCTCAAAACTGCTTCTCTCCAGGCGTCTCGGGAGACACTTTGGGTCCTGGGTTTGGGATGAGATGGGCGCCGCGTCAGGAGTGAAGAGGGCAGGGCAGACACTCAAACTGCTTCTCTCCAGGCGTCTCGCGAGACACCTGGGGTCCTGCAGAAAGTGATGGAGGTCCAAGGGTCGCGAGCCGGCTGCTGAGCTAACCTGGGTCTGGGATGAGATGGGCGCCGAGTCAGGAGTGAAGAGGGCAGGGCAGACGCTCAAAACTGCTTCTCTCCAGGCATCTCGGGAGACACCTGGGGTCCTGCAGGGAGAGATGGAGGTCCCAGGGTCGCGAGCCCGCAGCTGAGCTGACCTGCTTCCTTGGTTGGATAGCTCTTACTAAGAGGAAATTGCTCTGCCACATTCCTGTGTCTGCACACATACGCTGACACTCTCATGTAGCTGCACTGGAAGATATTCCATGGGTCTCAAAATTCCTGCAGGGCCTCCCTAATTTTTTAACATGTACTCTATTTTTCAATTTACAGGGAAGAAGATTTCTTAGTTCTCTCTTCAACTGGAATATAAATTTTATTAAAATGATCCATGGAACCATTAAAAACCAGTTACAGGGATTGCAAAAGTAAGTATTAAAGGTAATTAATATTTTGGGTAATATTAATTTGGTTTTGAAAGATGGTGTGACTTTTTTCCTTGGTTTGTTTTGGGGACACACCCAGCTGTGTTTAGGGCTTACTCTTGGCTCTGTACTTAGGGATCACTCGTAGCAGGCTCAGGGGACCATGTGGGGTTCTGGGGATGGAAGCCAGGTCAGCTGTTGCAAGGCAAGCACCCTCCCCACCATACTACCTTTCCAGCCCTGTGTGACATTTTCAGCTTTGGTTTTGGGGCTATGCTTTGGTGATGCTTTTGGCTACTCAGCTCTGTGATTGGGTGCTGTGATGCAGGCTCCCATGCAGAGTGTGCTCAGCTTCATGAGCTCTTCCAAAGATTATGGGACTTTTAAGTTCTGTGTTGATGTAGTTAAAGATTTTGAAATGATCTCAGGTTTCATTATTGCCTGGCTGTACCACTCAAGGTCATTTTCCTGCTTGAAATTTTTGCAGTGCTGGGACTGAAGCCAAAGCCTTACACATGGATTGAGTCATGTAAAGAGTCCGTCTTTATTTCCTTCTGTAGGGAATCATTCTATTTCAGTAACAACCACTGAAATGAGGGTTTCAGTTTATGGCTGTTCTTTAGAGTTTTCCATGAAATGCTAGAGTCACTCCTGGCTGGGCTATATCCTTGGCCCTTCAATGTGTGTGGGAGGGTGGGGTGTGCTGCTCTTCATTTCCCTGTTGCCGAGGGGTTAGGAGGGAGGCACCCCGCAGGAGCCAGCTGCCCTAAGAGCCCCCTTGGTGTCAGTCTTAGGCTGTGGGAGACTTGGACCTATCACCCAGAAGTGGGGCTGCTGCATTTCCCAAAGGCAGTAGTGAGGTGCTGAGGGCACGTGCCACTCTTTCTCAGAGGAAACTCCTACTGTTTCCTTTTTCCTTGTGCAAAATGTTTGGATTGAATTGACAGCTTTCACAACTGATTCTGAAGTCAGCTGGCATCCTTGGGAGACCTTTTCCTGAGCCAATTAGTAACCTGGGAAGAAAATGGCTGCAAGCTGAACATTTATATTTGAGCATTTTTTTCCTTAAGAATTTGATGACTGGGGATATGTCTCAGATAGTGGAACACATGTCTGGCGTGGGCAAGGTGCTAGGTTCCATCCCCAGCACTACACAACCATCCTCCAGCTCCACTGGGTGTGGCCCTCGTGGCTCCAAGCACTTCCAGGCCTGAGCAGAGAGATCTCAATAGGCAGGAGCACATGGGTTTTTTTTGTTTTTGTTTTTTATGTAGGAGTACTGCTATTTATTCAGCCATGAGCTTAGCTGATTGAATTGGGCATGAACTCCTCCTTACTTTTTTTTTCCATTTTTTATAATTTTATTTATTGAATTACCGTGAGAACAGTTACAAAGCTTTCGGGTTTAAGTCTCGGTCATACAATGAAACACCCGTACCTTCACCAGTGCCTATTCTCCACCCCTAAAAGCCCCAGTATACCCCCATCCCACACCCTCCGCCTACCCGTGGGGCAGATGGTTTCCACATTACTCTCTCTCTACTTTGATTACATTCAATATTTTGATAACAGACCCATACTCAGATCTGCTGAAAAGGCAACACTAGACAATTTGTTTTCTATTGCTGGTTATGAATAATACGATGTCGCATGACTGCAGTAGTGACCGCATGATTTTGGAATTCCAAAGTTTTAACAATTAAATCTGGAGGGATTTCTGCCAAAACCTGCCGGGTTCCGAGATTTGTTGGAGTCTCTGGGATCATGGCCATTAAGCAGCTTGATCAGGAGCCAGAGAGGCCGTTCATGCACGGTGACTCGGGGTCTTGTTGAGACAGGAAGGAAAGGGCCAGCTCCACCCCCATCCTGTGAGGCTCCGTGTATCTCGTCACTGAGGGCCCAAACCTGACTGCGCAAAGACCTCCGGAGGATGGCCGCCACCGAACCGCCTAGGGGGAGCAGGTGGAGGACAACACCCTCCCCTCCCCCACCCCGGGCGGCCTGGTGACAGTAACCTACTACTGGGCCCGGACACATTTCTGCCAAAAGCTATTGGGTTTCGAGATTTGTTTCTGAGTCTCTGGGATCATGGCCATTAAGTGGCTTGGTCAAGAACCAGAGAGGCCATTTGTGGGAGGTAACTTGGGATCTCGTTGAGGTGGGGAGAAAAGGGCTGGTTCCACCCCCATCCCGTGAGGCCCCGCGTGTCTCGTCTCTGCAGGCGCAAACCTGACTGTCCAATGGCCTCTGGAAGATGGCGGCCACAGAGCTGCCTAGGGGGAGCAGGCGGAGGGACAGCACCCTTTCTCCCCTGGGTTGGCCTGGTGCCAGTAACCTACTGCGTGATCCGGACGCATTTCTGCCAAAAGCCGCTGGGTTTCAAGATTTGTTTCTGAGTCTCTGGGATCATGGCCATTAAGCGGCTTGATCAGGAGCCAGAGAGGCCGTTCATGGGTGGTGACTCAGGGTCTTGTTGGAACAGGATAGAAAGGGTCAGCTTCACCCCCATCCCATGAGGCCTCACGTGTCTCATCACTGTGGGCCCAAACCTGACTGTTCAGTGGCCTCTGGAGGATGAATCGGCCACCGAGCCGCCAGAGGAAATAGGCCAAGGCACGAAACCTGTTCCCACCTGGGGTGGCCCGGCACTGGTAACCTACTGCAGGGACCAGACACATTTCTGCCAAAAGCCGTTGGGTTTCGAGATTTGTTTCTGAGTCTCTGGGATCATGGTTGTTAAGCAGCTTGATTAGGAGCCAGAGAGGCCGTTTTGTGGGCGATGACTTTATTGAGGTGGGGAAGACAAGACTGGCACCACCCCTATCCCGTGAGGCCCTGCGTGTCTCGTCACTGCGGGCCTAAACCTACTGTCCAGTGGCCTCTGGAGGATGGTGGCCACCGGGCCGCCAGGGGGAACAGGCCAAGGCACGAAACTTATTCCCACCTGGGTTGGCCCAGCACCGGTAACCTGCAGGGACCGGACGCATTTCTGCCAAAAGCCGCTGGGTTTCGAGATTTGTTTCTGAGTCTCTGGGATCATGGCTATTTTTTTTTTTTTTTTTTTTTCCCCCTTTTTTTGTAGGAGTACTGCTATTTATTCAGCCACTGATTAGCTGATTGAATTGTGCATGAACTCCACCTTACTTTTTTTTTCTTTTCCATTTTTTACAATTTTATTTATTGAATCACCGTGAGAGCAGTTACAAAGCTTTTGGGTCTAAGTCTCAGTCATACAATGAAACACCTGTACCTTCACCAGTGCCCATTCTCCACCACCAAAAATCCCAGTATACCCCATCCCATACCCTCCCCCTGCCTGTGGGGCAGATGATTTCTACCTTACTCTCTCTCTACTTTGATCACATTCACTATTTCGACACCAGACCCACCATTATTTGAGATTTTACCCCAACACTCAGATCTGCTGAAAAGGCAACACTAGACAATTTGTGTTCTATTGCTGGTTATGAATAACATATGATGTCGTGTGGCTGCAGTAGGGCCATGTGGTTTTGAAATTCTGAAATTTTAACACTTAAATCTGGAGGGATTTCTGCCAAAAGACACTGGGTTTAGAGATCTGCTCCTGAGTCTCTGGGATCATGGCCGTTGAGCAGCTTGATGAGGACCCAGAGAGGCTGTTCATGGGTGATGACTTGGGGTCTCATTGGGGTGGGGAAGACAGGCCCAGCTCCACCTCTCCCCCCATCCCGTGAGACCCAACAAGTTTTGTCACTGCGGGCCCAAGCCTGACTGTCCAATGGCCTCTGGAGGATGACAGCCACCAAGTCGCCAAGAGGGAGCAGGCGGGGGGACAGCACCCATTCCCCCCCTGGGGTGGCCCGGCGACAGTAACCTACTGCGGGGTCCGGACACATTTCTGCCAAAAGCCGCTGGGATTAGAGATTTTTTTCTGAGTCTCTGGGATCAAGGCCGTTGAGCAGCTTGATGAGGAGCCAGAGAGGCCGTTTGTGGGCGATGACTTAGGGTCTCGTTAGGGTGGGGAAGACAGGCCCGGATCCACCTCCCCCCCCATCCCGTGAGATCCAACAAGTTTTGTCACTGCGGGCCCAAGCCTGACTGTCCAATGGCCTCTGGAGGATGACAGCCACCAAGTCGCCAAGAGGGAGCAGGCAGGGGGACAGCACCCATTCCCCCCCTGGGGTGGCCCGGCGACAGTAACCTACTGCGGGGTCCGGACACATTTCTGCCAAAAGCCGCTGGGATTAGAGATTTTTTTCTGAGTCTCTGGGATCAAGGCCGTTGAGCAGCTTGATGAGGAGCCAGAGAGGCCGTTTGTGGGCGATGACTTAGGGTCTCGTTAGGGTGGGGAAGACAGGCCCGGATCCACCTCCCCCCCCATCCCGTGAGATCCAACAAGTTTTGTCACTGCGGGCCCAAGCCTGACTGTCCAATGGCCTCTGGAGGATGACAGCCACCAAGTCGCCAAGAGGGAGCAGGCGGAGGGACAGCACCCATTCCCCCCTGGGGTGGCCCGGCGACAGTAACGTACTGTGGAGTCCGGATGCATTTCTGCCAAACACCACTGGGTTTTGAGATTTGTTTCTGAGTCTCTGGGATCCTGGCCATTAAGCAGCTTGATCAGGAGCCAGAGAAGCCATTCGTGGGCGATGACTTGGGGTCTCGTTGGGGTGGGGAGGACAAGCCCGGCTCCACCCTCATCCCGTGAGGCCCTGTGTGTCTCGTCACTGGGGGCCCAAATGTGACTATCCAGTGGCCTCAGACGGATGGTGGCCACTGGGCCGCCAGGGGGAACAGGCCAAGGCATGAAACCTATTCCCACCTGGGTTGGTCCAGCACCGGTAGCCTACTGCAGAGACCAGACGCATTTCTACCTAAAGCCACTGGGTTTTGAGATTCATTTCTGAGTCTCTGGGATCATGTCCATTAAGCAGTTCAATCAGGAACCAAAGAGATCTTGCCTCCAATTATATATATATAGCTGAGCCGGAGGTGGTTTGTGGGTGTGTTTCCCACATACCTAACTTTTGACCGTTTACTTTCTTGGTAAACTTTGCCCCAAGTTTTTGGGGTCTGATCAAAGGCACAGCAGCAATTTTGGGGTATCTAGAAGTCTGAAGGAGCAATGAGGCTGCTGATGCACTCGCCTCACAGGTACAGTTGGACCTGCTGGCGGCACCATACCCCCAAGGGATCATGGCTATTAAGCAGTTCAATCAGGAACCAGAGAGGCCATGCCTCCAATTATATAGCTGAGCCAGAGGTGGTTTGTGGGTGTGTCTCCCACATACCTAACTTTTGGCCATTTACTTTCTTGGTAAACTTTGCCCCAAGTTTTTGGGGTCTGTCCAAAGGCACAGCAGCAATTTTGGGGTATCTGGAAGTCTAAAGGCGCCATCAGGCTGCTGACGCACTCGCCTCGCAGGTACAGATTGACCTGCTGGCAGCACCAACTCCCCAGGAGCGCATGTTTGCAGGAGGCCCACGTTTGATCCCCAGCATCATTTGGTGCCTGAGCATTGCCAGTGCACAGCCTGGCATGTAGACCCCAAACAGTAGCAGCATCAGAGTTTGGTTCTTGACTTACAGTTTCACAGTCTCACAGAAAGCAGTAACCCTGGGCTGAGGAGGTGAACACATCAGCCCTTCTCAGACCTGTTTTTTTTTTTGCTTTGTGCCCAGCCAGTAAGCCTGTCACTGTAGGCACTCGGCAAAGCACTACCCGAGCCCTGAGTTACTTCTCCCTGAAGGTTAGGGGATCTGAAATGACAATAGTGATGGCTTGTTTCTTTGAACTTCAACTTTCTTTTCAATAGATCTTTGGTGGTGCACATCGCAGAAATTTACTTCAGAGCTTGGAAAAAGGCTTCAAGAGAAACACTGGAGGTATTTTCATTTTATGAGCATTTATTTTATTTTATTTATTTTTTGCTTTTTGGGTCACACCCAGCAATGCTTGTTCATGCACTCCTTGTTCATGCACTCAGGAATTACTCCTGGCGGTGCTCGGGGGACCATATGTGTTGCTGGGAACTGAACCCGGGTCAGCTGCGTGCAAGGCAAATGCCTTACCCACTGTGTTATCGTTCCAGCCCCGAGCATTTAAACTTTGATATCTGTAGTAACTGGAGAAGTGACAATGGGAGCATGTTTGCCAGCTGTCAGCATAAAGCCACATGGGGATTCATGTGTGTTCCTCTTGGCCACATACCTTAGGAGTGAGATCAGGTTTTTCTTCATTCTGGAAGCCTTGACCTGGACTGCCCACTAGAGGTGGTTAGACCTGTCCCTACAGAAATGTCCAGATCATGCAGGGAAGATGGGGGGTTGTTGAAGACTTAGAATGAGGAGGTGGAGAATTCCATAGAAACGGGCCAGAGGATAGTACAGCAGGTAGGATAGGGTACTCGTTAAACTGTTAAGGTCATTTTACCTCTCTTCTGCCTTTGGTGTGTCACTAGAACATGTATCGTTACACTGGCAGCTTGTATCATCTCACTGGACAGGGATGCTTGCGGAGCACAAGCTATCTTCCAGTGTTGCTGGTGGGTTTTTGTTCTGTTGGCCAGGAGATCCACACACAGTGGTGCTCAGAGCCACACCTGGCTCTGTGCTCAGGGACTACTCCTGGTCGTTCCAGGAATTCCAGGAATTGAACCTGGGCCTCCTTCCTGCAAAGCACGTACTCAGTCCACTGACCTCTTTCCAACCCCTTGACCTTTTCTTGAGGATGTAAAGCAGTGGTTCAAACATGACTAAGCTTTAGTGGCTATACATTATTTACACTCTGTAGTTACGTCAACCTATAATCCAGTTAGAATTAAACATCAAAAGGAAAACAGATAATAAGAAAGGATCTTTGTGATATCCTTTGTTTCCCCCCAGGCTTCTATCTGGGTATTTTAAACAAAACAGGGCTGAGTCCAAATGTGTCTGTTTTGCCTCAGTGTTTTGTGCTATTATGGAATCAGGAAGGAATGCTCCAAAGGCGTTTCCCCTTGAATTCATACCTGCACACTGTCATAGTCTACATACTGACATTTAAATCCTATATCAGGACCCTTCCCTCCTTCCTCCGGTGTTTGACTTGGGGGACTAAGTCAAGACTTGCAAAGGCCCAGAGTCCGCCAGCCCCTCCTAAGGTTCAGCTTCTTTGAAGGTGGTATGTGTAGCCCAAGGTCATGCCGCTTGGTATGTGGGTGCTTCCTGCAGACTGTGAGAACATATTTTCACAGATGGCAGTGAAGAGGTTGATCTTTAATATTTTATTTTCTTTTGGAAAATCATGGAAGGTCAGAGTGGGGGTCCCGTACAGGGTGATTTCAGTGATCCTGGGGCGTTTGTGGACCTCCCTCTCAGCCTGTTTGAGGCCCTCCACATCCACTCAGACCTGCCTTAGTTGGGGAATTGCCTCAGTGTGATGTCCTGTCCAATCACGGGGGGCAACTCAGCTTCCTGACGGCATTGACCTGGCACTAATTCTGCTAGGCAGGCTTTCGGGGCTCTGTGTTTTGTCATGAAGGAGATGGCTCTCCGTTCGTACTGCCTGTTCCAGGTCAGTGGAAACACACCCACTCAGCACTCACACTTGTTGTATTACAGATAATCGAGAACACTTGTATCCAGGACTTCATGTACCATGGAATCCACCTGCATCGGAGGTCCCCAGTGCATGCCAAAGTGCGTGAGGTAAGCTGTGGAGTCCTGGTTGCCCAGCAGCTCAGTATTGGTATCTGGGTCTTATTTGCCACCCAGGTTCTCATTAGGAGAGGAAGGTCTGCTGTTAAGATGGTTGGTACGTGGTTCAAACAACCTTGAACTAAATTGCTTAACATACAGGTCTTTCTTTTTTTGTTCTTTTTTTTTTTTTAATGTAGGAATACTGCTGTTTATTCAGCCATTGATTAAGCTGATTGATTTGGGCATGAACTGCATGTTACTTTATTTTTTTAAAATTTTTTTAATTGAATATCTGTGAGATAGACCATTACAAAGCTGTTCATAAAGCTGTTGGGTTTCAGTCCAACAGTGATCCAGCACCGAGCCCTCCACCCATTTCCCACCACCAATGTTGCCTCTCTGCCTACCACCATCCCCCAACACCCCACCCCACACTCCCAGCCTTCCTCTATGGGAGGCACTTTCCTTTTTGCTCTCTCTCTCCTTTTCCTTTTGTGCATTATGGTTTGCAATACAGGTGCTGAGTGGTCATAGTGTTTGTTCAGGGCATCTGGTATTTTTATCAGGACGTTAAAGCTGGAGTAGCTTTTAAATTGGGTGGCTGCTCTGGGATATGGATGTGATTGCCCTGGCTTCTGGAAGTACAAGGGAGGTGGGGGGAGGTAGCCCATTATGACCCCAAGAAAGCCTGGAGATTTCAGTCACAAAATTCACCTACCAGAATTTTCAGCAGATTATGTCTCAGTGAGATCCGTCCTGAGATGTAGAGTCAGGCTGGGGGTATGGCAGCGATTTTGGGTTGTGGGAGCGAGCGGCTTCCAGGGGCTTTGCTTGGGGGGGCACCAACCTAACCCACCCCGCTCTGATTTACCCCGGTCTGGTCAGCCATGCACAGGTTCAGGATTAACTGCGACTTTTGAAATCTTTCGTGATTTATCTATGGGTCTCTGAAATAAGGTCAATAAATGAGCTTTTATAGCTGAGCCAGAGTTGGTTTGTGGGTGTGGCTCCCACAAACTTTTTGGCCGTTTAATTTCTTGGTAAACTTGGCCCTGAGTTGTTGGGTCTGACCAAAGGCATAGCAGCAATTTGGGGGTACCAGGATGCCAGAAGGCACCATCAGGGCTGCTGGTGCACTCTCCCCGCAGATACAGGTTGACCTGCTAGCGGCACCATACCCCCAACATACACGTCTTTCTAATGTCCACTCCTTTGTACAGAAGAGTGGATAGGACCAGGGCTGCCTTTAGCTGGTAGGGCACATGCCGTTCCCATGGTTAGTGCTAGCCCCTCATGGCCCTGAGCACTAAAAGGTGAGACTGTATTATACACACACACACACACACACACACACACACACACACACACACACACACACACAGATACATACCCAATTCCATTGGCAGTTAACAAAAGACCCTCAGGGTTACTGAAGACTGATTTTGTTTACTTTCATACATTGAATTTTTATTTGATATTCTACAAGTCAAATGCCATAAATATTTCCTAATTTTTCTTGTAAGATTTTGTGGAAGGTAATTCAGATTTAGATGTGACTTTTGTCTTTTGACTGTAAGTGTCTTGCATGTCAGCACCACATAGCTAAAGTGTCTCTAGTCTCAGGGTCCCTGCATGGGAGCTTGAGCACTGAGTCACTTCCGCTGAACACTCCCTCGTTGCTCGAGCTCCCACCATTGTTGGGCATGCGAGTGAAGCGTGTACTTTGTAGATGGTAAGTGGGGATACATAAACTGAAAACATTACTTTTTTGTTTTGGGGGCCCACACCCGGCACTTCTTAGGGCTTACTTGTAGCTCTGCACTCAGGGATTACTCCTTGTGCAGCTCTGGAGTGGTGCTAGGAATGGAACCTTGTCACTATAGTGCATTGCAAGTGTCCTACCTGCTGCCCATTCTCTCTGACCTCAAGAAAACTCGCTTTCCTTTATTGATGACTTAGTGTGAAGTATTCAAGTATGAAGAGTACAGAGACGAGCCACTACTTCCCCCACAGAATACAGAGGGCTCTGGGAAGTGTGGGACAGTGTCACACATTATTGGCGCTTTCATATCCTGTTGGGTAATAGGCCTGGCATCATGCCCACGGTGCATATTGGGGGCAGACAAGCTTCCCTCTTTTTTTTTTTTTCCCTCATTTTTGGCAGTGGGAACCTCCATCGATGCTCAGGGATTACTTAATCCTGGCTCTGAACGGGATCATTCCTGGCAGTGCTTGGGGGACCATGTGAGATGCTGGGGATTAAACCTGGGTCACTGCATGCAAGGCGAATACCTTACCTGCTGTATGATCGCTTGGGCCCTGCTGCAAACAATTTCAGAAGGACTTTTCTTTTTATTGGTGAAGAAAATCATACTATTCTAAGAAATTTACTTAGAGAAATGTGAGGGGGGAGAAAGAGATAACGTGTTCAAGAGAATATGGGCTTCTCCAGAAGGAAGCCCAGATGGCTGTTCCGTGTGCAGGCACACCTGGTGCTACTTGGGGTTGCTCTCTGATGCTGAGATCAAGCAGGCTTCTACCTGTAAAGCATGGGCTCAGCCCTCCAGCCACCTCGCACCCGAACGATCACTGGTGATTCTCGGAGGTGTGTATGGAGTAGTAAAAAGGAATGTTGGATTTCACATCAGCTGGAGTGTAGAATGATCTCCAAGTACTTGCTGTCACTGCTTCTAGTGCAGTGTTTCTTCCTTAAGTCCTCTTTGGATAAATATAGCTAAGTGGTAGCACTGTAGCACTGTCATCCTGTTGTTCATCGATTTGCTCAAGCAGGCACCAGTAACATCTCCATTGTGAGACTTGTTACTGTTTTTGGCATATCAAATGGATATGGAGGGAACTTGCCAGGCTCTGCCATGCGGGCAGGATACTCTCGGTAGCTTGCTGGGCTCTCCGAGAGGGGCGGAGGAATCAAACCCGGGTCAGCAGCGTGCAAGGCAAACACCCTACTCGCTGTGCTATCACTCCAGCCCAGGGAATATTATAGTAAAATAAAATAATCTATGGACCAAGATGATAGCTCAAAGGACTAGTGTGCAGGCTTTGCACACTAGAGACCCAGGTTTAACCTCTTAACAGTGCCGCAGAGAACAGCGCACAGTCTCCTGCCCCCGCGCCTGGCTGTCCTCGCCGGGGCCCCTTGAAAGGGAGCGGGTTGAGTTTTCCTCCCTGCCCCAACCAGGGCTCAGGCAGCCGAAGACCTCCAGAACCAGCCATCACCATGCTGAGACCACTCTCCACACGCACGAAGGTACCGGCAGAGGAACAAAGGCATGCGGGTCCCGGGACTGAGATCTCCAAGCCTACTCAGATCGGGGCTGAGCATCCTCCACCCAGATCCTCCAAATTCCAGTAGGTGGGGGTCACACCCACCAACTGGCCCCCTGGCGCCGTGTAATCCCATCAACGGCCAAGACTCAGAGACTGTAAAATCCAGCTCCCGGAAGAGAACAGCGCAGAGTCTCCTGCCCCCGCGCCTGGCTGTCCTCGCTAGGGCCCCTTGGAGGGGAGCGGGTTGAGTTTCCCTCCCCGCCCCGACCAGGGCTCCAGCAGCCGAAGACCTCCAGAACCAGCCACCACCATGCTGAGACCACTCTCCGCACGCATGAAGGTACTGGCAGAGGATCAAAGGCACGCGCATCCCGGGGCTGAGATCTCCAAGCCTACTTGGATCGGGGCTGAGCATCCTCCACCCAGATCCTCCATATTCCAGTAGGCAGGGATCATACCCACCAACTGGCCCCCTGGTGCTGTGTAATCCCATAAAACCCAGCTCCCGGAAGCATGCAGCCGCATTTGCAGCCGCGCTACATCTTATTATCTCGTTCTTACTTTGGACAAACTGGCAGGCTACCAAATGTAACCTGCCCACACGGAAGAGTCTGGCAGACTCCCCGTGGCATTAACAATGATGGGTCTCGTTCTCCTAACCCTGAAAGAGCCTTGAATATGGCACTTTTTAAAAAATCTCAGGGCTAGGATGATGGAGACGTTACTGGGGCCTGCTCGAGGCAATCAGCGAACAACAGGATGGTTGTGACCTGTGACTGCTGCATAGTCCGTCCCCCCAACCAAAAAACAAGGGATAATCTTTATTTAGTCTACATACAGCGGGTTGGGCGTTCGCCTTACACGCGGCCAACATGGCCGACCCGAGTTCGATTCCTCCGCCCCTCTCGGAGAGCCCGGCAAGCTACCGAGAGTATTCGATATGCCAGACACAGTAACAACAAAGTCTCCAATGGAGACGTTACTGGGCCCGCTCGAGCAAATCGACGATCAACGGGAGGGCCTTTACCTTTTTACCTTACCATATTTATATGTGTGTGAGTGTGTGCTACAGAGATACCAATTGTTACATTATTTATGATTTAACAGAAAACAGCTGATGACATATCTAAGCTATGTGGTAAATAATTTTATTAGTATGTTGAAAATACTGTCAGAAAATACTCGAGGAGTCCGTTTTAAAGAATACCTTTTTTTACTGAGGTGTCCTAGTAGTGTTAAATCTGTCATTCAGAAGTCACTTGAAGGTAAAAGTCTCTGTTTTTGTCTGTGGTATGTGTGGGGGTGTTGTAACAGACTGTCATGGTACCAAAGGGTCCCCCTTGGTGTTGTGTGGGTGCTGCAGGGGATTGAATGCAGGACCTCACACGTGGTTGGCCAGTGCATCCCTGGCTCCCAGAACAATCTCTCCTGAATTTGGTCATAGAAATGGTTGCACAACTTTGAACATACCGAGGACCACTGACTTGTACATTTTTGAGGAGTGACTTCTGCCACATGCAGATGTCAGTCACCCTGGTTAAAAGTCTTCCCTGTGAAATGAGTAAGCCACAATTACAAAAGCTAGGAATGTGAACAGAAGCCAAGCTGTAACCTCGCCACTTCATTACAATCAACCAGAAACGATTAAGTTGGACTTAGGAGATGACTCAAGACTGTGTTCTGTTAGGGTAAAGTTGATACATGTTCATGTAGCCTACAGACTTTTGTTTGATTTGTTGATTTATTTTTCTGGGGGAGGGACCATACCCTAATAGTGCGCGGGGACTGTGCAGTGCAGGGGATGGAACTCGGGCCATCTGCATGCAAAGTCTGTCTGGCCCAGGTTGTCTCCTTTATAGCCTATTCAGTTTTTCTCCATTTTTCATTAGTGTAATTTTAGCTCCAGGAGGTGTGAGTTGTGAAAGTGAAGAGAACTAATTGTTATGGAGACAAGTTTGAAAGTGGGAAGTTCAAGGTATGGAATAGTGTATAGAACAGAACAGGGAGTTCCATTTTCTGGGTATTCATGGATTTGGGGAGAACTTGTGCTGTGGGGAGTCTCTGCTTCCTGACACCCCTTTTGGGATATTTGCCATCCTAGGCCCCTGTTGTGGGGCTATCAGACAAGAGGGTAACTTGCACCTCAGCCCTTCACTGGCTCTGTGGGCCTCCCTGAGGCCTGGGCTGTGGTGGCCATGGTGTGCGTTTCTGTGCCTGATGGGCTGAAGATGGAGAGGAGAGCAAGGTCCCTGGGCAGTGACCCGGTCGCGGTCCTGCCTGTACCGAGCCAGGTGCTGCTGTCATGCAGGCCCTGGTAGTTGCTTTGAGGGAAGGGCTGTGTCTGGGCCAAGAACAGCCTGCTCTCCCTGTTGTTTTTTTCACAGTAGGAGAGCAAAATCTTCTTGAAAAAAGAGTAAATTGTCATTCTGCTTCCCTTTGTCTCCCCTTCACTCTAAGGTGCTGAATTATTTTCACCATCAGAAGAGGGTTCGGCAGGGCGTGGAAGAGATGCTTTACAGACTGTACAAGCCCATTCTTTGGAGAGGCTTAAAGGTACACACACATGTTCGAGTCTTGCCTGGTGTGGTGGGATTGGAGATTCTTCAGAGTCAGCGTTGGGGAGCGCCATAAAACTGAACTTTGGGAGGTTTTCTGGGACTCACAGCACTTCTTGGCCCCGCTGGCCTGGGGATTGGAATTGGTTTCGTGCTGCCACACGCTTGGCATGCAGACTGAATCAGGAAGGTGGTGGGTTCTGCAGAGTGGCAGGGCCTCGTGACCTGTGGGTGGCTGGGGACAGGCTGGTGCTGCTCTTGGGAGAGCTGACCTGAGTCGGGAAACTGGAGCAGCTGAGTTGTCTGGGGAGTGGACTGCTTCTGAATGACACCAGAGGGACTCACCCATAAGGAACTAGGTTCCAGAAAGTGTGGGAATTGGGCTGACAGTTTGGCTTCACTTCAAGGGGTCAGTCTAGATAAAGTGATTTGCAGCAAGTCAGAAGTGACAATCAAAGACTTTACTCTGGAGTCTGCCCATCTGTTTGTCCCTCCAGGCCAGGAACTCTGAAGTCCGGTCAAATGCTGCTCTGCTGTTCATTGAAGCATTTCCTGTACGTGATCCAAGCTTCAACGCTATTGAGATGGACAGTGAGATCCAGAAGCAGTTTGAAGAGCTCTATGTACGTGTTCCCTGGCACAGCTGCTCCTGCACCCCCAAGCCCCTGTGCTGGGCCCCTGTGGAGGGTGCTCACTCCCAGCTGCTTGTTTTTAAGGACAGCTGTGCATCCCTGTTCCCTCTTGGTCTCCTCCAGGACACTTAGTTCTCTGTCCCCTTCTCTCACTGTCGGTGTCAGAGACAGGGTAGCTGTAGCTCTACGTCTCTGCTAGAGGTCCCCCTCGCTGAGTGGCTGGACTCTCTGCTGCGTCTCCGAGGCGGCATAGGGAGACTGCCTTCTCAGCTGTCATGAATGCTCTCTAGTGCTCAGGCACCGTGGTGCCAGGCCATGGCCAATCTGGTGAGGCTTGATGGACATAAGGCCAGGCCCTGGGCAATGCATGGCATAAGCCCTGACCAACCCCTGGCCCCCATGCTGGTTGTGTCTCAGGACAAGCCTGCACACCATGCCCCTGCTGTTCATTTCTTCCAGGGCATGAGGATGCCTTGTTTGTTTTCCAGGGGTCTTTCAGGTCCTTGTCCTCTGACGGGAGGGCACTGGCCTTAACTTTACCCTTCTATATTCCCTCATGTTTGCAGGGTTTCCTCGCACAAATGAAAAATAGAATTAATTGTCCTAGTTTATAGAATAAAACGTTAGGGGCCAGTAGTATAAACACACAGATAACCATGTTTACTTATGGCACCTAAAGATTACCCTTTGCTTTCTGACTTATGAAAAATCTCGGGCATGCAAAAAGTTGAAATAATAGTATTCTTCCATGTCTACCTCTTTGCAGCCACACTCCTTACATGAGTATTACTGGCACCCTGAAATGGGTAGCTACTGACATTTCCCATCATGTGCCTTATCCACATGTGTGTTCATATAGAATTTCCTCCGAGGGTCCTTCTGACTTTGGGGATCAGATGTTGCCAGGCAGACCCAAGCTAGCCCCTGGGTCGTGCTCAGAGCAGGGAGGCCTGAGAGGGAAGAAGTCATCCGTGCAGCCGCTGTGGGGCAGGGGCAGGTGATCCTGAGCGTCAGAATCCCAAGAGGTTCTTTACTTCTGATGTTTACTGGGAGTTTGGTCAGGTCGAGAATTTGATGTTGAAATATTTTACGTTGACATCTACTTCAAGGGTTTCTGGAGCTTTAAGGAATTTGTTTTTGTTTTTGAACCACCGATTTTCAGTAATGCCCATTGGTTACTGTGGTGCAAAGCCCCAGGGTTGCACCTGGACCGTGCAATTTTCAGGAATCGCCTGAGCATTCCCCATGGTAAACATGAGCTCCAGCCCTTTGACCCATCTCCCTGGCCCTGTGGATTTGATTTTGACTTTTTGGGGGTTTGGGGTCACACTTGGCTGTGCTCAGGGCTTTCTCCTGACCACGCTTAGGGTACACTCTTGGTATGTGAAGTGTCAGGGATCAAACCAGAGCTGGTCACTGGCAGGGCAAGTCCCTAAAACCCTTTATGAGCTCTTGAGCCCAGGATTTAATTTTTTTTTTTTTTTGAGTCACACCTGGCGATGCACAGGGGTTACTCCTGGCTCTGCACTCAGGAATTACCCCTGGCGGTGCTCAGGGGACCATATGGGATGCTGGGAATCGAACCTGAATTGGCCACTTGCAAGGCAAACGCCCTACCCTCTGTGCTATCATTCCAGCCCCCAGTACTTAATTTTTTTTCTCCTCTCTTTGTGTAACATAGGATGCAGTCTGTTATAGTTTTATTTTATTTTTATTTATTTATTTTGCCTTTTGGGTCACACCTGGCGATGCACAGGGGTTACTCCTGGCTCTGCACTCAGGAATTACTCCTGGTGGTGCTCGGGGAACCATATGGGGTGCTGAGAATTGAACCCAGGTCAGCTGTGTGCAAAGCAAACGCCCTACCCGCTGTGCTGTCACTCGAGCTCCCCTGTTAATAGTTTTAGACAAAGGATTTTTTTGTTTTTGGGTAACACTTGGTAGTGCTCAGGACTTAATCATGGCTCTGTGCTCTGGGGACCATTTGTGATGCCTGGGATTGAACCACAGTTGGCTGTGTGCAAGGCACATGCCCTACCTGCTATAGTATTTCTCCAATGCTTTTTAGAAAAAATATTATCTTAAGCTATTTTCTTTTAGTGTTTGTTCTTTCCTTCCCCACCCTCTGCCTTTTTTTTCCCTCCATAATTTTTGAGCATCCATTGGTGCTCAGGATACTTTGATAGCAGTTACTCCTGATGATGCTCAGGAGACCATATACGGTGCCAGAGATTGAGTTGAGATTGGCAACATGCAAGGCAGGCACTTTAATGCTGCCTCTCCCTCTTTCCCTAGTCCTTTCAGAAAAAGTGTGATTTGATCATTAGTGGGAGGGGCCTGGTTGTGTGTTTGCCTTGCACACAGTTGACCCAGATTAGATCCCTGGCATCCCATATGGTCCCCTGAGCCTGCCAGGAGTGATCCCTGAGTGCAGAGCCAAGAGTCAACCCTGAGTACCACCAGATGTGGCCCCCAACAAATAATAAGGTAAAAATAAAACAAAATCTTGAGTGGGATTCTGCAAAGGGCCAGAGTCACTGTCTTAGGTCTGGCGCCCATGTTAAGGCAGAGAGCAGCCAGACCACTGACAGATTGAGTGGGGGATGGGAGGGGTTTGCGGACAGGGCGTGGGAGGGCTGTGTTCCCATAAGGCTTTACTGATGAGCACCATAATTGAGTTTTGTGTATCGCTGTGTGTCATGGTATGCTGTCGTTTTGCTTTTTTTTTTTCTGTGAAAGATCATGTAGATTGCATGTGTATGTGCTGCTAGGGACAGAGCATGGGTTCTCCACAGAATTCATGCTGAGCTCATGTATAAGACATAGGGAACTCAGGTTCTGCACCCCTGTAAGTACAAGGGTCTGCCCCTGAGCCAGATGCCCCCTGATGAAATCCGTTCTTCAGCAAGGCAGGGCACCCAGATGGACCTGGTGTGGCTGGCTTGTGGTATGGTGAGATCTCATGATTCTGCTGGAAGAGGTAATGAGTCTTCCACATTCTAGAGATGTGACTCCACAGAGCCATTTAGGGAGAGAGAAAATATTTCATGGGGTCTGGTAAGACTACCTAGCTTCCCTTTTCCATTCTTACCTGAGTAAAGGCTTGTGTGGATAGCTGAGCACTGTGGTTTTAATTATGTTGTCACAGGTAGAATCATATTCTGCACGTGGTGTGTTTCACACAGACCCTGGCTGATCTCTGAAGGAAGCAGAGTCCTGTGGGGAGGGAGGCATGGAGCCAGTCCGGGGACTGCATCTTGTAGTTCAGCGTTTCTTAGGTCCCCAAGATGTTCCAGGGGGCCACGACACAAGATTGGGGGCCACAGAAAAAACACAAGGTTGAAGTGGGGCTATGGTCAGAAAAAAGCTGAGAAACTGCTGCAGAAAGACTCAGCTGCAGAAAAGGAGCACGGTGGGTGTCTCTGATCCTGTTTCTGGATCCTCTTTCAGGAGGTGATGAGATGCCCCGAGCTATGTGGGAACAGATGGCACTAAGTAAAGATTGTCAAGTCTCTTTCCCTCCTCCTTGTAGAGCCTTCTAGAAGATCCTTACCCGATGGTCCGTTCCACAGGGGTCTTGGGTGTCTGTAAAATCACCTCGCAGTACTGGGAAATGATGCCCCCCACCATTCTTATTGACCTCCTCAAAAAAGTGACCGGGGAGCTGGCATTCGACATGAGCTCTGCCGACGTGCGCTGTGCTGTATTCAAGGTGAGTGCATAGAGCGAAGCAGGGGCTGCGCCGTGGCCCTGATGCAGCCCTGTCCGGACCCAGGGCCGTGGTTGTCTGCCTGCTGGTGTCTGCTCTGCCCCAGGGACCCGGGCCCCTGTCTACCAGCGAGACTGTCCACTCTCTGCCCACCTAGTCACTGGGTCAGCAAGGTAAGGCCAGCCAGGAAGGACCTGCTGTCCCTGGATCTATGTTGGGAAAGACAGTGGGACTCGTGCAGGGTCCTTCCCTCATCTGTTTCCTGCTTACTCTATGCACTCCCCCTCCTAGTCCCACTGTCTCTGAGTGCTCCTCACAGAGCCTGCTCACTGGAGGAGGAGCCTGTCAGTCACAGAGGCCCCGCCCTTGCAGGGCCTTTCTGCTCACTGTTTACTCTCCCCTGGCTCACTGCTGTGGTTCATGGGACTTCCATGTCCCCAGTCTCGTTTTTGATGTCTTGGGTAGCTCCTGCCTTGGCCACTAGGTGTGATAGCAGTGTGTGTCCCATTATCTACCTGCCCTGTCCACTAAACATGATGGTGGACGTGGGTTCTGAGTGTCCCACGCCCTGGCCACTAGACATGATAGTGGATGTGTATCCTGAATGTCCGGACACCCTGCCCTGGCCACTAGGTGTAATAGTGGCATGTATCTGAGTGTCCACTCTGCCCTGCCCACTAGATGTGTGGACAAGTATCTGAGTGTTCACCCTACCATGTTCTCTAGGTGTGAGGGTAGAAGGGTGTTTAGGTGTCCACCTTGCCTTGCCCACTAGACATGGTAGTGGATGTGTGTCAAATGTCCACTGGACATGATGGTGGGCGTGTGTCCAAGTATCCCCGACAGCCCTGGCCCCTCCAGAAATGTGTCGTAGCCACGGCTGCTCGTCCCTCTGGTGAGTTTTCACAGGCAGCCCCTGAGCCCCTGGATCCTGCATGGGCTTCTTGTCTGCCTCTCACATGCCATGAATCTTAGTCTTCAGTTTTTCACTGTATTTTACTTTCTTTTCCAAATTATGCCCTAGTCTGGCCTTGCATGTCCTTTCACTACACTGGAAGGACTAGGAGTGTGGGGGAGACTCAGCTCCCTCTGGGATCGTCTTTACTGGCAAGTGATTCTTGGGCTCCTGCTTGCGGTTTACCCCATCAACAGCTGTTTTGTGTTTCTCTTCAGCTGCAAAAACTGTTGAACATGTAGCTAGGAGAGAACACCGAGAAGCACTTAGTTTCCTCTTGACTGAATGAAATAATGACAATGAGTAACCATCCTGAAATTCTACCGAGTCTTTGCGAGTGAACTTTTTATGTGAAGCTTTTTGAACTGTGTTATTTCTTCCATATGTTTCCTTACCAGCAGCGTTAGAGAACATGAAAGATCTTCGGGGACATTTCATTGCTTCTGCTCTAATTATGAACCATTTACTTTTCTCCTTTCTTGTAGTGCCTGCCAATCATTTTGGATAACAAATTAAGCCATCCACTATTAGAACAGCTTTTGCCAGCCCTAAAGTACAGTCTCCATGACAATTCTGAGAAAGTGAGAGTGGCTTTTATTGACATGCTGCTGAAAATCAAAGCTTCAAGGGCGGCAAAGGTAGGGAGCTGGGGCTTCTCTCGGACTGTGTCTTCAACCGAATAGCCAGGCTCTTCAGATCCCACACTGAGAACCAACCAACACTATTAGTATGTTCTGTTGTCTTCTACTTATGGTGTTAGATCTTTGTTTTCTGCTTTTTCTGGAAATTTCTAGAAATGTGCTTCTGATAGTCACTTATGTTAAACATTCCAGCCTTGATTTCTTACCCTCATGCTACCCATGAGTATCTTTGTTGAAATATTCAAATGCTTGCCTCATAATAAGTTCTTACATATAAGTTCCTACATATAACTTACATAATAAGTTCTTACTTGGGAAATACTGATTTTTGTCACCCTCTCCTGCCATGCCTTCCTTACAAAAGGAAGCAGGGGATACTGTTTTCAGCATGATGCATGTTTGATTCATAATAACATACATTCAAACTGTTGTGGGTTGTGCCGGAGCGATAGCATAGCGGGTAGGGCATTTGCCTTGCACTCAGCCGACCTGGGTTCGATCCCCGGCATCCCATATGGTCCCCCAAGCACCGCCAAGAGTAATTCCTGAGTGCAGAGCCAGGAATAACCCCTGAGCAACGCTGGGTGTGACCCAGAAAGCAAAAAAAAATATATATATATATATATATATATATATATATATATATGTTGGGGGTTGCAAAAAACATGGTGACAGTGAAAGGTTTCTACACATGTAATGAATGAAACTAGACTCAGCATCCTTGTGTCCTTGTGGACCTGAGGTGTTTCTGGCAATGCTCACCTGGTCTCCAGGGGAAAAATGTAAGACACCCAAGAGACTTTCTTTAGCTCCTGTTGCTATGGCTCTTCTGAGAATGTGTTTACCGGCTTCCAGAGTTTAGGAGTTCTGAGCTGTTGTGGGAGTTTCTCTTCTCTGCATAGTGATTCTCTCCACTTCACTCATCTGTGGTTCTGACACGGGGACAGCTGCTCTGCGTCACTGTTGACTGGCTGCATAGGCCAGGGAGCCACCTGTAAGGTGTGGCACAGTGGGTGGGCAGGGAAATATTGGCAGCTGTGTAAGTAGGGACACGTATTTGCTCAGACGTGATCATGAAGGAGCCAAATGACTGTCAGTTGCCTGAGGGGAGGGATTGACTGTCTGGGCTAAAGGTGTCGCGGGGCCTCCTCTCTGCAGCTATGACCTCCTGGCCCTGACTGCACAGCCAGGCTCAGTGCAGAGCTGGCAGTCTTGGGAAAGTATGTCACAGACCTGCCAGCTCACTCTTCATAAACCAAATCACAGAATGTCAGGTATATGCGAGACAGCGGTGGGGGGTGGGGCGTTGGGGTGTGGGGGTGCCCAGGAAACAGGTCCCAGGTGAGGATTAGGTGCCAGGTATTAGGAATGTAGCACCATTGGCTTTTTGGTTTGGTTTGGGGGGGCCACCGGAACTACGCCTGTGGTGCTTGAGGGCCAGGCGAAGCTGGGATGGAGTGTGGAACCTGTGTGTGCCCATCCAGATCTCTCCCTGGGCCCCATGTTGGTGTTTTTAGTAGTCACGTAGGCATGGACACAGGTGCCCTGCCCAGAGCTGCCTGGGAGTGCAAGCCCCCTGGGTGACCTCTGCCCACTTCATGAATCATCATAAATCAATGAGTATAAGTACATTTTTTCATTTTAGAATGCTTCTAGAATATGGTGATTGCGAGGACACTGTCCCCAGTGCGCATGCCATTGAGGTGGGATCTGAACCTGTCACCAGTCAAGTCCCTGTACTACTCTGGTGACATTTGCTTCATGCTTTAATCTCCTGGGGAGTTTGGCATTTGGTGGCATGCACCCTAATGCTTTTGAACAGACTGGCCACCTGACAGTGACCTGTGTAGCCTGGTTGGTGTCTGTGTCCCCCAAGTGCCTCTCCCCATACTATTAGTATGGAACCCTCCGACAAATTGGATTCATTTCCCAAGTTGATGCGCCCAAAGTTGGACATTTAGCACAAAAATTTGTAAGTCTACAACTGTACCTCATGGTGTTTCACTAATAAAAAAATTTAAAAAAAAACAAAAACAAAGTTGGACATTTGTAAGTGATCAGACGAGTGTTGTGATCATCGGAGTTTGCTCCGTATCAGACAAAGTCCTAACCGATGACAGGTGAATGCTTTCCCAGGGCTGCTAAATTCTAGCTTCTCTCCAGAAGTCAGACTCTGTCCTCGTCATCTGGGTGACTTTCTGGTACCTAACACTCATTTCCTCTTGAATCAGTGTTAGGGGTTTGCTTTCAGTGTGCAGGATTACAAGACACTGATGGCTTTTGTGTTTTTCTGTGCAGTTTTGGAAGATATGCCCCATGGAGCACATCTTGGCTCGCTTGGCGTCGGATTCCAGGCCTGTTTGTCGGCGCCTGGTGAGCCTCATCTTTTCCTCGTTCCTGCCTGTGAACCAGCCCGAGGAGGTGTGGTGTGAGCGATGTGTCACGCTGCTGCAGATGAACCACGCAGCTGCCCGAAGGTTCTACCAGTACGCCCACGAGCACACCACCTGCTCCAACATAGGTACCCACTTGGTCCGCATCCTCGTGGTCGGGTGTGTTCAGTCTGTGCACAGAAGCACCGCACTTTGGACTTTAGGGCACTTTTAAGGATCTTCTTAAAATAATGCTTCTCGTTATTTTGGGGGTCATAATTAACCATCAGAAACACAAAGATTCTTTATTGTGTCCAATGCTTTAGCAAAGCTGATTCATGTGATTCGCCGCTGCTTAAATGCCTGCATCCAGAAGGCACTGAGGGAGGAGTGCCCAGAGGACAACGAGGAGAGAGAGAAGGAGAATGTGAGTATAAGTCACCCTGACCGCTGTGAGGAGAGATTGGGCATTTCTACTCTGCCACTGCGTAAAAGGCAAAGTGGCAAATTCGAGAGATCCTCTCAAGCATGGTTGGCTGCATTAGGGAAATTGTGTTTTGCATATATTTCTTTTTTTCTTTTTTTTAAAATTTTTATATTTTTTCCCCTTTTTTATAATTTTATTTATTGAATCACCGTGAGAACAATTACAAAGCTTTCAGGTTTAAGTCTCAGTCATACAATAAACCACCCGTACCTTCAACAGTGCCCATTTTCCACCATCTTTTTTTAAATAATTTTTTCTTGTTTTTAATTTTCCCCCACTTTATTTAAACACAGTGGTCTACAATGTTGTTCATGATGCATTTGTTACAGGCATTCAATATTCTCGTATCAGTCCCACCACTGCTGTGTCCTTCCCTCCACCATTGACTATTTTCCCAGCCACCCCTCAAGTCTGCCCCTCAGCAGCCTCAAATAATTTATTTTTTATTGTTTGTTACCACTAAGTGGCTAATGTAATTATCAAAAAAATACTTCAGTAACAGAAAATTCGAAAATTGTTATACCTCACCATGGGGACAGTGTTATACCTCACACTGTCAGCTCACACCAGCTGTACCACACTCAGGCCAAGTCAGACAAGTAGGAAATCATGGTAAAGCCAATCTGAAGCAGAATGCTGCTCAATTATACCTTTCCTCTCTATTCAGTCTTACCCCAACTGCAAAATGAACTGCAGTAGGAAGACTAATTCCTTTCAAAAACATGTGTGACCCCTTGCACACTTGCACTGGCAGCGGAGATAGCGTCTCACAGCCACTCCTGTGGGCGTGCCCAGGCCGCTCCATCTGAGCTCCTGTTGTTGTGGGGTCCTTTCCTGTCACTGCCCTTGGTTTCTGCTGTGACTGGCCTCACACGTGTATTTGGTGGCAGTGCTGTCCAGGGGCTGTCCACCTACGGAGCTTGCACATGTGTGCTGGCCTCAGAGGTGGCACACGGAACAGGAGATCTCCCAGTATAGCAGCTCTGGAGCCAGACCACAGCCTCAGGCTTCTGTCACTGACATGTCCCCAGGCTCCTGTAAGTTCTTGGCCATTAGCCCCTTATGGATATCTGATAAGCCCATGTCACAAAAGGGCACTTTCATTCTTGTACATTAGCCTTTGGGGGGGTGGGGTCGTATTTTCGTTTGTTTCGTGAGTAAACAACGAATCCCTCCTGCTGCCTGTGTTCGGTAGTCTCAGACTACTTCCCCCACCCCGGCGAGGTCTATGGCGATGGGCAGACAAAGGAAGGAAATGAGGGCCAGGCTGGTTGGTGTCAGTTATAGTTTATTCCATTCCCATCTCCATTCTCCTCTGATTCTCCTGCTTCTTCCTCCCCCATGCTACTTCATTCTCCTCCTCGATCCCCCTTCATTCTCCTTCTGGCTTTGGAATCTGGATCCCCTTTCTCCTTCTCCTTCTGGAGTCTGGATCCGGATCCCCCAGCCCACTCTTACTGCCTAGTTAAATCCCCCCGCATGAGGGGTTGGGACTTACACAGAGGTGTGGTCACAATCAATAGGGGTAAAGTTCTTTCCCTGGGGAAAGCCGCTTCTAGGAGATTCTCATTTAGCAGGTCGACCCACCCTAGAGCAGAATCCTATGGGTGTGTTTCTCCTCTCCTTGTCCAACAAACATATGCCATTCATAATATTAATCATTTTGTATGGACACAGTAAGAGAAACATTAAGCTTATAGAATTGCTCTCCTAGGGCCATCTCAATCTCAGACTACAGTGCTCAGGCCAGATAGTCTTTCCTATCCCTAGCAGGGTCCAAGTCTCGTCGTTACTTTTGGATCATGGCAGCATCTGTCCATGTCCGTGATCAAGCTCTTATAGTTAAGAATCGTGGCACTTTGGCCTGGCCCATTTCGATGCCAGGGTAGCTCACAGCTTGCCCTGGGTCCATTCATTCCCTCGTAAGGACCCTGGTTTTGGGGTGCTAGGAACTAAGGGCAACTGAGGCTTAAGTTGAGAAAGCAGATGCCCAGGAGTGAATAATATTCAAAGCCAATTAAATCCTAAGTTACAAAAGCATAATATTAACTGTCTTCCTGTATCTATACAAAAAGGACATTACTTTTTTTAATATATATATAATTCATTTATTTATTTATTGAATCACTGGGAAAAGTTACAAAGCTTTCAGGTTTAGGTCTCAGTCATGCAAATATCAAACACATTTCCCTTTACCAATACTTATTTTTTACCACGAAGAACCCCAATAAAACCCCACCTCCCACCCCTCCCAATGCCTGTGAGGCAGATGAATTCTAGTTAACACTCTCTGCTTTGACTAGATTCATTGTTTCGATAAAAGATGCACCATTGTTATTTAGAGTTTACCCCCCCCCCCCAATCAGGCATGCTGAAAAAGCGTTGTGAAATGATTTGCTTTTCTACAGCTGGGTTCAAGAATTAAATGTTGTCTATTGCTGCCGCGCGGTTTTGGATTTCTGCTATTTTACTTATTAACCCTGGAAGTATTTCTACTGAAAGTCAGATAATTAAGAGATTGGTTACTGTGCTCTGGAGTCGTGGCCGTGCCGGAGAGCCGCTCGTGGGGGGCAACTGGTGACCTCGGTAGGGCGTGAGGAACGGGCCGGAACACCCCCCTTCACATGAGGTTTTAGTCGCCCCCACACCCCCGACTCATACCTGCTCTCCACAAGGCTCCCATGTGGCTACCATCTTTCTTTCCAGAGGGAGGAACATTACTTTAAACTATTCAAAAGACATAAGGAGAAGAGAAAGGCAGTATTTCACTCATACATATAAAATCATAGATCTCTGAGGAATCTGACCTTACGAGTTAACAGAGTCTGATTAGGGGAAAAAGCTGAATAACTGGTTGGAGAAGAGAGCATAGAAAAGTGGTTACAGATAAACAAAGGAATGGGAGTAATTCGGGGCACTGTAAAGGTAAAGGCCCTCCCGTTGATTGTCCATTTGCTCGAGCGGGCCCAGTAACGTCTCCATTGGAGACTTTGTTGTTACTGTGTCTGGCATATCGAATACTCTCGGTAGCTTGCCGGGCTCTCCCAGAGGGGCGGAGGAATCGAACTCGGGTCGGCCATGTTGGCCACTTGTAAGGCGAACGCCCTACCCACTGTGCTATCGCTCCACTGTGATGGGCGTAACTCAATGAACCTAAGCTCCTTGTGGCAAGGGGGAAAGGACAAACCAATGTTAGGCCTAAAATATTTGGAGCTATATTCTAGCAGTTTTGTTCTTTTTTCAGTTTTTGGCCCACAGCTTATGGTGCTTAGGGTGTACTCCCTGCTCCTCTCAGAGATCACTTCTGCTGGAGCCATATGGGGGGCCAGGGATTGAACTTGGGTTGGCCTTTCTCGCCGAACTTGCTCTCTGACCCCTGCCAGCTTTTCTGTTGAATGTAGTTCCAGTTTGTCTATCTTTGCTTTTTACTGTCTTTTGCTTTTAGGCGTAGTTCCCCAAGATCCCTGCCCTGTGTTTGTCACCTCTATATGCTTTATGGTTTCAGAGTTCATATCAGGCTTTTTTTTTTCTTTTTGGGTCACACTCGGCAATGCACAGGGGTTACTCCTGGCTCTGCGCTCAGGAATTACCCCTGGAGGTGCTCAGGGGACCATATGGGATCCTGGGAATCGAACCCAGGTCGGCCGCATGCAAGGCAAATGCCCTACCTGCTGTGCTATCGCTCCAGCCCCATATCAGGTCTTTTAATCTAGTTTGAATTCACTTTTGTCTGTGGGTTAGCGAGAAGTCCAGCTTCATTCTTTTACATGTGGATGTACAGGTTTCCCAGCATCACTGTTGAAGAGCCACGAATATTCACATCGGAGCCAGGGTGGTCAGGGACTACTTCAGGCTTGGTGTGAATGGCTCTGCCGAAGGCCGGTGGCCAGTGACCTGAGATGTTTCCTGGATGTAGCTGTGATTCAGTGGTGGTGACATGAAGGAAATTTGTTTCCTTTGCCCTCCTTTCCCGTTGGCTCACTTTGTTTATATCTCTTATATTTTTACTTAGGCCTAGAATTCTGAGATGTGCCTTTTTTGTTTTCTTTGTTTGGGGGGCACGGTGAGGCGATTGAGGGTCACTCCTGGTATGCTTGGAGGGCCATGCAGTGCTGTGGGTGAAGCTCAGGGCTCCTGCATGTAGGCTGTGCACTCTGGTCCAAGAATGTGCTTTTTCTTTTTTTCTTCTTTTTTTAAAAAAATTTTTATTGAATCACTGTGAGATAGACGCTCACAAAGCTGTTCATGATTACATTTCAGTCATATACTATTCCAGCACCCATCCCTCCACCAGTGTACATGTCCCAGCCCCAGTGTCCCCAGGTTCTCTCCCTTCACTCCCCACCTGCCCCACCCCTTGCCTGCCTCTATGACAGGGGCTTTACTTCTCTCTCTCTCTCTCTCTCTCTCTCTCTCTCTCTCTCTCTCTCTCTCTCGTGCTCGCTCTCGCTCTCTCGCTCTCTCTTGTCCCCTCTCCCTCCCTCCCTCTATCCCTCCCTCCCCTTTTGGGCATTGTGGTTTGCAGTATTGACACTGAAAGGTTACCAAGAATATCCCTTTACTTACTTAAAACCCTCAGCTCTTGTCCAGCATGATCATTCCCAGCTATTATTATCATACCATCTCTTCTCTATCTTTCTTATCCTCAGCCCCACTCACACTTGTGGTTGATTCCGACCATTGGCCAGTTCTCCTAGCCCCTGTTTTCCCTGGCCATGGATATTAGTCTTCTACTATATGTTTTTTAATATACCACTAATGAATGTAATCATTCTATGTCTATCCATCTCCTTCATTTCACTCAGCATGATACTCTCCATGCCCATCCATTTACAGGCAAATTTCATGACTTAGTTATTCCTAACAGCTGCATAGTATTCCATTGTATAGTTGTGCCATAGTTTCTTTATCCATTCGTCTGTTCTTGGGTACTCAGTCTGTTTCCAGATTCGGACTATGATGAATAGTGCTGCAGTGATCACAAGAGTGCAGGTGGTGTTTCTGCTGTGTGATTTTGGGGTCCCGGAGTATATTCCCAGAAGTGGTATTGCTGGGTCAAATGGGAGTTCAGTTTCTGTTTTTTTGAGAAATGTCCATATTGTGTTCCAGAAAGGCTGAACCAGTCAGCATTCCCACCAGCAATGAAGGAGAGTCCCGTTCTCCCCCCATCCACACCAACACTGGTCAGCAGTGCTATCATTAACTGTTACTACCTCATTGGGGTTGCCTCCCTGTCCTTCTGGTACTCTGCTGATTCTTATGCTGTTCCTCTTAAAATCATCCCATAGGTCTCATGCTTGCCTTTGAGCTGTTTTGAGGTCTTTTTCCATCGTCTGTTGTTGCCTGTATGCTTTCTGCAGCTCATCTTCAAGCTCACTGATTCTGTCTTCAGCTGTTGTCATTCTATTATTGAGGGCATCCACTGAGTTTCTATTTTCATCTACCAAATTCTTTATTAGTGACACTTCTGTTTATGGCTTTCTTATTTCTGCTCTCCATTCCACTGATTCTTTCATAGCCTCCTCTAATTTACTAGATATCCATTCCACCATTTCTTTGAGCTCTTTGAACATCTTCGACATTTCACCTCTGAATTCTTTATCAAAGAGATTGTATTTGTGGGTGTTCCCTGCTGAGGCTTCAGTGCTCTTTTCTTTTCCGCTCCTCGTGGTGGGGAGTCTGCGCTGATTTTTCATGTTGCTGTAGTATTATGGAGGTCGATCCCTCCGATTCACTATCATGACTAGATCTCAGTCATACACTATTCCAACACCCATCCCTCCACCAGTGTACATTTCCCAGCCCCAGTGTCCCCAGGTTCCCTCCCTTTACTCCCCAGGAATAAAGCCCCTGTCCCCTTCTCCCTGCCCGGGAGGATTCTGGATGAGCTCACTCGTTTTTCCCTTCAGGAATACTGACTTCCTCTTTGGTGCTCGTCTGTGAATTATGTGGGGCCTTTAGCACAGCTTCAGGGGACTGTCCTCCCATTGTTCATCGATTTGCTCGAGCGGGCCCAGTAACGTCCCCTTCGTGAGGCTTGTGGTTACTGTGTTTGGCATATTGAATACGTCACAGGTAGCTTGCCAGGCTCTGCCGCGTGGGCGAGATACTCTCGGTAGCTTGCCGGGCTCTCCCAGAGGGGCGGAGGAATCGAACCTGGGCCGACCAGGTTGTCTGCATGCAAGGCAAACACCCTACCCGCTGTGCTATCGCTTCAGGGGACATGTTTTTTTTTTAAATTAGGCTTGTTCAGTGTCTTGTGTTCACTGTTATTTTGGTGAGTTTTGGGAGTATTTTGATTGGAATAGGCTAGTGGACTATTGGCCTAATGTGGTTGGGAAGCCAGGCTGCTCTCATAAGAATTAGGTAATGGAGGTTGAGATATGTGCCCAAAGCACTATGAGCGGGAAAATTAACTGGTGACCACGGAACAGACGTGCTGTCTCGGAGGCCGTCACCCCCGCCCCCGTTGTACCTGTAGGGGAGTGGCCCCACGTTGGTGCCGGTCCTGTGTTAGAGTTCTATTTCCGGCACACTTCTAAAACCGCAGGAGTCCCCCCTTGCCTCGGTGCTCATGTGGACACCTTGGCCAAGGAGGGGTCTTCCAGTTCCCTGTGGCTGTTTGCTCGGCACTTTGCCCTGGAGGCCGCCCGGCATGTGCTTTAGAGGCAAGACTGTCACTGTAGGGGTTCCTCTGGTTTGATTCTTTCACAACAGAATGATTTGTATTTTAGGTTCTGGACAAGACTCTGTCAGTAAGTGATGTCCCATCCATGTCAGGCTTATTAGAAGTCATCGTGATTCTTTGGAAAAGTATTCACCGAAGTCTGGAAAACAATAAAGAGGCGAAGGTCTACACCATCAACAAGTTTGCCTCTGTGCTCCCTGAGTATCTCAAAGTGTTTAAGGTAAGAAGTGTCAGCCCACCATAGGTCAGGTGTGCTCACCCTGCAGGGTGCCGCCCTGCCAGTCCCAGGCAGGTCTTGGGCCCTGGTCTCTGTCTGGTGCCTTACAGGAATGAACAGGGAGTGAGTTGGGCTAGGGAGCCTCAGGGGCAGCAGGACGTCCTGGTGCAGCTCCTGTGTTGGGTGGCTCGCCGGGAGCACCTGTGTGCCTCAGCACTGCCGTGTGTGTGTCCTGCAGCTGTGGCTTCTCTGGGTCACTGTACACCTGCAAGATGTTCCTATTTCAAAAACAAATAAAAGTCAGACCGATAGCTATAAATGTGATTTGGGGGGTGTTGCTTAGACTACACAGGTCCTTTCACCCTGGTGGTACTCGGACCATGTTTGATTTGGGGGATCCAACTGAGGTTGACTGCGTGCAAACCAAGCGCCTTGACCCCTCTCTTAGGCCTAAAAATGAGACTTTCAAGTCTGGGGTCACCCTTCGCTTGATAGACGTTACTCGTGGTGACTGGACAAAGCTGTCACCAGGACCTCTTAGCCTCTTCGAGCAGGTTTCTTTTAGGTGTCTTTGCTTCAGTCTGTCTCAGAAATGCAAGTGTGGTTGTGTGTGAAGGTAAGTGGGTGACACCCAGGTGACTGTGCACATGGGCAGAACCAGTGCCATTCTCTCAGAGAGCTCAGACAAGTGGGAGGCTGCCAGGCTCTGTCGAGGCTACTAGGCGCCCTCTGGTTCGGAGCTGACGGGAAACCTGGGAGGCAGTGAAGCGAATGAGCAGGAGAGCGGCCCACCCTCAGTGACTCAGAGCTTGCCAAGTAACAGATAGTCTGGGAACCACTCGGACCCATTTGTTGTGCGACGTCAGTAAAGATCTTTTTTTGCCTGGGAGTTAGTGGTGAGGGTAGGCAGCCCTCGCAGTAGCTCTGCGAATTGGTTGGTCCCACCCAGGCCGTGGGGTCTGGTGTTTGCACACAGCCACCTCAGGCCTTATTCTCCTCCCCTGTGCCCTAGGAGGACCGCTGCCAGATCCCGCTGCTCATGCTCATGTCCTTCCTGCCCGCCGCTGCTGTGCCTACGTTCAGGTACTGACCCACCCCCAAGAGGTCGGCCCGTGTGCTTGTACACCCTGGCGTCCTGCCCAGGCGGCATCAGCTTCTGCTGAAGCAGTTCTCCCACCTTTGGCAGCAACCCACAGGTGCCACTCAGCAGTGGGTCTGAGCTGCTGTGCAGCAGGAGTGCCCGGGGAGTGGACACCACAGTCCATGCTCAGCCAGGCCTGTGGAGACTAGAGCTGCTGCTGTGTCTCTGGGGGCCACTGGCCATGCTGGCTCTGAGTGCATGAACCTGTGGGGGGCTAATGCTGGGCTAGGTCAGCTTGTACAGCTGTGCAGCGCAGATCAGGCTGTTCATGTTTTGGGCCACTCAGCTGTACTTAGGGAACTCTTGCCAGAGCTCAGGGACCATATGCGGTGCTGGAGGTCAGACCCAAGTTGGTGCCGTGCAAGTCAAGTGCTTTCCCCAGTTACTATCTCTCCGCCCCTTAGTGGAAATTCATTTTACCTTTTTCTTCCTTTTTCAAGTGTAGCTACTAGAAAAATTTAAATGATACTGCTGCTTATTTGTGTGTGCTTTTTATGGGTCTGTGGCATTATTATCTCAGTATAGAAATGTTCTGTACCATTCAAAAGCGGTTTCCCCCCAAATAGGCATCTGCTCTAGAGAATCACAGGTGAGACAGTGTGTAGGAGAGGGCACGACCCTGTGCCGTGCCTTATAGCCGTGACATTCTTCCAGGTGTTAACTGGCAGAGCTCAATGGTCCGCAGTGCTCGGGAATGCAGGGGTGGCTGGGGAGCCTTTAGTGAGACTCATCTCTCTCTGACTCTTCCAGCTGTGGCGTCATCTCCACACTGAGAACCCAAGAGGAGGGCACAGCCGACAGGAGCCACTGCGCACTCCTGGACTGTCTGTGCTCCTGGGGGCACATCGGGCACGTGCTGGAGCTCCTGTGCGACTGGCTGCCCCAGGAGCCGTCCCCCGGCAAGGTGGGCCCCTCGTCTCAGGCTCTCGGAACAGGGGCTGCTGCCCGCACCTGCCCTCCTACCTGCTTGTCTCTCACTCCTTCAGAGCAGCTCGGCTTCTCAACGGAAGGTGCAAGTGCATGACCCACGCCCGGCCAAGCCGGAGTTGGCCTTGGTGTACATCGAGTACCTGCTCACCCACCCCAAGAACCGGGAGTGCCTGCTGTCTGCTCCCCAGAAGAAACTCAACCAGCTTCTGAAAGCACTCGGCGCCTCGAAGGTAGCTTTGAGGTGATGTGCCCCCTTGAAAGATGAGGGGCCATATGGTGGCCGGGTGCTGGCGTGGGAGTTGCTGGTACCTGCCTTCTTGGGGGGTTCTGCCCCTTGCTCTCTCCTCGGGCACTGTGGGGACTGTTCTTGGCTGAGGGCTTTTCTCCTTGCTGGTGCTCTGGTATCCCTCCAGGGCACGCCTTGGGCCCATCTCTCTTCTGCTGTGCTTACTCGTGCCATGGGCTGACCCCGGAGGCCCACAAGTTCCCAGACTTGGCCTAATACCCCCACTTTTCAGGAAAAAGGCATAGCAACCCCAGAAATCTCCCTTCTTTAAGTGAACACAGATTCCCGCTCCTCCAGTCGCACCCAAGCTTCCCCCTTGCCTGGAGGGCTCCAGCCAGTGCCTGAGGATAGCATTGCCCAGACCTGAGTGCCTAGGGCTGGGGCGTGGGGGGGGGGGGGGGGGGAGTTGTGGAGAGGAGTGCAGGGCACATGTTTCTGCTGCTGGACAGAGGCTAACCTGGTGGTGGCTATTCCAGAGACCCTGGGTTGTGTTCCCTGGGCTCTCAGAGGAGCACACAAAGGTGCCACTGCCTGCCCTGTTGTGGGGGACCCCCGCCCCGCCCCGGGCCACCCCAGCCATACCCCTGCTCCCTGGTTGTTCGCTGGGAAGGAGCCAGTACGGCTGCTGACCCCTGTGGGCTGGCGCCTGGGTGCAGCTGCTCCCCATCCCACCTCTAGTCTGGCCTCTGCCCAGGCCCTGCCTGCCAGGAGGGCACGTCGTGGGGGAGGACACTGACTGCCCTGTGGGCCTGGGGTGACTGGGGACGTTTCAGAGCTTCCCCTTCCCAGGTGGATCTGGAGTCCATTCTGCAGTCGCCCTCAGGAAAGCCTCATCACTTCAGCGAGGTGACAGCCCTGCGGGCCTTCGGCCTGCACTGCCGGCTGAGCATCCACCTGCAGCACAAGGTACGCTTGGGGCATGGGGCTCCCTCCTGTGTGCTCCGAGCCGGCACTCACTCTCCTCTCTGTCGTCGGACAGTTCTCCTCAGAAGGCAAAGTCTACTTGTCTGTTTTGGAAGACACTGGGTTTTGGCTAGAAAGCAGAGTTTTGTCTTTTATCCAAGATCAAGAAGAAGAGTACCTGAAGCTTCACAGGGTCGTTTATCAACAAGTCATCCAGGTGAGACTCTTCCGATAAAAGCCCTTCTCTTTTCCAAGTGTGCTATCTGCAGAGTTTCTTCCATTCTCAAGTTGTGACTTTAGATGTTACCGTTGCTCTTCCTAAATGCTCGTGTTGACATGTGTGTTGTGTTCTGTTTGTGGGGTCATATCAAAATGTGCTTTGAAGTGTCTTCTGGGAATAAAGAAGAATCCATGTGCTTTGGTGGGAATTCCTTTGTGAAATTATTTTATTTTTTTAATTTGCTTTTGTGGGTCATGCCTGGCCACCAGGAGTAACACGTTACTCCTGATGGTTCTGAGAGACCATATGGGATGCCGGGCATTGAACCTGGGTCAGCCACATGCAAGGCAAGCACCCTGACCGCTGTACTATTACTCTGGTTCCAAAATATCTTTGTCAGTATTTGCTTTTGAGGAAACTAGGTGGTAGGCAGTTTCCAGGCTGGCCTCTTGACTTCTGTTGGTCTCCTTTGTGTCTTTACAGACCTACCTGTCAGTGTGTAAGGATGTGGTGATGGTCGGCCTTGGCGACTGCAAGTTTCAGACACAGCTTTTACAGTGGAGTCTGGGGATCATGCAAGCAGGTACACCTCCTTCGGCAAGCCACTATCAAAGCCAGCCACCTCTTTCCTATTTAGTGGGTCAGGACTCATTTTTTTCCTGCTTTGTTTGGTATTTGTTTGGGGGCCACTCCTGGTGATGATCAGGACTGTGTGATGCCAGGGCTCAGACTCGGTTTTTTGTTGGGGGTGGGGAGGTGTGCCCCTCTGTAAAAAATATCTTTTGCACGTGGAGGAGGAATGCGGAGATGATGATGTGTGGATGGCGGCTTCTCGGGGCAGCTCACTCTCGCCGCCCACCTCTGTGTATGGACCAGATCGGGATGGCTCCTCCTTTGTGCTTTGCTTCTGTGCATGCCGCTGTGCTCTCTTCTGCCTGTCTCTATTTCTGACTCTGTCTCTGTAGTCTCTCTGGTCTCTTCCAACCTCTCTCTGGAGCTCTTCTGCTTCTCTCTGGAGCCCTTCACTCTGGATTCTGACACTCTTCCATGGATTCTGACTCTGGCTCTGCCCCCCACCGCTCTTTTATATAGCAGTCACATAGGGTGGTGACACAAAGGTGGGTTGAACACTAACAAATCAACAAAGAGAGGTAAGACCACTCCTCCAGGAGATTAACTCAAGTATAAAATCTCATCTAAAGAGATTACTCTGGATTGAGTGATAGCACTGTATAAAATCTCATCTAAAGAGATTACTCTGACTGGAGTGATAGCACAGCGGTAGGGCGTTCGCCTTACAAGCGGCCAACATGGCCGACCCGAGTTCGATTCCTCCGCCCCTCTGGGAGAGCCCGGCAAGCTACCGAGAGTATTCGATATGCCAGACACAGTAACAACAAAGTCTCCAATGGAGACGTTACTGGGCCTGCTCGAGCAAATCGACGATCAACGGGATGGCCGCTTAAGGGCGGGATCCCATTCAGGGTGTGTTGCTTTCTTCTTTCCTCAGCTAGTAATCCACTTAATAGTTGTAGTAAATCTACTCATATTTCTAGCAATGTCATTCTGTATGAGCACAGTAAGAGATATATCAACTTAAAGCTTGGTTCTTCCTGAGGATGTCTTACCACAGTCTTCCTAACCGCAGCAGGGTCCTAATCCCAGTCTTCCTAACCCCAGCAGGGTCCTAGTCTCGTTGTGACTTTTGGATCATGACAGCATTTGTCTATGATCATGCTCTCAACTTATAGTTGAGTATTGTGGTGCTTTGGCCTGGCCCATTTTGTTGCCAGGGTAGCTCACAGCTTGCTCTGGGTCCATTCAGTCCCTCATTTGGACCCTGCTTTTGGGGTCCTAGGAACTAAGGGCAACTGAGTCGAGAGCAGATGCCCAGAAGTAAATATTTTTGGAGTCAATCAACTCCCAATTTACAAAGCATAATATTAACTGTCTTCTGTCCATACAGGAAGGACATTGCTTTAAGGTAAATTAAGTACCTTGCGGCAAGTCTGAAAGGACAAACCCATTGTTACCCTACACCCCTCTGTGCTCAGGACTTGGTCCTGGCAGGGCTTGGGGGAACCATATATGGTGCCAGGAATAGAGTCAGGATTGGCTGAGTACAAGACAAGTGTCCTACCCACTGTAATGTCTTCCCCGGGACTAAGTGACACAAATGAAATGCAAACTAGCTTGTGCAGACGCTAATCACTGAACTGACGTAGCTAGAGTTATTTCTGGTTTGCTGCAGTAAGGCCTGAGTCTGATGGTCCTACAGTAGCTAGAGCTGTCTCCTCCTGTGTGATGACCCTACAGCAAAGTCCACTCAGGACTGTCCTGCCTCTGCACTGGGCACAGGGCACATATGTCACGGCTAACTAATGCCGCTGCTGGCAAGTCGCTGTGGCCCTAAGTTAAGGGTGAGAGTTAACCAGAGGTGATGAACGCATAGTCCTCAGGTGTTCCCGAGGGAAGGGAAGTCAAGTCTCCATGCAGACAGAGCGGAGACTTCCCCCATGAATCTAGGACATCATCGGGGTGTCCAGTCCCATCACATCAGGTAGGGGCAGGAGAACTGACTGTGGCCACGACACCTCCTGGTGTAGTGGAACCGCTGCTGAGAGCTGCTGCCAGGGGTTTCCATGCACCCAGGCATGTAGAACCCAGACCCCACTCATCGGGGTCTTTCTGGGCCCACAGAGACAGGAAGTCCAGTGCTCAAGTTCCTGAAGCCCACAGTGGCTCACAGACGTTGAAGTGATGCCCTTTCACAATTCAGAGTCAGCCCAGCCAGAGCCAGCCTGCTGTTAGTGCCCCGTCGACTTTTCCTCAGTGGAGGGCCTCGTGGACAGAGACCTGCAGTATGAGCACAAGCAGATTTGTTCATTGTCCAAGACAGCTGCAGTGGAGGATGAGAGACTGAGTAGAACAAATATCACTACCTTCCCGGGCCCAGGAGACAGTGCTCAGGGCTGGAGGAAGCACCAGGTTCTGTCCCAGGCACCACAGGGTCCCCCAGGCACCAAGAAGAAAAGTTTAAAGTCCACCTATGTTTTGTTTAACACTGTATGTATTTTTTAATTGATCTTTCAATTATTTTGTTAATTCATCATTGGTTTGCAGTCTAGTGATTGAAGCACTTGCCTAGCACATGGCTGTTCTGAGTTAGATCCCTGGCATCCCATATGGCCCTTTGGTACCACCAGGAGTGACCCCTGAGCATTACTGAGTGTGACGTCCTACCCCCAATTATTTTTCAAACTTCATCAATTCAGATTCATTTTTTCCGAAGGACAGAATGTATTTTTAATATGTTTAAACTTTACTTTTCTGAGGAGATAACCAGAATTTTAGGTCCCTGAATGGCTATGGCTAATTCCATGATTTAGAAATGTCTGACTTTTTTCTCTTTTCTAGAAGTATCTGTCTTAAGGGTCAAGAGATAGTACCACACTTAGGGTTCAGTTCCAGGTACCCTGTGATCCCCAAGACTGCTGGCTGTGGAGTGGCCTGGGCAGCTCTGCATCCTCTGGTTCTTGTATTGTATGAAACGCAAAGGCAAAGCAAGATTGATGGAGACTCAGGCAGGTTGCAGGTTGACCCACCACGAGGCAGAGCTCTGAGTGAGGCCGGTTTTATATGGCCCCCTAGAGGGTAAGACGGTCCGGAGTCACGAGATGGGTCACAGGATCACCTTCATCGGCTAATCTAAGGCACGGACTGCTGCGGCTCCCTAAGCCAGCCTGGGGTGCTTTGTCTGGACACAGCCTGTGGGCTCCAAGTGCGTCTGTTCTCAGAACCCTGACTCTGAGCTCACTCCCTCCATGCTGTCCACCAGGACCAGCTGTGCAGTTTCCTTTTGCCTTCTTAGGTTATCATCCAGAGCATCTCTCAAGTTGGTTGATATTATTCTTCGTATTAGTTTTGGGGCCACACACAGCAGTGCTTACTCTTGGCTCTGCACTCAGGCTTGGGTAACCATACGGGGTTCTGAAATCGTACTCAGAGGCGGGCAAGGTGAGTGCCCACCCACTGTACTCTCTCTCTCTCTTTCTCTCTCTCTCTCTCTCTCTCTCTGTTCCCCCGCCCCCTTTTTTTTTTTTTTTTTTTTAGGAAATTTGAGAGTAAAGAGGGTCCCCTCAAGTGGAGAAGAGAAATCATATTCCTTGTTCTGGGTGTGGATCGTGCTGTGCCTTCCACATCTTTCCCAGGCACTTCCTGAGAGAGGAGGGAGTGCCATCCATCTTTGTGGCTGGACTCTGCAGCCATCTCTCTCTTTAGCAGGAGTAAGATTTGGGCCCAGCCTAGCTTCTTGCTTCTATCTCAAGCAGAGCTTGCTGTGTTACTGAATTCTGGGAGTTGAGTCGTTTTGGGCCTCCCTCCAGGCATGTTTCTTGTAGAGAATCACAGGATCCCCACGTGAGGTCAAAGAGGCCGCCTCTCTGTCACCCTGGGAACAGGAAATGCCATAGAAGGAGGAACAGCATCTCTTTCCCTAGGAAATGTTTTCCTCTGGTCTCCTCGGTGCCTCGTGCGACTTGGCTCTTTCCACCTGGGAAGTACCTGTGCATGCGGACCTGAGGGCCTGCAAGAGCAGCTGACCACAGTGGGACTCAGGCAACTCTGGAAAGCTTCCTGCAGTCCAGACCACAGGCTCTTTGTACAGCTTGACTTGCAGACAAGACTGGATGAAAGTGAGACAGGCATCCCAGGGCCCTGGGTCATATCAACACCAGTCCCACAGATGAGAGCATCACAGTGATGAGGCCCCTGAGCAGGCTTGGATGTTGGCAGAGCCAAGCTTTTCAGAGCCTGGTTGCAGGCCATCCCATTTAGTTTATTATTGGCACGGGGTGGTGGGGGAAGCAGGTGATCTGAGACCTGGGTCTCTGGGAGCTGTGCCAGAGTTAGTGCCAAGTCACACCCTCATTTCTATCTCTGAAGGAACCAAAGTTTAGCATTTATTTATATTGAGATTTAGATTACTCTGATTGAACTAGTCTTGACTAATATGTGCAATACCTAATTATATGATTGAATGATTTCTTGACTTTTCTTCTAGTGAAGGGATTCTTTTATGTTACATTACTTCTGGGCATCCTGAAAGAGGTGACTGGATACTCCTCGATTCAAAAAACAGACTCAGATGAACAGGTTGCAGCACTGTTTGACATGGTACAAAAAGTGTTCCAGAAGATGCTTGAATGTATGGCCCGCAGCTTCAAGAAGCAGCCCGAAGAAGGCCTGCGGGTACTGCCTCTTCACAGAGCGGGTGGCTAGGCTGGGATGGACAGTCACTGGTGGGCCGGGTGCATGAGGGAGTGGGCGGGCTCTTGGATCAGGTGAACGGCAGATGGACAGAGGGCATGGTGATTCAGTCCAAAGCTCCCTTATCACACCGGGTCCTTACTTTCTTAATGAATATGAGCTTCTGAGTTTGATAACAGCTGAAAGTGCTCACGTGGGCTTTTTTTCTTGAGATTTGATGGCCTTCACTTCTTTCTGCTGGTTGCTGCCTGAGGTAATGGGAGGTTGTCAAGTTTTCTAAGCCAGTTAGTATTTCAGTTCATTAGAGACACTTCTGCTTTTGACACTATTTCCAGTCACCATGGTCTGTATGTGATTTATATCAAAATCTTTTATTTTCACACTGGTCTTTAAGTGGCCAGCTACTTTTGTTAGAGTATATGGCTCATGGCCGATGCCTCCTTTCAGTGTGACTCATGACTTTCCATTCTTTTTTTACGTAGGTAATTATGCTGTCAGTTGGGAATTTGATTTGATTTTTTTTTTCCTTTTGGGGAGGAATGTCATGAAGGGAATCCCCAGGGGGTCTCACACTGTCTGGCCTCCTTCATCCCTGGTGCTCAGGGTCCCGGAATGAGCCACAGGGAAGGACTGGTGTCACTAATGAGGCTGCTGTGCTTTTCTTATAGCTCCTGTACTCGGTGCAGATCCCTCTTCACGAGTTCATCACCACAGTTCAGACCTGGCACTTCGACACCCCCGTGCACCGGGGGGTGCTGTCCACCCTGATCGCTGCATCTGTGGTGGAGATCACTCACCGACTTCGAAAGGTGAGTTTGTTGCCTGAAAACTGGTTAGCCTACCCCCAGGCATGCGTGTGGCCTAGCCCACGTCCTGTCTGGCAGCTCAGCCCAGTTAGTCCCCTGCATGTTTTGATGAATCAGATGTCTATGTTTTATGTCATCTTCTCTGCTTGCTATCACTGGTGTAGATTTCAGTCTGTCCTAAGGGATCTCCCTGCTGCACACCCAGTGAATCTGAAACAGCATTGCCCTCCTGCCCTGTTCCTCATCACAGATTCTATTTCTACGTGTGCTTGAAACTCCACATGTTAGTATTTAGCTATTTCAGTTACATGGTGATTGACTGATGCTCAGGTGATTGCTGTGAACCCCAAGGGAGGAAATATGGGAGACTTATTAGAAGTTTGCAGTGAAGTTCCCTGAGACACTGAGAATTCAGAGGGTGGCGGGCTGCTGCGCAGAGAGGGGTTGTTTCCATGCTGTGGCTGGCCTGTGTGGAGGGAGTCCTTGGCACGTGGAGTCCATTTCGTCGCAGGCATTGCTCTGCCGTGTTGGGAGTAGTTTTGTCACTTCCTGAGGAGAGCCTCAGATGTGGCCCAACAACCAAAAGGACCCCCTCATCCCCAGAGGAACAGCTCCAGCTCCATGGACAGTGACGCTGAGCTGGAGAAGCAGGCCGAGCACTCACTGTGGGACATAGCAGCAGCTTTCCAGAATGCCCATGAGACGATGAACAGTAGGTTCTGCCAGAAAAGACCCCATGCAGAGCCAAGGGTCTCTGCTTATCTCAGACTTAGTAGCTGACAAAAACCATTCTCATCGTTCTAGAAGAATGCCAGATTATGTAAATTAAGTTACTACCCGGGTCCTAGTCTACAAATGACCAACTTGAAACTTGCTTCTAGATTTCTGACCTGGAAGAGCTGACGCCCCCAGAATGTCTGTCAGACCTGCCACCGTTTTCAAGGTGTTTAGTAGGAATCATCATAAAATCCCCGAACGTGGTCAGGTAACCACTTCTTCACTCTCCTCACTTCTCTGAGCCTTTGCTCCTTTCCTTTTATTGATAAATTTTGAGGAAAGCTTTGTTTCCTCTCATCTTTATCAGCAATTGAACATGCTTATTTTAGAGAATAGCACAGTGCTTGGGGTGCTTGCTTTGCACGTGGCCAACCCTGGTTTCATCCCTCTTGTCCTCCAGGCACTTCCAGGGGTGATCCCTGCACACAGAACCCAGAGTAAGCCCTGAGCACTCCTGGGCTAAGCAACACTCTCCATCCCTCCAGTGACAACTTTCTTTTCTGGGTCAGACAGATATAGAGAGTTTAAGTACTTGCCTTGCACACAGCCATGACAATGGTCTGAATTCTGGCAGGTACCACATATGGTTCTCTGAGCACCACCAGTGGCCCCTGGGCACTGCTGAGTATTACTCCTTTCCCCACCCCCTACCCCCAAGAAAAAGAGGGAAACTGTTTACTTATACAAAGGTAAATTCGAATTTTTGTCAAGCATCTGCTTAACAAAAATTAAGCCATGTTGGCTGCGTGCAAGGCTGGAGCGATAGCACAGCGGTAGGGCGTTTGCCTTGCACGCAGCCAACATGGCCGACCTGAGTTCGATTCCTCCACCCCTCTCGGAGAGCCCGGCAAGCTACCGAGAGTATCTCGCCCGCATGCCAGAGCCTGGCAAGCTCCCCGTGACATATTCGATATGCCAAACACAGTAACAACAAAGTCTCCAATGGAGACGTTACTGGGCCCGCTCGAGCAAATCGATGAACAACGGGAGGGCCTTTACCTTTACCTTATCTGCTTAATTAGATAATGACTCCAGACAGAGGGAAACATTGGGAGTGTTTACTTGAGTAAACCCTTGTTATAAACCCCAGAGTTAAGGTGAAGTCCAGTGTGGATTTTGGGTACATGGCCAAAACTGGACGATTTCTCTATCCCAGAAGCCCCTGCACTGGGCTGTGTATTCAAAAAAGAAAAGCAAAGCCCGTCGCTCACTCTCCCGCCGCCTGTGTTCAGTGGTCTTGGGCCACTTCCCCCACCTGGGGTGGCCGATGGCGATGGGTAGACGAAGGAGGGAACTAGGGGTCAAGGGCCAGGCTGGTTGGTATCAGTTGCAGTTTATTCCAGTCTCATCTCCACTCTCTCCTGACTCTCCTTCCTCGAATCTCTTTTCCTCCCTCCTCTCCAGATCCTGCTCCTTCCTTCCTTCCTCCCGTTCTCCTGCGTCCCCCTTGATCCTTCCCTTGCCCACTCTTACGGTCACGGTCCTCCCGTTGTTCATCGATTTGCTCGAGCGGGCCCAGTAATGTCTCCTTCGTGAGGCTTGTGGTTACTGTATTTGGCATATTGAATACGTCACAGGTAGCTTAGCTTGCCAGGCTCTGCTGTGCGGGCGAGATACTCTCAGTAGCTTTCCGGGCTCTCCCAGAGGGGCGGAGGAATCGAACTCGGGTCGGCCATGTTGGCTGCGTGCAAGGCAAGCGCCCAACCCGCTGTGCTATCTCTCTGGCCCTTACAGCCTTAGTTATCTCTCTAACCCTGAGGGGGCTGGGGTAGCCAATACAATCAGTGGATGTAAGGTCCCTCCCTCAGGGGAAGCTTTTCCGGGACAAACTTACTCAGCAGGAAGACCCGCCTAAGGGGAAATACTATATCTAGGGGTGTGTTTCTCCTTTCCTTAGTCCAATAACCATCTGAACATTCGTCTTAATTCTGCTTCTTAATAATATTAGTCATTGTGTATGGACACAGTAAGAGATACATTAAGTTTACAGGATGGCTTTCCTGGGGGAATCTCGCTATAACTCTCAGACTACAGTGCTCAGGCCAGATTAGTCTTTCCTAAGCCTAGCAGGGTCCTAATCCAGTTGTTACTTTTTGGATCATGACAGAATTTGTCCATGACCATGCTCTTAACTTATAATTAAGTATTATGGCGCTTTGGCCTGGCCCATTTTGATGCCAGGATAGCTCACGGCTTGCCCTGGGTCCATCCGGTCCCTCGTCAGGACCCTGCTTTTGGGGTGCTAGGAAGTAAGGGCAACTGAGACTTAAGTCGAGAGAACAGATGCCCAGGAGTGAATATTATTTGGAGTCAATTAACTCCCAAGTTACAAAAGCATAGCACTGTCTTCCTGTGTCTGTACCAAAGGGATGTTGCTCTAAATTAACTATACAGAGGACATAAGGAGAAGAGAAAAGCAATATTTCACTCACAATATAAAACCATAGATTTCTGAGGAATCTGACTTTATCAGTTAATGGTCTGATTAGGAGGAAAAGGTGATAGACTGATTGGGGAAGCAAAGCACAGAGAAGGAAGTTACAGATAAACACAGAGGAATGGGAGTACCTCAGGAGCACTGTGATGGGTGTAAACTCAGTAAACCTAAGCTCCCTATGGCAAGGGAGACAGGACATACCAATGTTATCCTACAACCACCTAGGGCCTGTGTGCATAGACAGAGCACTGTGTGCGTGCGTGCGTGCGTGCGTGCGTGTGTGTGTGTGTGTGTGTGTGTGTAGTTGAGGGAGGGGCTCAGAGATTGTTAGGCTGAAGTCCAACCCCCGTAGACTTTCATAGCAGAGAATCTCAGTGAAGACTTGGAAAAGCATTGTCTGAGGCAGCTCTGAGTTCCTTTTCCAAAATGTGAACTTCTGTGTGTGCAAATTGCTTGTACTACAGATTGACAAACAGCCCCTGTCATCTGTGGAGCAACATTCTGATTTGAATGTGTGCCCTGTGTGATTTGGGATGTTCACTGTGAAACATGTGGGAAGGGTTAATCGCTTTCTTGTGTTACCTGAAGTTAGAATTCATGCTGGTTGATGAGCCTTGGCTGGCTGAGCCTTGCTGGCTGGATTTCCCTGAAACATTAGAATTCACACTGTAGAGTAATTCAGATGTTTCTTTACTTTTTGCAGGTCATTTTTAGATGAACTGAAGGCATGTGTTACTTCTGATGATATTGAAGGAATTGTATGTCTCACAGCTGTTCTGCATATTATTTTGGTTATTAACAAAGGTTGGTTGGTTGGACTCCGCTGTCTCCTGGGGTTCTTCTGTATGTTTTGGGGTGTGTAGGGGCTTAGTACCTGCCGTCCAGCTTTCACACTGCCCCCAGGCCTGTGCTTCTTTGGTGTCCTCTACTCACATGACTTCTAGGCTGCTGTTGGTCCCTTCATGAGTCCCACAGACCCCATTTTACCTGCTGGGCCCTGTTATGCTCATGTTTTTTTAGATTTAAGAATCTGATAAGTTCGATATTAATGTTTACTCTTGTGTTTTCTTTTTCTTAAGCTTTGACCTGTCTTTGTCTGACTCGGTTGAAAGTCCAGAAAACAAAGATTAGAGAGATGCTAAGAATTCACAGGGGCTCCCATTCTGTTTTTGTCCCTAGACTTGTGTTCTGAGGATGCCCATAGGGTTCTGTCCAGCGCTAGCTGGGCCTGACTGCTAGCTGCTCTGATGTCCAACTGCTCGGACTCGGCTGGGCCCAAGAAAGAGCTCCCTCAGCAGGGTCCCAAGGGACACCAAATGTTGAGGGGGGTGTGGATGAGCGGCAGCTTCCTAGAGACAAGTGGAGGTTCTGGAGTGCACCTGGGCGCAGAACTCCATGTGCAATTGTCAGTGTGCTGGACAAGCGTGTCCCCTGGAGGGAGATTGAACACAGCCACACGTAGGGGGTGCCGGCGTGGGAGAAAGAGGCTTGTGTCCCGGGGTGAGCCTCCTCTTTCTGTCATACTGTGTCCCCTCCAGGTAGACACAAGAGCTCCAAGATACAGGATGCCGCAGCTACAGTTCACAGGAAACTGAAGACTTTCATGGAGATCACTTTGGAAGAAGATAGCCTGGAAAGGTAAGCACCACAGCCTTGAGGTGTGACGAGCATCCTTGGGTGTATTTGATGCTTACAGCCGGGCTCCCTAGGGAAGCCCATTGGTTCTGGTGGCCAAACTCCTGGGTATTTCTCTGTGACTTCCCAATCTGGCACTCTCTCCTTTGGACAATCACGGCTTGATAATAGCCTTGTCTCCTCCTCCCCAGCATGCCCGCTGTCCCTGCCTCTCCGGGCACGGGCTGGGACATCAGGTCAGAGACAGGCAGCAGGGGCCTTGTTCTGGTCTGGCTGGTGGTGTGGGTGCTGCTTTCTAAGCTGAGGACGGTCCCTCAGCCCAGTTTGCTGGGAGCTTCATCACGCACATTAGGAAATTTCCTCCCATTAGTCTGAGGACGCTCCCCCAGTCTCCTTTACTGCACCCTCTCCTCCCCATGGAAGGAGTCTGTCAAAAGCTTTTTCTGCATTGAGTGGACCATGTGATTTTTCTCCTTTAGTCTGTTGATGTGATGGATTATATTAACTGATCTATGAGTGTTGAATCAGCGTTAACCAGTGGTAGGATCAGTTTTTCTTGGCTGAGGTGCATAATTCTTCCTGTGCATTGTTAGATTCAGTTTGTTGATTTTCTGTTGAGTACTTTTGTAAAAATGTGCATGAGAGATATTGGTGTATGGTGTTCTTATGTCCATGTCAGACTTTGGTTGCAGGGTAATGCTAACCTTGTAGAATGAGTTTGTTTGGGTATTCCCTCCGCTTCTCTGACAAAGATTGTACAGAATGAGTATCACATTTTCTTAAATGTTTGGTAGAGTGACCAGTGAGAACCCCTGTGGGCCTGATTCTTTTTGGTTTGGTTCATTATTAGGTACTGACTTGATTTCTTTAGTAGATCTAGGCCTATTCATGTCTGTGTCTAAACCGAAGTCCTGTTTCTTCTGTGGGTTTTGTTGTTTTGTGTTCTTGAATGAGCTGGTCTGATCTGCTTTTGCTGTCAAAGCCCTGGGCATCCATTCTCTAGCCTTTGGCTGTCCATGGGATCTAGTTCTGCTAGTGGCTTCTTCCATTTCTGAGATGAGCAGTTTGTGTCATCATTCTTAGTCTGGATTGATTTATTTTTGGGGTGCAGGGATGGGCCCAAGGAGGTTGCTCAGGGGCCGTTCCCAGCTCTGTGCTCAGGAGATATTCCCCCCACACCCCTGCAAGGCTCAGGGTGTGAGTTCAAAGTGCAGCATGTGATGCGTGCGTTTGGTGGCCAGGACCCGCCTCCCCACCGTGGCCAGCCTATAGAGATGGATAAATGAAGGAACAGGGCCACAGGTTGGATGGTAGGTAGCCGGTGACCCTTTATTCCAGTCTCATAGTGTAATTATATAGAAATCATGAAGGGTGGGGGTACACATAGGCATTGTTGAACATTATCATAACAATAAACAGAACTTCCCCTTAAGGAAGGGGAGTAACTCATTAACAAAATTTTATCTGGGGGTTCAGCACTCAAGACTACTAGGAGATCCGCCAAGGGCAGGATTCCAAAAGGGTGTATTTCTTCTTTCCTTAACCAGTATCCATTTAAACAGTCGTATTAAATTCTTAATAATATTTCTAGTCATTTTGTCTGAACACAGTAAGAGATATATTAAGCTTAAAGGGTGACTCTTTCTGGGGACATCTTGCTATATATCTCAGACTACAGTCCTCAGCCAGGTCAGTCTTTCCTAACCTCATCAGGGTCCTTATTGAGTTACTTCTTTTTGGGTCATGACAGAATTTTTTTCTATGACTGTGTTCTTAACTTATACTTTTTTTTTTCGTTTTGGGTCACACCCGGCAATGCACAGGAGTTACTACTGGCTCTGCACTCAGGAATTACTCCTGGCGGTGCTCAGGGGACCCTATGGGATGCTGGGAATCAAACCCGGGTTGGCTGCATGCAAGGCAAATGCCCTACCTGCTGTGCTACTGCTCCAGCCCCAACTTATTATACTTCTTCTGGAACTTAGCCTGTCCTTTTTCGATGCCAAGCTAGCTAGCTTACTGCTTGCCCTGGGTCCATTCAGGTCCATCCACTCCTTTTGGAGTATTAGGAGCTAACGGCAATTGAGGCTTAAGTCAAGTAAATATGATGGATGCCCAGGAGTAAATATTAATTCAGAGTCGGTTAACTCCCATATTACAAAAGACACTGTCTTCCTGAGTCTATACAAAAAGAACACTGCTAAACCATGTAAAGGACATAAAGAAAAGAGAAAAGCAATGTAGGGTTAGCAGTGCTTGATGGAACTGGGTGTGCCTCGGGAGCCTGACCCTAAGCTCCCTGTAGGAGGAACAAGGACAGACCAGTGTTGCTCAGCACAGGGGGCCACATGCAGTGCCAGGGATTGGAACTAGGTCGGCCTCAGGCAAGACAAGTGCCTGGATCCCTGTTACTATCTCCCCGATTTATTGATCTTTCAAAGAACCAGATTTGGTTTCATTGATTCTTCCCTTTTGATTTCCTGTCATCATTTAAACAGAATCTGCTCTAATTCTGTAATTTCTTTGGTTTGCTTAAAAGTATGTTGCTTAGTCTGCATATCTGTATCCGTACCTCTATTTATCTCTCTATGTGTGTATATTCACGGCAGAGCCTAGCAAGCTATCCGTGGCGTATTCGATATAGCAAAAACAGTAACAATAACAGGTCTCGTTCCCCTGACCCTGAAAAAGCCTCCAGTCCGACAGCATTGGGAAAGACGAGTAAGGAGAGGCTGCTGAAACCTCAGGGCTGGGACAAATGGAGACATTACTGGCACCTGCTAGAGTAAATCAGTGAACAACAGGATGACAGTGATACAGTGATGTGTGTTTGTGTGTGTGTGTTGTTGTTTAATTTGGGGGCCACGCACAGCACCACTCAAGGGCTGATTCCTTTGCTCTGCACTCAGGGATCACTTGTGGCCGGCTCGGGACCACATGAGATGCTGGGGATTGAGCCCAGATTGGCTCTATGCAAGGCAAGCGCCCTGCCTGTACAACTAATTGCTCCAGCCCCCATCTTGTTTGGGGGCCACACCCAGTGGTGCTCAGCACTTACTCCTGGCCTTGTGCTCAGGGACAGGGATCATATGGGATGCTGGGGCTCAAACCCATGTTGGCTTTATGCAAAGCAGACCATGCGTGCTATACTATTGCTCTGGCCCTAGTTTCCACATATTTTGGGACTTCCCAGCAGGTGGGTTTTTTGGGGTTTTTTTTTTTGTTTGTTTGTTTGTTTTTTTACTGATTTCTCATTTGATTTTGTTCTGGTATAAGAGCTTATGCTATATGATTTCTGTTCTGTGAAGTCAGGGAAGGTGTGTATTAGGCCCAAGTCTGGTGATGGTTGGGGGTGAGCGGGAGAACAGTCTGGGCCTGTTGGAGGAAGTGGAGGACAGTGCTCTTGATAGTGCACAGATTCTGCCGTGGGGTCTCAGGCGGGTCTGTCTGTCCTCCCCCAAGGAGGGCTGTGCCTTTCATTGCCTGATCCAGTGTAGGGACCTGTACCAACACACATGAACCTCTTCGTCTGTTTTAAGGGACCTCTTCATCTCTCCTCCTGCTCTCCCCTCACCTCTTCATCTCCTGAGCTCTTCCCTTCACTCTTCATCTCTCCTCCTGCTCTTCCCTTCGCCTCTTCATTTCTTGGGCCGTGATCTCATGGGCAGGACCCTATGCCACTCCTTCATCAAGAATTCTCAGTTGTCAGGTGCTCCTCCAGGAGCAGAAGGGTGAGCTGTTGCCAGAGTTCTGACCGGGGTGCCTTTGTTGGGCTTGTGTTCATGGAGGTCAAAGGGAGCTCTGTGACATAGACCTGCTCTGTCTGGGGCAGACCCGGGGTGGGGGTGCCTACTAGGGCTCCGCTGGATTGGGAGGCCCTGACAGTCATCCTCGGTACATGGAGGGCAGTGGCCCTGGACTCCAAGGGTCTCCTGGGGGCCTGGGGGAGGGGGGCTGCCACTCTACCTCCCGAGGTTAGCTCCAGGCACAGGACGGATACTGAGATAGATAGGTGATACTTCTTTCACTTGCAAGTAAATTGCTCAAAAACTCAAGGTTTATTTGTGAAAATAGACTCTCTGATAATCCGGTTACTTATCCTTTTACTGATACTTTCTTTGTGTTTCAGGTTTCTCTACGAATCATCATCAAGAACTTTGGGAGAACTCTTGAATTCTTAGTTAAGACAACAATTTTGATTATGTAGGAAAGACAAATGAAGTAAATGTATTTTTGTACTGTTTTTGATTTCAACAATTTGTAATAGAGATGGGGCGAGGCTTATGGGGAGATGTGAGTAGGTGGCTTGAGAGCCATAGCTTTTTGCTGAGTGTGTGCATAAGTAATATATTTAATGTCAAGGACTCCAGAAGTTGGGACAGAGAGATAATAGAGGGGTTAGGCTCTTGTCCTGTATATCGCTGGCTCCAGTTTGATCCCCAACATTCAACATGGTCTCCCAAGCGCTGCCAAGGACTAAGCCATGCGCAACGCCAGGTATGGCCCCAAAACTGAACCAAACCCAAAGAAGAATTTCAGGTTTTCAGGGAAGACGCTTTTCAAGTGACTTAGCTCTTTTAAGCACTTGTAAGCATGTGTGCGATGAGACTTACAAATGAAGCAATAAAGTAGCCAGTGATGTCAGAGGCAGGCCCTCGGCTCTCTGGCTGCGGGTCTGAGACTCCAGGCCCCAGGAAGGGCTGTGTTCATAGCCTCTTCAGGTCCTATGTGGTGACAGGTCCAGTGTCCTGTGGCCAAGGAGCCTCTGGGAGAGACTGTCCCACTGCATCGTGGGCATTCTGTCCTCAACCCCACTGGAGGCGCCAGAGCCACTTGCCAGCATCTGCATTTCCCTAAGAAGGTGCAGAAACAGACTCTTCCCCACAGCTCCAAACATTCGTGTCATTCACAGGGGCGCATGACAGAAAGAAGGTGATTCGGATTATTTCAGCTTGTTTGGAACATGTGACTTGCTAATTTAGCTGAATTTAATATTAGTGAATGAGATTGGTACTGGAAAAATGATTTTGTTATTGATCATTCAGACACATTTTTTGGGAAGTGCCTGTGTTCATTAAGCCTGACAGTGATGGGTGTTGCGGTGGAGAGATTGCTGGGCTCCCTGCCTCTCCTTCCTTGGAGGTACCCTCTGGCTATTTTCACTTTTCACCGGGTGAGTTTCCACTGGAGTAGGCCTGCTCACGCCTCCCTATGGCTGTGTGGCAAAGGCTTGTGGTAAGAGGGCAGTGGGCGTGTCTTGGGCACCTTCAGCTCCAGTGCTGTGCAGTGGGTGGTGTCAGGATGGACTGTGAGAGTGAGACCACTCCCTCTGATGGACCACTTTGAGCAACATCCCATCCACCAACATCATCCCACCCTCCATGTCTGCAAGAGAACTCGAGGACTGAGTCCAGAGCCACCCCACAGGCCCAGAATGAACCGCGCAGTTGCCTGGCACTCAGCAAGCGTTCTGTCAGCACTTCTGTCCCCAGACTCGTCTGATCTTCTCACTGCAGCCACAGTGTCACTTCAGCACCCCGTGCAGTGGGGAGGCCTGAGTCCTGGGCCAGCCTTACGCCACCAGCTCCACGTACCCGAGACCTGCTGGGAAGTCATTTTAAACCTGCAATCAAAGATGTTCTTGTCCACCCACCAGACTCAACGTGGAGAGACCTCAAGACATGGATAACGGGACGCTGGTGGCCAGAGGAGACTCGGTGCTTGTGCATAAACACGGCCGGCTGTTCCCCAGTAAGACGCCTGGCTGTTGCTCCTGTGTGCAAGCCTTCAGTGGGACTGGCTATGCAGGTGGTTCTTGCAGCACGACCACTGAGTAAAGGTTCCGGTGTCACTTTTCCACACTCAGACTTTCCCCGAGAGGTTGTGTGCATCCGCAGCAGTGGCCCATCGCCTCCCACCCAGTGATCCTCCAGGTCTGTGACTGGGCGGCGACTGTTTCCCTGCTCTCCTTGCTGCCCCAGCGGGCCTCTCAGGCGGCATCCAGTGTGTAGCTTGCCTATTTAAAGCGTGGTTTTCAAGGAGCAGTTCTTAATTTTGATGAAGTCCATTTTACGATTGTATACTTTATGTGTTATGCCCTTTGTGAAAGGACATATAGACACCCTGAATAAAATGAAGGGAAGCAGGCTTCATTGGGGTTGGCGTTCACTGAGGAGTGTCCTGTTGCTGCTCTGACCCTGGCTTTGACTCTGAACCTGGTAGAGCTCAAGTCATTCCCACAGTGCCCTGAGGCTAAAGGGCTGGTTTCCCTTCTTGCTGGCGGGTGCCTAGTGGTTCCCGCACTGTTCGATGTACTATTTTCATAAAGTGCTCGGCACGCCTCCCTCTCATCCAGACTAGCAGTGCTCCACTGGGAGCACTTGTGCCCCATTAACAAGGGGGTCGAGCAGGTGGGACTCCACTCCCCAAGGATTCAGCCCCCGGTATCATAGGCACACTTGGGTGGAGGTGGTTGACTCAGGTCAACCCCTGTGTGTGGTACTCGGTTGGGACTAGCCTTGTGGGAATCCCTGCATGATTACCCAGCAATAAGCACTGTGTGCTTGTGTGTCCCAGCACCCCATGCTCAGATCTCGGAGCACAGAGCATGGGCTCCTGCCGCTCCCTCCTGTCTCATACCCATTTTCATTCGCCTGTCTTTTCCTTTTTATTTGGCCCCACCAGGCAGGGCTCAGTGCTCAGGACTTACTCCTGACTGTGCTCGGGGATCACTCCTGGCAGGGATTGGGGACCATATGTGGATTCAGGGTTTGAACGTCAGTCAGCTTTGCCCACTGTGCTGTGTCTGTCCTGTAACTGTTCTTTTAAAGTATAGGGTAAAATAATGGCGTATTTGTTGGTATTGTAAGAATCTGCAAGTAAACTGGGGACAACAGGTAGTCAGGATTGTGTCTCTGGGCCGTGACCATGTCTCATACGGCAGGGGCTTTTCTTCTCTCAGGACCTGCTTACTGGGGACAGGGAGATGTCTTGGGACCAGAGCACACGCTTCGCTTGCTGGAGCTTCAGTTTGGTCCTAGCACCTCGTGGTTCCCTGAGCACTGCCAGGTGTGTCCTTCCCCTAAGAATTTATTGGGGGGAGGGGGATCAGAGAGCTAGGACAGAAGTTACGGCTTGTGCCTTGTATGTGGCTGGCTCCGTTTCAATCCCTGGCTCCATGGGGTCTCCTGGGAATTGCCAGAGCTGCCTTGAAGGCCTCTGAGCACCACTGGACTCGGCAGGGCTTGGACAGCTCTGGGCTCCAGGGCCTCCCTCACACAGAACCACTACCCTGTTGACCAGGAATGGCTAGGAGGCTCTTGGGCCATCCCCCACCCCCACTCCATTTAATAAAAGTATTTGGCTGAAGTGTGGCTCAAGTGATGGCATGCCCGGCAGGTAGAGCGCCCTGGGCACAGTCCCCAACACTGCACATTTTAAATTGGAATTCAGATTGAAACATTTTTATTTTTAGGAATTTAATTTTAGCAGTAGCTTGTTATTTTCATGCCTCATCTTTCACACAGCTTACGGTGTGTATTGTTTTTGAAACAGTTGTAAACGGTGATATTTCGGAATTTCCATACCTTACCTGACAGAAGACATGCAGCAGTGGGGCCCTAAGTGCACATTCCCACCTCTAAAGCCTCTGAGTGCAGGGGCCTGTCTGGGTCCCTCAGGACTGTGCTGGGAGGACCCTGGCCCACAGAGTCCCTGCTGCCGGAAGTCCAGCCCTGCCCTGTCACTGATAGCAGCGCACCCGGCCCTGTACAAGTTTCTACCTGTTCCTGAGTTTCTGAGCACTTTGCATGTGTATACCTCACTCAAGCTAGACACCTGCCTTCAGAACCATGTGTCCTTTGAGGTGTCAGCCCTGTTCTCTCTTCCATGGGACGCCCACGCTGCTCCACAGACGGTCCTTGTTCTGTTTGAAGTGGGTATGAACTGTCTGGCAGGTTCACAGATCTGGAAGTGTCTCTGCATGGTTGGTATTTTGGCCCTCTTTGTGCACATCTCCATCCAGAGTCCACCTCCTTCTGGAACTTGGTGTCACGTCTCCCGGGATGGACAGGATAGAAAACTTGCTCATGGAGGAGGGAAGTAAGATTTTGCTGAACAGTGAATGTGCCTTTGGGGAGCCTCATGCCTACTCCTCTCAGTAGCAGCTGTTTCTCCAAGTCAGGTGTTCGGTGGGCCTCCATAAATCTTCAGGTTGCGCTCCCCTCCCCCTTTTTTAAATTTTTGGTTTGGGGGTTATATCCAGCAGTGCTCAGGGACTATTCCTGGCTCTCTTTAGGAGTGACCCCTAGCAGTGACGGTGGTGGTGGCGTGTGTGTGCGCGCGCGCGTGTGTGATCTTATGTGGTGCCAGGGTTTCAAACCAGGACATCAAGCAAGTGCCTCAACCTCTGTGCTGCCCAGCCTTCAGCTTGCAGTTCACATAGTACCTCGCACAAGCACACGTGACCTCCTAGAAAGACTCCTGTGGGGTTAGCCATAGTGTACTTGCACCCTGGGGTGCTAAGGCAGACCACTAATGGCAGCTGTGAGTTCCTGGGTCTCCTATCTTGGTCATGGACTTCTTGGGACAGCCTGTTGACGCAGGACCAGGGGCATAAAATGTCCAACACTCCTACCAGACCATATCTTAGCAGTGCAAACCCCTGGGGCCAGGGGGCGGGGGTGAAGCAGGGACAGTGAGACCCTCTCGGGTTAGGAATGGACAAAGGCCGCTCTCATCTTCCTTTGCCCACTCTTACAGCTGGACAGGCGGCAGGACAGCAGGGATCTCACCCATGTGCACGTGGCCATGGCTGGCGACTAAGGAAGGCTGAGGACAGGGAACCACTGAGGGTCAGTCCTAGGGGACCCAGCATCAAGGTACAGAGCAACAGGTCAAGCGAGGGGACGGTGACAGCTCCAGCTGCAGATCCCAGACCAGGAATGTGTATACCCGACAGAGAAGTATAGGAACAAGACCAGGCCATTGTACTCAGGAGGCTAGCAAATACTGATGGACAGAACATAAGACATTGTACACTGGACTAGCTATTGAAGGACATAACAAATGATGTCGTACATGGGTTAAATAAAGGAGAGGCCTGGACATTGAGGAGAGATCCAGGCCCATCTACTTAGACTGCAATAAATTGATTTCAAATTGCAGTCTAAGTAGACACAATAAGAAACTGCAATAAAAAAAAATAAGAGTGGACTGAGGCTGGAGCGACAGCACAACAGGTAGGGTGTTTGCACCCCAACCCGGGTTCGATTCCCAGCATCCCATATGGTCCCCTGAGCACCGCCAGGAGTAATTCCTGAGTGCAAAGCCAGGAGTAACCCCTGAGCATCGCCGGATGTGACCCCAAAAGCAAAATAAAGAAAAAGGAGTGGACAAAGGTGAAGGGATGGGATGGAGGTGATCGGGGCTCAGCTGAGGTTGGCCAGGAGGGGCGCAGGTGTCCCTAGAAGCACTGGGAAGAGGGAGGCCTGGGGTGTGCTGGACCCCCATAGATATGGAAGAACTGCAAGGAGAGCTGAGCGAACCAGGGGGCTGTGCAGGCAGGGCGAGTGGGGGGTGATGGCCAGAGGACTTACCGTCCCTTCTGCAACAGCCCCTTGGAAAGACGCTCCCGATAACGCCTCCCCAAGGCAAACCTGACACGACCTCCTGAAACACCTTCCTGAGAGCACACGACCATGACCTGCCTTCCTGCCAGCCCCTGCAATACACACGCTCCTGCGACTCACCCCGACCCTCCTGAAAACACCCGCGACACACCCACCCTGCAACACAGCGCTCCCGCGAAGCCGCCGGAGACGCACGCCGCAAGGGCGTTGGCCTAGTGCTAGGGGCGGGGCCTGAGGGCCGGGGCGGGGCCTAGCGGGGGCGGGGTTTGCGGCCGCCGAGCGCCGAGGCGGAGCCTGGCGGGGGCGGGGTCTGCGCGCCGGGGGCGGAGTTTGAGGCCGCTGAGCGGCGGGGCGGGGCCTGCGTGCAGGGGCGGGGCTTGCAGCCGCCGAGCGCGGGGGCGGGGCCTGCGCGCCGGGGCGGGGCCTGCGCGCCGGGGCGGGGCCTGGCGGGGGCGGCCCGGGGCGGGGCCTCGGCGCTGTCCGGTGCTGAAGCGGCGGCGGCGCGGAGAGCGCGGGGAGGAGCCGGCGCGCTCGCACCCGGGACCGGGCGTCGCTGGGCCGCGGGCCGCGGGCATGGGGCGGCCGCCGCTGTCGCTGCCGCTGCCGGTGCTGCTGCTGCTGCCGGCCCTGGGCCTGCCCGCCGCGCCCGCCCCCCGCCGGCAGCTCCCGGGGCGCGCGGGTGAGTGGGCGCGGGCCGGGGGAGGGGCGCGCGTGCGGCCGGGGGGCGTCTCCGGGGGCCGCCGCGGCGGGCGGGGGTTCCCGGTGGGCCTCAGTTTCCCCGCGGGTGCCTCCTGCAGTCCGGCCCGGGGTCCGGGTCGGGGCCGTGGGTCCAGCCTCCCGGAGCGCGCCGGACGTTCGCGCGGAGCCGCGGCCTCCTGGCCTCGGCGAACAATGGGCGGGGGCCGGCTGGGGGGCCGGAGGAGGGCCCGCGGGGTCGGGGGCCTGGGGGGCCGAGAAGGGCCCGCGGGGACGGGGGCCTGGGCAGGTGGGAGGGGCCGGGCCCGCGCGCACGCACCGGCCTGGGCCCGCCCTGGAGCGCGTCCGACCCCCGCGCGGTGGGCGAGACCAGCGCTGGGCCCCTCCTCGCCCGCACCGCGACAAAGACCCGAGGGGCTGCTCCGGGCCGCCCTGGACCCCCCCGCCGGCCAGGCCCCTTTCGCAGGTCCGGGAGGACGGGCCGGAGGATGCTCGGTGGGAAGGGGCAGGGCCCGGTCCCGTCGCGGGCTCCTGGGGGTCGCTGCCTCCCAGAGAGAGGAAGGGGCGGGCGGCGGAGCGCACAGGTGGAGGGACGCACAGCGTGGACCCGAGCTGCCCTGGACCCGGACTTCCCACGAGGCTGAGTCCTGCACTGGCCACCTTCCCCCTGGGGGGAGAACTGTCCCCGGCCTCGAGCGCGGTCTCACCCGCCTCTCATGCTCTCGGGCGGTCCCAGCTGGGCGACTCCTCGCACCGAGTCCTAGAACGAGGCTCCCGGGCAAATGTGATTCCAGGATGCTCCATGGTTCGTTCCCCCCAGTTGGAACTGGGCTGAGGTGTCACCACGGCCAGAGACAAGGTTCAGCAAGGGACAAGGGGTCACTTCTCATCTGGACAATAAGGGACACTTAGGTTTGACTTGGGGGCCACATCTGGTGGCCCTGGGGCGGGGAAGCTGCTCCCAGAGGGGCTGAGGTCGCCCCTGCTGATGCCCAGGGGTCAAAGCTTAGAGCCTCTCCCCCGCCCACCCACCGAGGAGTGCCCACAGCTGCCTGAGGCTCCTTGCTCACACAGCACCTCCGTGGGCCCCACCTTCTTTTCCTCACGGCTACCTCCCGCCCCCGAGCCTTGCCCCCACCCGCCGTCCTGCTGGGGCCTCCCTCGTGCTCATTGTCCCTGAGCCAGAGCTGAGCCAGGCGGGAACAAGACTTCCCTCTCAGCAGCAGGATCCGACTTCACTCCCAGCCAGAGTACCGCAGGTGGCACCTTCGGGACAGTGTGGCCCTCGGATCCCATGGTCCTCTGTGCCCTGGGGTCCGCGGTTCCTCGTGGTCCTCTGCTCCCCGTGGGCCTCTGTTCCCCGGGGTCCTCTGCTCCCCGTGGGCCTCTGTCCCCCATGGGGTCCTCTGGTCTCTCGGGTGCTCTGCTCCCCGGGCCCTTCTCTCTGGGTCCCCCGTGGCTCCAGGAGGTCCTTGTGTTTCGGATGTCCCCCATAAGTCTTACCTCAGTGTGATCTCTTTGTCTCTAAGTCATCTGACTCTTCAGGGTCCAGGAGGCAGAATGTGTCCCTTCCTCAGGCAGCCCGAGATTTCAGGGCAGTTCTGTCAGCCTCTTTAATCCGCACGTTTTTGCTTGCCGGCCGGAGGAGAGAGTCGCCCTCTCGGAGTCTGCCGGGGAGGCTGGTCGGACCTGGTTCCGTGCACCTGCCCTGGAGACCGGCAGCGCTTGTTTCCTCCCTTTGTTTTTGCCTCCCGACTTGCCCACACGCATTTTCATTCACCAGCGGGCTCAGAGATGCTGAGGAGGAGAGAGCAGCAGGATTCCCCCTTGCTTTGTGAACTAGATGGCGTGATTGTTTATTTTTAAATCAAATGATCCTCCTTCCACAAAAGCACGAATCCATTTTGCTTCCTGGGTGTGGAGCTGTTGGTCTGTGGCAGCGACAGCTCACCCCTGGTAGGCTGCCCCCCCGCTGCCTTCTCCGCCGCCCCCTCCACCCTCCTCAGGTGCCGTGTCCCCACACGGAGGCCTGGGGGTGGGGGCGTGGGACCCAGAGCCCTGGGTGGAGCTGAGGTGTGGCAGGCGCCTGCGTCAGAGATGGCAGCGGATGTGTCTCACTTGGGGGTGCTCGGGGAATGCCAGGCGTTTCGTGGCTGCTCCTTGGTGCTGAGCTGGGCTCTGCGGCCAGCCCTTTCCAGCTCTTGCTCCAAGATGGCCCGTGTCTGTGCTGGTTACCAAGGTCACCGTTCGGTGGTGCCCACGGGTGTAGGGGCTGCTTAATACTCGGTAATCTGCTTTTCCTTTTCCTCCCTGCTGCTGGCGAAGGCCACGGGGGATGCATGCTAGGAGTTAACACACACCTTGGAAACTGGCTTGCTCTGAGGGTGGGCTGCAGCCTGGTCTCCTCAGGGGCCTGGGGTTTGAGATGCGGGTGGGGATGGAGCCCAGGCAGGGCCCAGTTCTGTGAGGCTAGTTCTTCCGTAGACTAATAATGTCTACATTCCGGGCCTGTTCTGTTGTTTGTCCTTGCAGCGAGCGTTACTAAGTTGCGAATGCAGATAATTTAGCCATTTTTTCCTCAGATATTTGAAAGTAGGGGGGAGTGAGGAAGAGAAGAGGGAGGGCGTTGGGTCAGCCGACCAACTGACGAGACCGGCTTGCACTCCGAGGGCCTTAGGTCTCTGCTCCCTCTCAGAGCTGTGCTGAGAATTTCAGGATTCCCTCTGAGGGAGCGTCACTCTGGCCCACGCTGAAAACCAGCCTCTGGCTTGGGGTGGCAGATACTCGGGGAGGGGCAGGCCGGGTGCAAAAATACTGCTAGTTCAAGGGTCCTTGCGTGTGAAGGGGGAGCTCTGGACGAGGCAGCGGGCTTCACGCAGACCGTGCCAGGGCTCGAGCCCAGCGCCTGTTCTGACACGCGGTTCCGTGTCCAGAGTGGGCAGACGGCCGGACCGGCCGAGCTCCATCCCGTAGCATGCCTGCGGCTGCCCCAGGCCCAGTGTCTGGAGAGACCTCTGTGAGTGCAGCCCACCTGGCATCGTGCGTGGACACACACGTGCAGGCACTGGGGACCAGACAGCGCCACTCCTGCGGCCTCCGTCCCGCACTCCTGGACTTAATTTTTCAATCTGGTTAGTAGGAGGCCAGAAGCCCCGAGAGGCAGAAGTGTCCGCTTCCTGCTCCTGGGGCGGGGAGGAGGCCTGTTTGGAGAGCGGGCGCGGCCCTCCTGCAGCGGGCTGGTTCCCATGGCATTTGGTGGGGCACCTGGTGGGAGCCGGACTTTGGCCCGGAGGAGTGGGCGTGTGCCCTGGGCAGCACCTGTGTGTGGCCTGCCCCGCCAGGGCCTGGGAGGGAATGGGCGTCCACAGTGCCAGAGCGCTCCTGGGCCCCTTGCCACCGTTTGCTACTTTGTTGCGCCTGTTCTCTCCAGTGGACTTGACTTTGATCCAGAAACTGAGGCTGCGCCCTCGGCAGATGTTCCCAGCCCCGCTCAGAGGAAGCGCGAGAGCAGCACCCTTTACCACCTGAGAGCTTCCGAGGCCAGGGTCATGGGTAGCCCGGGTCATAGGTCAGCCCATCCCCCAGGCCTGACCACCTGGCCCTCGCCCCCGCGTGGCCTCTCAGGGCCAGTGTGCGGCCGTGTGAGCTCAGCACGGCCCTGGCTTCCTTCCGTCTCCGTTTCGGGAGAAAGCAGAGATTGCGGTGGCCAAGCAGGAGGGGTCGGTCCTGGGCTGCTCATCAGATTCTGGCCCCCGGGACCTCCATCTTTTCTAGCACGTTCTCCGGGAACAGGCAGGGTTTGTGTCTGGCAGGCAGCGCACTCCGCTTCGGCCCCCGGGGCCAGGGCCTGCAGAACGCTGGGCAGTGCTGGCGGCTCTCAGCTGTCTCCACGCCGGTTTCTCTTGGCCGAGGGACTTTGTGCTTGGAAACGAATGCCCTGTTTTTCGTTTATTTTTCAGCTTTACTGAAATAAAATTGGCACGTGGCGCTGAGGAGATCTGTGAGTCTACAGTGGGTGCTAACTCATCCCCTCGATCTGCTGCTGCTTTTAGGCTGACAGCATTGAATATTTACTCGCAGTAACTTTTTTTTTGCTTTTTGCTTTTTGCTTTTTGCTTTTTTTCTGGGTCACACCCAGCGATGCACAGGGGTTACTCCTGGTGGTGCTCAGGGGGCCATATGGGATGCCGGGAATTGAACCCTGGTCAACTGCATGCAAGGAAAGCACCCTACTTGCTGTGCTACCGCTCAGGCCCCAACTCTCAGCAACTTTTAAGTATATAATAGAGAACTGTGGTCGTTCGTCAGTCAACCCCAGGTTATTTAATGAATAATCATTTCATGAATAAGTGGACATTGGTACCTTTTGATCAACAAGCCGGTTTCTCCATTCCCTAATCCAGGTGACGGCTCTTCTTTCTGTTGCTGTGAGCTTGACATTTTACAATTCCACAAATAAGTGTTGCCTTTCTGTGTTGGCTGCCCTCAGCAGAGTGCCCGGGAGGCTCATCTGCTCTGTCACGGTGGCGATTTCTTCTCCAGCTTGAGTGACCTGGCGTTGCCTTCCCCTGGGTGTGGTGTGTTCTTCCTCTGTTCTCTGGACAGAGCACTGTTTCGGTGTCTTGCTAGAACGACTCGCTTCAGGGAATGGGACCAGATAGACTCCAGGCAGGGGCCTTATCTCTGTGGAGACACACTCAGGAGTAGGCTCGCTGGGTCAGGTGGTAGCTACCCTTAATTTCTTTGGTTTCCAGTAGTGGCATCTCGCTTCCACTCCCACCGCAGGGCACAGTTTGCTTTGTCCTCACGGGCACCTCTTAGCTCTTGTGTTCTCCTAACGGTGATTGTGTGATTATAACTGATCCTTTATCGGTGATACCAAGCACCTTCTCGGTGCCAGGGAGACATTTGGATTTCTTCTTTGTGTCCTTTTCCTGGTGGTGCTCAGGGATACTCTCAGTGGGGTGGGAGTCAAGGGTTGAG